CTCATTTTCCCCTTCTTCGTCCTTTTCAATTCTTCTTCCTTAATTTCTCAAGCATCGTTCCATTGCAGCTCTTTGGCTATTCCCCCACCAGCATTCTATTCTATCACTATCCAACAAACCCCTCAGCTTTTCTTGACAATCCTGCCCATCATGCCTTTTACTCCCATGCCGAAGGTGCCGGATATTTACCTCCGAAACTGCAATATTAACGATACACCTGCTGAGCAGTATTTTGAACCCGTGCCCCTGGCCCAGCGTCCTGGGTTCAATACAACCGGCAAAGAAATAGCCTTGTCTGCAAACTTTTACCCCATCCTTGAGTATCCAAAGAAGAACGTTTACCAATATGACGTGAGTTGAACCGTTATATTTGATTACCCAGTTTGTCACACTTGATACTTACATGTTCACAGGTAATGATTGGAAACGGCGCTGAGAAGCGCGTTGTTATGCAAAAGGTCTGGGACTCAAAGACTCGCAAGAGCAAACTTTCTCGTGATTTCATTTTTGATGGAAGCAAGCTTGCCTGGTAAGTGCTTTAAACCATCCTCCCGCTTAACCTGGATACTCACACTAAAATCTCATTTCTAGGTCTATGACCAAGCTCGACAAAGATGCCAACTTTGTTGTCGATCTTGATGCAGAGCAGGGACGTCCCCCGTCCAAGAACTCGAACGCTTTCCGCTTGGTTGTTAGATACACCAAGACAATTTCATTGCAGACTTTGGCATCGGCAATTCGCGGAGACATTAGTCAAGACAAAGAGACAACTCAATGTCTTAGTAAGTCTTTTTCAATAGAGGTTGTAAACCGAACTATCTAACATGACTCAATAGCCTTTTTCAATCATCTGCTGCGCGAAACTCCCAGCCAGAGATTCATAGCTATCAAGTCTTCATTCTTTTCTGACAATAGCCCCCAGATGTCTGTTGGTTGTGGCGTTCATGCCTATAAAGGAATCTTTCAAGCTATACGGGTTGTTCAGGTAAGAAAAAAAACACATAATATCACGATTAGACTAGTATTTACTTACCATATCTCGATAGCCTGGGTCTCTCGCTGTCAATGTGGACGTTTCAAACGCGTGCTTTTGGTCACGTAACCAATTGCTCGTATCCGCTGTCCAGGTCCTTGAACTTCGCGACCCTCAGCAGCTTATCTACAATTGCAAACCCGAGAAAGATGACTTCGGAGGCCGAAAGGGCTCCAGAAAGTTTCAGCTCTTGGATAGAATGAGAAAACTCGTTGTCAGAGCCAACTATCCAGGATGTCCATGCCCCGACAAAGAATGGACCATTAGAGAATTCCTCTTGGCCAATGCAAAGGAGTATAAACTTGAGATAAAGGACCAAGCAACTGGGAAAATCAACTCAATCTCTGTTTATGACTATTTTAAGAACCGATACAACGTCACTTTGACATACTGGGAGCTTCCGTTGGTCCAGATGACTAAAAAGGACGTGGTATACCCGATGGAGGTTCTGGTGATCTACAAGTCGCAAAAATACCCCTTTAAACTCAATGACTTGCAGACATCATCAATGATTAAGTTTGCAGTTACTCGGCCTGCAGAACGTCGCAAGGCAATTGAAGAATCAAAGAAGAATCTGCAGCACCCCTCGGACCCCATGCTTAATGCTTACGGCATGAAAATCGGCGATAATATGATGAAGACCAGAGCACGTCTTATGCCCAACCCTGAAATCATGTTTGGTGGAAACCAGAAAGTTAACCCAGGAACAAATGGGCGCTGGGATCTAAGAGGAAAGAAATTCTATACCAAGAATACTAAACCCCTCAAGTCTTGGGGTGTTGGTGTCTTCAAGGGCCGCAACCCAATTAATATGGCTCAGGTTGAAGCATTTTGTGATGCTCTTGTTCGGGCTTATCAAGGCCACGGCGGAGATGTTGAGAGCCGCCGCCCCCTGATCATGGAAGTTGTTGCGGACCCTGCTAAGGCAGTCTTTGAATTATTCCACGCTACGGGTAACAAATTCAACCTTCGCCCTGAACTAATGATCTTTGTTGTGGCAGATAAACAAAGCTTCCATTATCTGCGAATCAAAAAGTCGTGTGATTGCCGCTTCGGTGTCCCATCGCAGGTTTTACAGGGCCAGCAGGTGGTTAAGTGCAATGGTCAGTACATATCAAACGTACTGATGAAAATCAATGCCAAATTGGGTGGGACAACCGCGAGAGCAGTCTCAAAGCAGTGCAGTGGGCTTCCTCCATTTACTATGATTATTGGGGCAGATGTCTCCCACTCTTCCCCGGGCAGTTTCTCGCCATCTATGGCTGCGATGACTGTTTCCATGGATACATTTGGTGGCAGATACACTGCTGGATGCGAAACCAACGGAGAGCGTGTGGAACTTATTAGCCAAGCTAATATTAAATCCATCTTGTCTCCATTGATTCGTGAATGGGTTATGACAGTTGGCAAAGGCAGCGTTCCGCAGAAGGTTTACTACTTCCGTGATGGTCTTTCGAGCGGGCAGTTCCAGGCCTGTTTGCAGCAAGAGATACCACATATCAAGGACATCTTCAGTGAGATCATGGGCAGCGACTGGCCCGGAAAGATGACCATTGTTGTGGCCTCTAAGCGTCACCATGTTCGTGCGTTCCCTGAGCCTAATGACCGCATGGCTGCCGACAAGAACGGAAACCCTCTCCCGGGCACTTTGGTTGAACGGGATGTTACTGATCCATACAACTGGGATTTCCTCATTTACTCCCACATCGCTTTGCAGGGCACCTCGCGCCCAGTACACTACCACGTTCTTGTTGATGGCATTGGACACAACCCGAATCAGCTCCAGAATATGATTTACGACCACTGCTATCAGTACATGCGGTCTACAACCTCTGTCTCCTTATGTAAGTTGGCTCTATGGAACCGAATAACACGGGACACTCTTGCTAACATTATCTTTCCCACCTTTTTTTCTAGTCCCGGCGGTCTACTACGCCCATCTTGCTTCGGCTCGTGCCCGTTCGCACGAGGATGTGCCAGCCAGCTCAGGACCGCAGTCTGGACCAGGCGTCAAGCAAGGTCAGGTCCGACAAGGACCCCGTGAGTCTGATACCCCCCAACTCCTACCTATGCCAAACAACGACCGCATCGGGTTCAAAGTGTGGTACATTTAAGTGTGCATCAGCATTGTCTCTCTCTCTTTTCCCTTTTATTCTTATTCAGAGAGACGCGTGCGTCGAGTGGGCCAAAAGAAAAAAAACACCAACAAAAAAAAAAAAAAAAAAAAATCACCAACATCATGACCAAGGCCAGGACTGAGAAGTATTTTCCTTTTTTTCTTTCTTTCTTTTCTTATGACGAAGATGCTGGAGGGAGTGGGAGCATCTGTCCCCAGAGGAAGATCCCCAGGCGGCGGCTCGAGGTTGCTCGGCGCGCTGCTAGGACTCCTCTGGGAGGTTAGCTAGGTAGAATAGTTATCACAATCAATCATTCCATGATCTTCTCTTCTTTTAGCCAACTATCCTGGCCATACTGTTGGCCTGTACTCCGTAGATCGACCTCCTGATCACCAACCTGCCAGCGCCAGACAGCTCGAGTGTGTCCCTGTGGCTCGAAAGGTGGCGCACGTCAAGCGATCATGGCAGGCTAACTGACTAGTTAGTTAATTATGTGAACAACTTAACTAACTCACTTAATTAGCTGTCTGCTTGCTAGTTAGCTAGATATATATTGCTTTTTCCCTCTCTTCTGGCTGTTGTTTTTCTTTGCCAAAAAGTCGAAGTCGAAGTCAAAGAAGCAGCAGCGCGAAGAACGAGGCCCCGTTGACCATCGCGACGTCTTTGCCCTGAAACAAACCGCATGTCGCATAGCCATTATTCACTGTTTATTTAACTACTGGTTGCTGCTCTCCTTCTGGCACTCCTTTCTGTCATCGCCAGCCAGCTGGTCGTCCCCGGTCAAAAATAACTAGTTAACTAGTTCTCCAACTTCCCTGCAGAAATCTCGCCCGCTGCAAGAACGCTGGTCTAGTTAAAAAAAAAAAAAAAAGCCTCGGCGTCCGTCGCAGTCTCGTTTTTTTTTTATCGCTGTCGTCGCCTGGCAGCGCTGCGTCGGGCCTGTAACTATCTAGTTAGTTATATCCATCCGCCCACAAGGAGGAAGAAAGTCGACCTGGCCGTCGTCCCCTTTCTTCCCGCGCTTCACTCACTCGCTCACTCTGCCCTTCTCTTGCTTCTCTGCCTGCTTCTTCGTGAATCTGGCCGGCTGGCAATGACTGCTCGCGTGAAGAAGAGCTGTCCTCGCCCTCTGCCCCTCTAAATAGCCGACTTTTCTTCCTCCAGCTTCTTCCACTCTTTTCCCGCCTTGCAACAGACAGACGGTGGAATCACCACGATACCCCCCCTTTTTTTTTCCCCTTTCATCTCTCTCTTGAAGGAATACAAAAGATAAAAAGATAGTCAGAGACGACCGGTGTCGTTTGCGCCCCCGCCAATACGGCATTTGTCTCCGTCATTCCATCATAAACCCTGGCCTCTTCATCTGGCCCGGACGGCTCCCAAAGCTGCCCGGATTTATCCCGTTTGGATATCAGCCCGGGCACCGCTGCAGCAGACAAGCCGTCGGTCTCTCCAGCGCCGCCTGGCTCGGACACCGCGAGCCTGCATAGCGTCTCCCGCAGGGCTCTTTTCTCCCGTAACCACGCCACCGCTGCGAAGGTGCGTCACTTTGTTGGCCAGGCGCGGACGCTGAGCAGAGCTGCGGCCGTCAGGATGGCGGAGGTTAACCTGTCGGCGTCTCTGTCCAAACGAAGTCGATCCACGGACAGTCGAGTGTCGGCCGGTCAGTGTTCGGAAGCGTCTGATACGGACGGTAAACCGGCTCATGGCAAGCTAGCGGTTCCTTCATACCTCAACCAGCCAGCGAAGTGTGAGTTTAGATTTATTTATTTATTCTTTCTTCTTCTTCGTCTTCTTCTTCTTGCTCACGGCGCGTAGATGTTCGAGACAAGTTTAGTGAGCTAGAGTGGATGGAGCGGCATCGAAGAGCTGCCGGTGCGCTGTCCCAGGATCCTTCTCATAAATGGACACTTGACACAAGCCCGCAGGTCAAGGCTCGAAATCGCTATGGTGATGTGCAAGCCTGGGAAAACTGCAGGGTCCATCTCAAGGTCCCCGCTGGGGAGTGTGACTTCATCAATGCTTCTCCCATAGTACTCAAGGACCCCGAGACAGATGGAGAGTACAAGTATATTGCAAGTCAGGTGCGTATACCCAGAGATACGGCTTATTGCAGCTTATCCTGCACGATCCATGGTTTAACACTGCGTCATAGGGCCCAAAACGAGATCGGCTTGCTGATTTCTGGAACATGATATATCACGAGGCCGGTGAAGTTGCTGTTTTGGTTATGCTAACTCAAACAGTCGAGTCTGGAAAGGAGAAATGCGCCCAGTATTTCCCACAGGATATGGAGAATCCTACTTTTGAATTCTCCTCTCACAGCACCACCGAACCTCCGGGTGCTCATTTTTCTGGTTCAGTTACCCTGTTGAATACAACTTACGATGAATCAATACGCTCAAACGTCAGTGAACTTGAGCTCCGTGTCGGATCGAATACCAAAACAGTGTGGCATTTCCTCTTTGCTGGATGGTCTGATTATGGCACTCCAGAGGGACCTGACAGGGATGCCCTCCTCAACCTTATGACAGCAACAGCCGAGAAGGCAAAGTCGTTTTCCAATCCTCGAATCGTGCACTGTAGTGCTGGCGTGGGAAGGACCGGAACATTCATTGCTCTCGACCACCTACTTCGACAGCTAAAGTCCGGACAACTCTTGAAAGCAGATGACAAGTCTGCAGACGCTGTTTTCAACACTGTCAATAGACTGCGGGAGCAGCGGATGCTGATGGTCTACAATACATTTCAGTATCAATTCATCTATGATGTCTTGAAGGAGCAAACTCAGATCAAGTTGGGAATCCAGTCTGCTCCGATCGAGCCTCGTCCGCAAAAAATAGCGAAACCTGACGACGGAATGTTCAAGCCTGAACTGGTTGCTCTGAGTCCGGCAGATATTGGCTCTGCAGCTGAGCCTGACGACCCCGAAAGTGAAAATAATGAAGCCAAAGATGTGGGAAGGGACAAAGGAAGTAAGGGGGACAAGGAAAACAATGACAATCACAAAGCCGAGGACGACGACGACGACGACGATGACGACGACGATGAAGATGACAATGACGAAGCTGAAGATGAAGATGAGAGCTGATATCATGGATTTGCATCCCCTCTTTGGCCCATCATAGGTATAAACTGACCTCCCTTTCCACTTACATCCCTCTCACGAAGAACTTTTGCACGTTACGAAGCTACATTTTCTGTCTTCATATACCATGACTCCGACTGTTTTCTCTATTGGGGGCTTTAAACGGCTTTTCTTTCTTAAATAAATACCGCCTTGCTGTCTCTTATGCAGACTGTGCAGACTGTTTCTTCCTCCTCACGATTTTATTATACCTTCTCCTACCTCTTTCTCCCTCCGTTTCAAACCTGTTCTGTGTGTTTTACGATGGTCATGTTGCATAAGTAAATAGAATTCCTTGGTGCATGTATGGAGGAAAACAATACCCTCAATCGGTTTTTTTTTTTTTTTTTTTTTTTTTTTTTTTTTTTTACTTCTTTTGACTGGATATGATTTATATGCTTGCTCCAAAAGGCCTTTTGGTTGTACAAACTTCAACAATCAAGCACTAAGTACACTTTCTTTTTAAACAAGCTATCAACAAGTAACTAATCAGTTTTCTGTGGCGTCTTTCAAAAACGGCCTGAGTAAACTAGTAGCTGCGTTCTGGGCAGCTGCAAAACATCTGATCGGCATTAGTTATCGACGTGCTTATTCCATAGGGCTGAGTTGAAGTTATTTTTATTCCATTATTAAGTCCGATCAGTAAGTAATGTCACACATTAAGAGTAAGAGTACAGGCAAGGATAAAACATGAAACGGTAACAAAGACGTCGCTTGCTTTGGTACACCGGCTCCAAAAGAGAGAAAGAAAAAAGAAACACAAATCCTAGTCCCATCCGAACGAGGTCCATAAATATCAACAGAAAGTCATATAACATAGCCATAGCATGAAAGGAGGTTGGTTGGCTTTCGAGTAAGGCGCGGAAAGTGGGTTAACGGGAGAATCAATTCTTGTGATCACTCTCTGCCGGCTTTCCCGCCCCGTTAGTCGAGGTTTTCCCACCGAGATCCCCAGTGGAATCATCACCAGACGCAGCAACGACTCCAGAATCTTCAACGTCATCTGCAGCATCCCAGTTATCTTCCGCATTCTCATCCCAGTTATCAACTTCCTCTTCGAGAGACTGGGCGTTCGTAACGCCCGTTTCTTGCTCCGAAGTGCCATTGGCTAAGCCAAGTTCGACATCCTCCTCTGTGTTCCCCACCAGTCCACCAAATCGTGCCTTTCTCCTCCGTTCAAGCATCCTCTTGTGGTACCAGGTACATAGCCCTATGGCACCAAGACTCCCGACAACATTCGCCAGGATATCAAAGGGATCGAAGGAACGACCATTAGGCACGAGGGATTGCACTATCTCGGAACCTATTCCGAGTACCAGCGTGCAGACGATAAGTGTCAAATGTAGCGTTCTTCGGCGGGTAGTGTCTATGATCCAGTAAAATGCGAGAGAGAGGAGGAAAAACGTTATTAGGTGTAGCACCTTATCGTTGATTTGCAAGGGTGATGGGGCCGGAGCTTCTCCTTCTTTCGGGGTGTTGCTATGAGGTAGAAGGCCTACGTAGGCGGATAGTAGGAAGATGCCAGCAAACGCTCCTGTAGTTAAAACAGGTCAACAACTATGACCGCAATTATCACAAAACTGAGAAAAAAAAAAAAGCAGCAGCCAAGGTAGAATCGCAAACCTACCAGCAAACGGGTATCTTATTCGGAGCATTGTCATTGTGTAGGAGTAAAGGAGTTGATTGCTATTCTTTGGCTCTAGGCTGCTCGGATGCCTAGGATAGTTAGCTGCCAGTTCCGAAGGGTGTGTTCTTCTTCTCGGTCCAAGAGCAATGCCCGATATCAGTCATTTAAAGGGAAGACAGCTTTGTCAATCTTCTGCGGAATGTCGCAAGCCGACATGAGCTGCTCGTCCGTAGGTAGTGTCTTTATCGCAGCTACAGCCTGTCGTCTTTTTGCTGCCGCTTTCGACTGTTTTGGCAATGGAGAACAGGATTGATTACGTAATGACATGACATGATTAAGTAATCCACGTGATATCCCTGGGCACATCAAGTTCGCGGCTCAAAAAAGATTGTCGATGCCAGCGACGGCTGTGCTGCAAGTAGAAAAGACTCGTTTTTGACAGCTAAGATAAGAGGGAAAGGGCTTAATTCAAGAGCATTCGAAGAACACCGGAATAGCACCATTTCTGGGGCCATACCGTGGCCATATCAAGCATCAGGCTTCTCGCCCGGCAAATGTACGTGAAAGACTTTGTAGGCTTGCACACATCACTTGTAGACGGACCCCGACACCATCAAGGCAGTAGTGCATCCTAAGCAATACCTTCTATTCTGCTGTCCTATGCTCTTTCCCACCCCTTTCGCTTCCTCCATCTTCCCTCCCTTCTCAAGGGGCTCTCGTCTGTCCGCTCGAACGATGCCCGGACCGACTCACGTGACTGGCTGACTTCTACAAAGTCTGGGCAGCCTCCATCATGGGCACCTCCGCAAAAATCACCACCAAAAAGAGCTCCCTTGGGGCCATCAATATCTCACCACATTCATCTATTTTGTCATCCAGCTTGTTGCTGGAGCTGCTGTCGCCGCCAGACAGCCATCTTACATGCTTTTTTTCCGCGTCCCAACGCCTTGTTGTTGCTTGCTGAAACTGGCTTCAAAGCGTGGAGGGCCGAACCCTCTCGCCCGCCCGATATAGCGGGTTTGGCGCGGCCATGTCGCTGAATCACCACCACACCTGGCTTCCTCCAGGACATCTCAGGCCGCCCGACGATTTATTTGACACGCATTCCTCCGTCAATGGTCTCTCCAGAACCCCTTCCCGCCCGCGTACGCCTCAGCTGCGGTCCCGTGCCACCTTGGAGTCCATGCCGAGCGGCATGTCGATATCAGAAATTGACCCTGCGCCCGAAGAAGACCCTCGCATAGTCGCATTTAGAAACAGCTACCAGGAAAGCGAGGCCAAAATAAATTATCTTTTTAGCGGCAAACCGAAGATATCAGACTCCAGTTTGCCGAGCGCGGAGTCTCGTGATACCAACGCAGCGGAGGCGGGATCTGAATCCGCGCAACCAGCACCCCAAATTGCGCCTCGGAAGCCGGCGAGGAATTTGGACGAAGATGATTATGATGAATATGATGATGAGGGTGGTAGTGACTCTGGCGGCCAAGGGCCGTCACCCCCAAAATCCAAAAGCGCGCCCACCCCCCCTGAACCAAAGCACGCGACTCAATCACCACCAAGGCTATCCTCACAGCCTGGTTCTGCCCCGGAAAACCCCAAAGACACGAAAAAGGAGTCAGCGGAGGATATCCGAAAACGATTGGAACAAGACAAAAAGGCCACCGAGGAGGCTGCCCGTCAGAGCTTCCATACCATATTCTACACCCTAGAGAATGACCGTGATGCGATGCTAGACCAGCAACGCCTGGAGGAGTCTGAAAGACAAGTTGAGGCTGAGATGTCCAGCCAAAATAATGCCAATAACGATTCCACTGCTGCTCAAGGCCCTGGACATGGAACGCTCAGCAGCGCTAATCTCGGCGCATCGAGTCTAACGCTGAAGAACCTTATTGCGCGAATTGACATGAAACGCCATGAAGTACAAGCTTCTGATGCTGAACTGAGAAGCTTGATGAGTGAGGTTCGGAAGAACAGAAGTAAATGGGCCAGCGAAGAGAAGATCGGACAAGAAGAACTCTATGAAGCCCTGGAGAAAGTTCTGAGTGAACTCAAAGCTCAAACAGAGCATTCCAGTGCATTTTTGACAAAGGTCAATCGACGAGATGCACCGGATTATGTTAACAGTAAGTTTAATTTACCCTTCTTGGATTTAGGGTAATTTATTAATATTCTTGTATAGTTATCAAACGACCTATGGATTTGGGAACCATGACTAAGAAGCTGAAGGCCATCCAATACAAATCGAAACAAGAGTTTGTTGATGATCTTAATCTCATCTGGGCAAACTGCTTGAAATACAATGCCAATCCTGAACATTTCCTGCGCAAGCATGCCCTCTACATGAGGAAGGAAACGGAAAAGCTTGTGCCACTCATTCCAGATATCGTTATTAGAGACCGGGCAGAGGTTGAGGCAGAGGAACGAAGGCTTCAACTTGCTGACCTTGATGGTGCGGAAGAGAGTGACGATGAACCCATCATGTCCTCCCGAGGGCGGAAGGCTCCGGGGAAGAAATCGAAGAAGGGCACATCAACCACACGGACTGCGCCTGAAACTAAGTCAGAGACTACATCAGTAACTGATTCTCGACCTCAAGCTCAGGAACCCCCAATTGCTCGACAGGACTCTTTCTTAGAAGGGAGCCAAAACGATTCCTCAACACCACCCCCAGGTACTCTTACACCTTTGACCCTAAATAATAGCGGCCTTCACGCAACCCAGGGTGATAGCATGGACATAGATTGCATTGGACCACCTCCTGCAGGCCAATGTGCTGCTCTGTTAGGCCTAGGTTCCGAGTTTGAAGATCCCGAGTTCAAGGTCTGGAAATTAGTGACAAAGAAGGATCGTGCTCTTGTCGCTGCTGAAAGACATAGACTCTTTAAAGGGGATAAAATCAATCCAGAGGAGCAAGCCCTTCTCAGAACAAAGCCTGGTATGAGAAGATGGATTCGAAATCGCAGAGCCACACCAGGTGAAACAGATAAGCCTGAGGCTGCTCCCTCACAAGAGAAAGCCGAGCCTAGTGGAGAGACTCTTGCTGAAGGGATTGAAGAAGAAGAAGATAAAATGCTTCCCGATTATTATGATGTGATGTCGGCTATTCCTGATCTTCCTGAGCACCTCCACTGGACCGAAGATGCTGAAGGGAATGTCGTAGAGCACTCGGAAGAGTTCCTTCGAGTCCTTCCTAGTGGTTTATTTACTGCTCCTGTGAGCAAATTTTCGAAAAAGTTGGATGCGAACGTGAGGCAAATGCAAGAGACTAGAAAAGCTTGCTCAAAAATCAGTATTGTTAAGCAAATGCAACAACAATCTCAGGTGAGGCTTACACTCATTTAACTCTATACTCAGATTTATGACAATTCTAACCTGGCCATCTAGATGTACCAAAACCAATTCCAAAAGTACCAACCTGAACGGCTCGTTGAACAAGATATCGCACCTCATGTCATGAATGGCGAGGGTCCGGTAATCAACCCTTGGGTCTGCAGAGCTGCACTTCAGCGATCTATTGGCAAGATTCTCTATCACACTGGTTTTGAAGAGTACCAACCCTCCGCTTTGGACGTTATTACGGACGTTGCATCGGACTTCTTCACCAAGATCGGACAAACCCTTAAATCTTATATGGAAGCTCCGAAAGTCCCTGTATCGGACAACTCGTCAGATCCGACTGGAACATCAGAATGGAAGCTGCCATATACCTCCGAGGAGATGATTTTGCATACATTGCAGGCAGTTGGCACAGACGTGGACACATTAGAGACCTATGTAAAGGACGATATAGACCGCCATGGCGCTAAACTTGCTGTTATCCACGAAAGATTAAAGAACCATCTTACGGAATTATTGCGCCCTGCATTCGCTGACACTAGCGGTGACGGGTCTGGAGCTTTCAACGATGGAAGCGAACAATTTGTTGGGGGTGACTTTGCTGATGACATCGACGAAGATTTCTTTGGATTCAAGGAGCTTGGCTTGGACAAGGAATTTGGTCTTGCAAGCCTTAGCGTTCCTCTACATCTCCTTCAGAACAGGATGTTCAACGCTCATCAGGCTCAGAATGCAAAGTAAGCTACTCCTTCATCAAATATATTTGACAACTGCTAATTTTGAACTCAATAGCTCTGCTCAATCCGCATCTGACTTATTCCCTACCCCACCGCAATACCCTAAAATTACTCTGGAGTCCATCCCATCGCAAATTGGTCTTGCGCGGAATTTCTTCTTGGCTAAACTCCATGCTAATAAAGATGAGCCCTTGGTTGAAGACTATGAGCTACCACCCAAACAACGACCGATGGCAGGACGGCCTCGTGTTCCCGCATCTGGAAAGATTCCACCACAGCCCTCATTAGGTATCGGATCCAGCCCTCAGAAGCGCCCGGCACCCCCTTCTACCTCTATCACCACCAAAGGCATGGTTCTCGAGCCCAGCAAGAAGAAGATTAAGAAGAGCACCGGCGCTCCAACTGGAACGTTTGGGCCTGAGGGAGCGACTGAAGATTCAGCCCTGACTACCACTCCTAACAGCAAAGGGGTCGGGGTCGTGAAACCAAAACCAACGGATGGATCGAACGGCCATGTTGGCATGAATGGGAGTGCTAATGAGACCAATGGCGTTGCCTCTGAGCCAATAGGGAGCCAGCCCTTGAAAGGAAGTGCGTGAGGCTCTGGTGAGATTATACCCTGACGTTAATTGACAGTGCAATAAATTGGGAATTTCCTCCGGAACCACAGGGTCTATGATGGGATCCGAAAAGCCACAGTAACTAACACCTTTCCCCATTACCTTTTTCCTTCGTTCATTTCTTGAGTCCAAACTTGCCCTTGCAATCTTATTGATTGTGGGTGTTAAAATGGTTCTCTCCCCCACTCATATATGTTGACCACTTACCTTCTTCTCTCTGTATTCTTCCTGACTCCATTTTCTATCTCCTTTTTGCATCTTTCGCATTGCTCAGGTGACATCCGGAATAACCGATTCTGGCGTTTCTATGCCAATTATGACATTTATTTCTGTCTTTGCTGGTCTTGGGGTTGCTGGCCGTGGTGTTTTGATTACTAGTACATGCTATAGCTCATGTTTTCCCTACCCCGTGTGTTATCGTGCTTTCACGTGTGTTGATGCGTTTATTGAATGATTCTTACTATACCTGGCCGGTTGATCGCATGGCGGTATCCTTCGATTTACACCTACCCCTTAATTTTTGGCATCCAGTTTGTTTCTCTGCCCATTCATTATTCTGTTTAATAGACGGGATGATACTCAAAGGCCTCCTTTAGTTTATCTATCCTTTTGATACCATTCAAATTATCATTGAAAGGCCACTGTACAATGTTAGTCAACTGAGTTAATCATGACCACTTCTTGTCCCGACCATTCTCGATGATTTTCTGTTTCTTGGATTTGATGAACGTCGTCTTCGGCTTCATACTCTGGGATTGGTTATTATCATTTTGTGTTTGTAGTTTTCAGGCAACTAATATATTAAAAATTACAAAAAACTACCAGTCTCGAATCTTCCCTTGACGACAACGGTAATGATGCTAAGGCCCCAGGATGAGCATACGACTGCCTAGCCGAATTGAACCCCCAATCACTCGTTTCTCTTTGCCGCCATTTCGGCCGTCATTCTTAACGTGGTTGGCGCATCCTCTTGCGGAGTGTGGAGTTCCACGATCTAGATGAAAAGAGATAGACATGTTAGCAATTTCCAATATTCTAATCTAGAATTGAGCACATAAGGAGGATTTACTTGGAGACGCTTTGCAGAGCAAAACTCCTTGTTGGAGAACAAGTCAAGGAGTTCCTGCCTCTCTCGAATTTGATATGTTGCAAATTTGTCAGGCTGGGCTCCAAATGCAGACGGGAATTCTCCAAATTTCCACTCTTGAATATCATTATAAGTCGCTTTCCATCCATGGATGTACCGTTCCACGGTATACCCATTATTACAAATAACGAATCTGGGACCACCGTCAGCTGAGTCCTCTGAGTAAAGAAAGAAAGAAGGACACGGTATTCGTTTGGGGGGGTTACATTATTGGAGTTAATCCATTTCTGATCATTGTGCTTATCTCTTGAACAGTAAGCTGAAAGCTACCGTCTCCAATGAATAAGATAGTACGGCGTGGTGTCTTCTCCTTGGTTGCGAGAGCGGCTCCCTGGCAGGCTCCGAGGGAATAGCCTATGCTGCCCCAGAGAACTTGACTTATGGCGGCTACTCCCTTAGGGAATCTTGTACCCCAGATGCCAAAGCTTGAGGTTCCTGTTTCTGTAATGACAATGTCATTCTCTTGCAGCCAATTACCCACATTTGGCCATAGCCAGGAGTGAGTAATAGTTGGGGCTGGAAATTGAGGGCTCTCTTCTGGCACATTCTCCTGCTTTGGAGGAGCAGTAATATTCAGTTTACCCATGCGATTGATGACTTTACGGAGGACTCCCTTCATCCGGACACCGGGGTACTCCGAGTACCGAACAACAATGTAGTTACTGTGGAAGTCAATGGTGTTTAGACGACTGACTCTGTAGGTGAACCCTGTGGTATTAAAATCTGACTTGATTCCTCCGATGCTCAAAATCAAGTCAGAAGCTTCGATATGCTCCCGAACTTGAGCAGTGGAGCCATCTCCGGCATAAACTCCGCCATAATTGGGAAGAGTTTCATCAACTGCCCCTTTACCCATGGGAGCAACAAACGTGGGAAGGCCTGATTTTGATACCAGGTCGTGGATTTCGTCTAAAACCTTGTGACGAATGGCACATGCATCAACAATGATAGCTGGCCGTTTTGCAGCATGCAGGTATTTCAGTACAGTATCAACCACGTAGTCTTCCTTTTCCTGGTCGTTATCTGGAAGTCGCAGATCTATTGGAGTTTTCAAGCGTTTGCCCTCGATCTTCTGCTTGACCATATCAACAGGCAGAGTAATGTACACTGGTCGGCTGCGGACCCAGCATTCCTTTAGGGTACTATCAATGTATGCGGCAGCATCACGGGGATCATTCAGCTTTGCCACTGAGCAGGAAATTCCGGCACTCATATTGGCAAAGACATTAAAATCACCATTTCCCAAGGTATGATGAAGAAGCATTCCATCTCTTTGTGAGGCTGTGCTCGGTTGGCCAACAATATGCACTATGGGGACATATTCAGAATATGCCCCAGCAATGGCATTGAGAGCCGAGAGTTCTCCCACTCCAAATGTTGTAAACAATGCCGAGATCCCATTGATGCGTGCATAGCCATCGGCAGCATATCCTATTCTGCTCTTAGCATTATATCCAAAGACAACTAACAAAACTTATCGACCGTACCGGCATTCAATTCATTACAATTCCCTACCCAATGCAAGTCGCATTTCGGAATGTAGTCTAAAGCTCCTAAGTTGTAATCTCCTAAACGCTCATGCCAATTAGAGCCTGAGACACGAGAGATTCAGCACTTAGGAGGTCTCAATAAATATTAGCTTACCGGGGACCCCATGGATGGATTTAATTCCCATCTGACGCAGTCGCTGGAAGAGATACTCCGCTACATCGATGGGCTCTTCAAGCTCTCTGGTGACGATATCTGAAGCCATGATTGTCAAATATACTGGCTAAATGAAATATACTTGATTCAGAATGTTACAGGAGTAGCAGCATAGTTATATTAAAAGACAGACCTTCAGCTTATATATTTTATCAAGGAAAATATCTTGCAGCAAGTCTTCTTCCCTGGCAATTGCGTCCTACTTGCTTTCCATATCAGCTCTGAGCAACCTATGACGTCACAGCCATGTCGGTAAAAATATTATCCTCTCCGAATCTTATCTTATCAGCCCGTCTCAAAATTTATTAGTTATGTAAGCAAGGACTTCCTTTTGGTAAACCTTTCATAATAACATTTTGGTTACAACTCCCACCTCAGTCAGCGATAACAGCGGCCAGCCACAGTCATGGCCGACACTGGAGGTAAAAGAAAAGCAGGCGATCCCAGCGCTCGTGAAAAGAAGAGACAAAAAGTAGGTTCTTACCGGGTCAAAAGCCCAATTAGTACTAAACCTGGCGAGGGTCATCCTTGGATTTTATAGCTAGGGAGCTAATTGAATACTGTGTTGACACGCGTCTTAGGGCCAGTGGAAAGGCCATGACAAGCGAAAAATTAATTCGAAAGGAAAGCTAGCGAGCGGTGATTCTGGAATATTTGTTAGCTGTGATAGAGGTCGGGAGGGAAAATGCTCCGCTGAGATCCTAGATCTCCTTTCACAGGTCTGTTAGCCATCCCTCTATGCCTCGATCACCTAGCTATTCTCTTAGCAATTGGACTGATAAAAAACCATAGGAAGTACCAGGAGCTGTCGTGGATCAAAAGGATGACGGCACAGGCGATGAAAATGAGAACGAAGATGTCGATATCGAGGAACAGATAAAGCGGGAGGTGGAGCAGATGCAGCCTAAGCGATCGAAAGCACCGTTTCAGCTCATAAACCTGGACGTCCCGTGTCGTAAGCTGTCTAGAGTACGAATTATTTTTGCATTGCGCTGAATCCCTGACCTAAGAGCATGGCAGTTATATTCGTGAAAACCAGCGGTACATTGAATCCGGTAGATATTGTGCATCGCCTATGCATTGATGCCCGGACACATCCCGAACAGAAGAGAAGCCGTTGGGTTAAACGATTAACCCCAATTACATCAATGAAGAAGATTCTCGGCGGCGGGTTGGAGGAGCTGGCTCGTGATGTACTGAGGCCGCATTTCCATTCTGGCGGCCCTCCCAGAAAGGTATATACTTTCTCTGGTTTGGCAAGCAAGTTCCGGACATTATTACTAACTGGTGGCGCGCTATGTAGTACGCTATTCGACCAACCATTAGAAACAACACGGATTGCCAGAGGGACTCGGTCATCAAACTCATTGCTAGTATTGTTGGGGGTAAACATTCAGTGGACTTGAAGAACTATGACTTGTTAATTCTTGTCGATGTTATCCAGGTAGGCGCATCCTACCTAAACATGAGTCTTGTGTCAGTGTACCTCCGCGGAAATGGCTGACCATAATTACGCCAGACTATGTGTGGCATGAGTGTGGTTGAGGGTGATTATGACGAATTAAAGCGTTATAACCTCTCTGAAATATATTCTCCCACGCCACGGCCGGAAGTAAACCCGGAGAAGGAACCAGGAGGAGGAGCCGAGAAAGTGCAAAAAGAGCAAAAGGATGCTTAACCGGGCGAAGTGGGCGTTTTTCAAAAAAAGGGGTTGAAAAATAAAATACACGAACAAAAGATAAAAAAGATAACCCTGGCATCATTTTGTCCTTCGCCAAATGATCACCTACGGTTGGAAGACCCCGTCACCGCTTGCCATCCGTGACTCGCCTGTCGAACCCAAGCTGGAACGCCAGAGATGTTGCACTAGGACCAGGGAGAACGCATGGACCGCCAATTGAAAACGCCTTGGGGGGCTCTCTTAATACATAGCATGATCATGATGTGGACAACATACATGACCCGGTTTATATTATTATGAACTGGCGCAAAATAAGAGAAACGAAAAAATGCTCGGTAATCTCGGGCGTTCTCGAGCCGACCCTGCTTGACCAAGTCTTCCCATCCGACTACAGTGTAAACACGAGATCTGACGTTAATTATTCGCTTCGCATTGTCCGCAGGCTCTCGCTTTGCAACCAACCCCTTTTGCGGGTGAAGCTGGCAGCGAGACGCACTTTTGGGGGTTTGATAACTAGATAACTAGGCGATTGGCTCCCTTCCGCGCCAAGAATCGACCGACGATGGTCGAAGCTGAGCCATGATGACGAAGGGAAGAAAGAAGCAAAAAAGGAGACGAAGGAAAGCAAGCTCGGGATGGATGGATGCGATCCACCCTGCTTTGCATTTGAGTTTTAAGGATTTCCGAATCTGAAATCTCGCCAAATGCGCGGCTCTCATTGGTGCGACGCGGCGCATAATCGACAGCGTCCCCGTTTCACCTCTAAACATGCATCGAGCATTATTACTGAACACAGCAAAATCTGGCGAGGTTACTTTCGACAGGCGTACTCCAACCTTCCAACGGCACATCCTCGAGTGTGCGGATACCATGGAGGTCAAGGACACTTCCCGCCCAAGCCCGTTCCTGCGGCGTTCCCCCAGGGTGTGACCCCGGCAAGATACAAACACGAATCTATCATCATTTGAATACTCAGCAGGCTGGCCAAGTGGCTTCCGTTCGTTCGGCCGGGAACGCTGGCTGGGTGAACTTGGTATCTACCAGGCTGCACAATGTCGACTTTTTTTTTTTTCCCGCTCATCCTTTTCACTGGCGCAGCTGCTTACCAGTATACGACCAAAGACGCAATGGGAGGGTGGCCTGGAATATACCCCTACCAACAATCCATATATCGAACCCTGTGGATGCTTGGGGCATTAGTCCGATGATCAAAAGCATAATTTACCAGACTTGTGGCGCTTGAATTTGACACAAGCGACTCCCTTAACGTTAAATCTGGCTACCGTGCTCTATCTGTTTTTCATGGCAGTACCTCTTAGCGTCTCAAAGGCCCATTTTATATAGGTAGGGAAGGCTGCAGCAAATTGCTAGACCATGATGAAGGGTTGCACTTTTTCGACTTCAGTGAGGAACCAAAACATATATATACAGTTTCTTATATACACACAATGACTGCCTTCGGCTTCACCCCTAAGAGTCGTGTCTCTCCATGCACTGGCCAGGATTCCCGACGTGGTCATCATAACTCGTTAAATATGCAACGGCAATGTAGTACTCCACCATACCCTTATGTTATGCATATTTCTACTACAACGATGGTCTCGGTTGGTTTTCCTGAGAAGGTGCCTCGCAATAATAAAAATACTCCTTCTATCGATGGGTTTATTCAACCCCTTTTCCCCAACCAGAAAGTTTTGGACATACAAACCTATGACGAAGATCCGCATCCACACTATCTCCTACATATGTCTGGAGGAACTGAGCTCGCATTGAAAACATCGACACGCCAACCAGAAACTGTCCTATACCATGAACGGCATGCTCTCGAAGTCGAGGCTCACGTCTTGTTGTTACTTGAACCGAGCAGGATATGGTGCATCCCAAAGCTTATTCGATGTGAGGTAGTTCCGTCATCTCCAGAAGTAGCATGTCTTCTACGTTACAAGTGTCCCGGCACGCCTCTTTCGGTAATCAAAGAGAAGTTGACGTCGGAGGAGCTGAAACGAATTGACAAGCAACTCGGTATTACTGTCGATCGAATTGGGCAACATACCGCTACGAAATTCGGTCCAGTCTATGATATATGCATGGGAAGAGGAGAACGGACTTGGAAACAAGCGTTTCTTAACCTCCTTGAATCACTTTTATGGAATGCTGAAAATATGCTCATTTCATTACCGTATTTTGAGATTCGTCATCAAGCAAGTCGTTTGTCTGCGGTGTTTGATGATGTTACGGAACCACGATTGATTTTGTATAATATCAGTCAGCCTTCCCATATCATCATCGACCCTGAGACTAAAGATATCAGCGGTATTATCGATTTCACCGCTGCAACATGGGGTGATGTTCTTATGACCGACATATTTGAAAACCCTTCCCTCGAAATCATCAGTGGGTACGGGTCTGACCCTACACGGAATGGGTTCGCACCTATCCGTTTACTCTTGTAAGTGTCTTTCGCTGACAGAACGTTCCATTTCATCTAAGCTAATGGTACTGTAACCCTTAGCTATTCCTGCTACCGCAATGTCCTCAAAATAGTGAAGCAATACTATCGGAACCAGCCCCATGAGGAGGAGCTTCGAGTCCGAAAGAATTTGATGTCGGACCTTGCCTCTATAGCAGAGTATACCCCATGATACTCTTTCTTTCTGTTTTCCATCTTCATCGCGCTTTATATTGGAACACATGGAGCTATTCTGTTGGATTCCGGTCGCCTAGGGCTACTGCTACGGTGTATAATAGAAGGAACATATTGGAGCTGGGAAAAAAGGGCTCTGGGATGGATTTGGAGAGGCGTTTGTTCGGGATTTGGATTCCGGCCCCTTCCGCTAACAAGAGAGGCGAGATAAAAAGGAAAGCCGCAAGATGACTATCCAAGCACTTCTTGTGTTCTCTCATGTTTTTGTTTTATACTGTGTCGACAAATAACTAGCGGTTATCGAAGTGAGGTCCATGCCCTTTCACGTGCATTTAACTCTCTCGTTGGTGAGCTTATTTAATTGACGTCAGCCGCCAAGAGCGCGAGCCAGAAACGCCTTTTGCTTCTAATCGTGAACCACTTCGGTTTATCTTGGTTGCTGGCGATTTAAGAATAAAACTATCCCAGTGTCAAAGTACGTACGCTCGTTAACGCGTTGGTTATAGAGATGGCCCATTTTTTACGAGGAAAGCAGGCTGGCATCCAGAGTGATCTCTCCGGGAGCCTCTCGCCGGAAAGCTTCCTCATAGACGAGGTGAGTCCGTCGAGTTAGAGAGGCCTGGATGCATGCCAGCCACCCCTATGAGTTCTGCGTAATGTGAACTAACTCGGCACTCTATCAGGTGGCTCGTTATGGCATAAATTCCCGAATCAGCGCTATAGCGTATGACCCCGTTCAGTCGTTACTCGCTGCCGGCACAAGCGAGACGCAGTTCGGCAGCGGGGAGATTTATGTGTTTGGACAAGAGCGAGTCTCTGCCGTTTTTTCCCTCCCTCGCAAAGCGTCAACGAGTATTCTTCAATTCTGCGGAGATAAGCTACTCGCCGTTGCGAAGAATGAGCTATACGTCTTCTCGCTTGATGAGAGAAAGCTCGTCACTTCGTATGCGCCGCCTGGGCATGCTACGTGCGTGCTTACAGACCCAGCCCTAGACTATGCATTTATCGGGCTACAGAACGGTTGGTTATGACAATTGTTCCATGTGCTGCTATTTCTAGCTTTCCCTAGCTGATCGTTTATCGGCGATAGGCGAGCTTGTCACATATGACCTCGACCGGCATATGGTAGCTCCATTCAAAGTGTCAAATTTATGGAAAGAGAGAAATTCGAGGGCCAGGTTCCTCCCCATAGTATCCCTTGCTTTTCATCCAAAGGATATAGGGACTCTACTGATCGGATACTCGGACGGAGCCGTGATATTTTCTATCAAACAAAATGTCCCTGTCAAGTACTTCCAGTATGAGGTACCCAAGGGCGCTCCGGGTGGTGATTCAGACCCCTCCTCAGCTCGTGAGACGAGGTGGCCTAAAGTTGTCAAGGCACTCTGGCACCCAACTGCCACTTTTGTTTTAACTGCGCACGAAGATTCATCTCTTGTGTTTTGGGACCCGAAAGATGGGCGTGTCGTCATGGCTAGAACGATACAGGCAATAGATGTGAATAAACCAGGCGAAGTCGCATCTACATCTGGCTCAACTCCTGGTACTTTCTCACTAAAAGCACCTATTTTTGAAATTGCATGGTGTTGCAAAGAAAACCCGGACGATACGGGACTACTAATAGCTGGTGGAACACCTACCACTGAGATGACAAAAGGGCTCACGTTTATTGATCTCGGGATTACTCCAAACTACCAAACTTCTTCCTGGCAAGTCCTGTCTGGTCATTTCTCATCTTTAAAGCGTCAGTCAACATTACCGACTCCGCCAAATGCAGAAGTAGCCCAGTTTTGCCTAATTCCCCGAGCATCACCCCATTTCGGGGGTGCTCAAGATCCTATTGCAGTTATTGCTCTTCTATCATCCGGGGAACTAGTTACTCTAAGCTTTCCAAGCGGATACCCCATAACTCCTACCAATGTTTTCCCTCCTTCTTTAACAATGGTCCACCCATTTGCTACCAAATTTGATCTTGCTTGCATCGACAGGACAAGATGGCTTGGTTGGCGAGAGAAGAGAGCACAAGGACCACCCCTTCTTATCGGAGGAGCAGCAGCAAAAAAAAGCACTGAAACGTTTTGAAACCCGCGATATTGCTATTGTTGCACATGCAGATGGTCTCATACGTCTTTGGGATATCGGGCATGACGACCAGATAGAGAATCCAACAGTTCTTCAAGTGGATCTGGCTCGCGCAGTTGGGAGGTATGATAAAATTGAGGCCACCCAGATGTCGTTTTCTGGTGCCGCAGGCGAACTTTCTGTTGGCCTCCAAAGCGGAGAGTTAGTTGTGTTTAAATGGGGTCGGAATGAAAACGCTGGCCGAGATGTGCCCCTTGGGGAGAATAATGGGCCGGACCAGATTACTAGCATATCTCACAGAGGTGACCCTGGACTGAAGGAGGGGCTACTCCCTCTTGCACTGCTAGACCAAAGCCAGGGACCAATTACCGTTCTCAAGCACAGTGATGTAGGATTCATCTGTGTTGGATATAAGTCTGGAAGCATTGCATTTCTTGACTTACGCGGCCCAGCTGTGATATACTCAGCGAACTTGACAGATTTCGCAGCCAAACAGTCACGGAGAAGCAGCTGGAAAAGCCATTCTTCAATGGAAAAAGGGGCAGATTGGCCGACTTGCGCTGAATTTGGTGTTTTAAGAATTGAAGATGACAGTGAGTCCTAATCTCAGCTAATCTTCCCTCATTTCCCAAATATTTCTTGCTGATTATACCCAGGTTACTCGAGTATCAGCTGCTTTGTTGGCACCAACAACGGTCACTTAGCTACATTTAAAATCCTTCCTTCATCTGGCGCAACGTATACCGTGTCTTTTGTTGGGTCGTGTAGTTTGGATGACAGGGTGCTATCCATTTGCCCTATTAACGCGGAGACTGGAGCTCAGACACTAGCTACGCAGGAAGCCGTCTCAGACTTACGAAATGGAGGTAAAGTCAATGGAGTGATTGTCGCGGTCACACCTTCTGGTTGTCATATCTTCAAACCCTCTACTTCCAAAGGCGCCCATAAGAATTGGGATGACTTCATGTGTGATGCTGCCTCTGTGGTTCACTCGCCTGGGGGATGCAGCCTGGTAGGCTTATTTGGTGATGGGAAAATTAGAGCGTACTCCATACCAGCCTTAAAGGAGATTGGCTCTATAAGTATTGGAAAGATACTTGATACTAGAAGGTTGGGCGATGCTCGGATATCACCATCCGGAGATATTCTTGCATGGACAGGACCATCTGAAATGGCTATGCTTCATGTTTGGGGTGTCAGCAGCCCGTTGTACGTGGAAATGAAGTTGTTGTCTCCCTCTAATGTGAACACCAAACTGACAAAATATCCTCTCATATAGGCTCCGGTCAGCAGACAGGCTCTTTAATCCCGAAGCAATCGCTCCACCTCGCCCAGCCATCTCCAATCTACAATGGATATCCGGGACACAATTTGTATCAACCGCAGATGTGGATTTATTGGGTAAGTTGTTAGCCTCGATAAACCAAAGCCATCCGTGTCAGTAGCTGGTTTAACGCAAATCTACTTGTAGTTGGAGGACCAAACCGCCCTCCCTCTAAGCGCATGCTCGAGCAAATGCGTCTCGAAGAGCAAGAGCGTCAAAGGGCAGAGCGTGAAGGGCGTCTTCCCAGAACCAACACCTCTAACTCACAGGGCTCACAAGAGTCATATTGGGCATATATGCAAAGACAAATGCAGGAAAGAACTGAAAATTTAAACATTATGGGCGATAGCATGGATCGCCTTGGAGAGAACAGCAGCGGCCTAGCAGATGACGTTAACAAGTTTGTCAGGAACCAAAAGAAGAAGGCAGTTCTGGGAGGTAAGTTAATATCTCCCTGTTTTACGAAGATAAGCTAAAAACTGGCATGAATGCTGATGTTAAATCCTTCAGCGCTTGGCTCGAAATTCGGGTTCTGATACTATCTGAACACATGCCTCAAGGAAGTAAAATTGATGGCATGTGCCTCTCTTCTTGGAATCCCACACCTTGTACTTCTTCTACTTACTTCCTCATCCGGGAGGGGGTTTCCCCTCTCTTTTCTGTCACTCACGAATTTATTGATGATATATAATCTTAGAGAAGGGGCCGAAGTTAGGTTTCATCCACGCCGATTTAGGGCAAGGATGGGCTCTTTGAAGCCTAAGTTCGTTTCAATAGTACTTTTAACTATACTCACAGATAATGTACCTTTACGCGTGAACGGGCAAACAAGAACGGTATGTCTACTAGACCTTAAGGGGTCCCATTTCCCTTCCACGCAAACGATGTCACAGATACGGATATACTTAGGAAGAAATGGATCTCATGACTATAAACAAAACTCGAGTTTATCATATGGAGTGCTCCATACAACCCCCATTTATCCTTATGAAGTGGCGGTAAGAACTTACAAGAAAGAGCACTCTTGTGTTTATATGCATCTCCTCCCCCACACGATCCCTGTTCCTACTAGCTCTCTGTTATCAATGGCTCAAAGGATGAACCATGAACAGTTTCCGCCCCCCGCCCTCATCCCCGACGCCCGGAAGAAGTCGATCTTTGGGTTCACGATAGATTGCTCTCCATAGAGTCATCATCTTGGCAGCACAAACCAACAACTTCTAAATACACTATCGATTCTTCCCCGAGTGGTCCATCAGCAGAAGGAGAAGCAGCAGCATCGCCATCGTTGCCATCACTGCAAGCGGTAAAAGCAAGGCACTCCCAATGAAATTAAGCGGTTTCAAGGGGAGCACAGTCCACGGAGCTGGGGATTACCCGTAACCCCAAACGTATGATACAAGTTGATCCCTTCATTCTGGTTACTGAGGCTCCTATTTGATCTGTGACCTGTCAAAAGCGACTGCACGGCACGATCTCCCGCTAGTGTCGAGGCCGGATGCACAGTACGTACGTACGGGTATTATGTAGGGGTATGTATGTCATAGGCACATGTACATACGAGCTTATATATTCCATGCTATGCATGCTTCGACTAGACTGTGGCCTGGAGGCAGACTCGGGCCGTTTCCTGCGTGTGGGAGCCCATCAATGGAGGACAATGCCTTGACTGCTCCTTGGTTGGTGGTTGGCTCGTACGTCATCATAGAGACCGTTGGAAGGGCACATCGGCCAGAATCTACACGAGGTACTCTGCGCCAATGCATGTACCTACGAAGGGTAAGATACCAACTTCTTGCAGCTTGCATATACTTGCCTATGGCGAACCGATGGTGCCATGCGCAGCGCCGGGGAAGGACGACCGCCAGCAATCTGTATAAAACATGGCTGAGGAAGTTGTTCCGGCCACCTGCAGTCGGGTGTGTGGCTTCTCGCCTTCTCACGCTCTCTCTGCATCGTTGCTGTCGCCTTCTCTCCCGCTCCATGCTTTCTTTTCTTTGCTCCATCTCGTTGCCGTCTCCTTCGTCTCCTTCGTCCACTTCGTCCACGCTGGCCACGCTGTCCACGTCGCCGTCCAAGCCGAAAGTTCGGTCGAAATGGATGTTGACGTCGGCGAGGGAGGCCGATGATGACTAAGCGACTCGCCCGAGAATGTCGACGAAGCAGGAAAATCCAACAACAGCAAAAAACAAGCAGAGCAACGCAACGCAACGCAGACTCCGCAGGTCAAGGGGAAATCCAGTACTCCGTACAGGCTGGGATCCCGGGCAGTGCATACATACAAGAAGAAAAGAACCTCGTTCAGGGAGGGAGAGAGACGCGCACCCATGGAATAGTGGCGTTTCCTTCCAACATTTTTTTCGGGAAGCCAAAGATCTGGGTGGTGGATGGGGTCACTAACTAACCAACTAAACGACGCAGGCCAGATCAATAGATCGAAGACGTCCCTTGTTCGGGCGGCTTCTGGACGGCAGAGCTGATCTAGACAAAGGAGATGAGGAAGGATGAAGAAGACGGAGACGAGGCAAGCAGCATGGCCGCCACGAACCCCTCGAAGCGAGGCTCACAGTTCTTCGCGCAGCACCAAGAGGTGTAGGAACAACATGGGGGTGCGCTTGGCCTTGCGTTTGAGATAGAAAGAACCTGTCACTCTGTGATGACTTGGCCAGGCATTTCCCCCCTTCTCAGACGCAGTCATGATTCTCTGGCTGTCTCGTGAAATCTTGGGTGTTTTTTTTTTTTGCGCATCATCCTGAGAAGTGCTGCTGACTGATAGCCTATTCCCGGCTCCGAGCTTTTGGGGATCGAGGCTATGGGGGGATCTCATCAACGCAGCCGGCACTAGACTTCGACTAGCCGACTAGTTTACCTTCGTGGATTTCTAGCCTCGATATGTCAAAGGTGGAATTGATTCTCTTTGGTCTAAAAGCAAGCTTGTTTCTGGATCTTGACCAGAAAGGCTTGATCGATGCCAGCGGATAACGATTCCGGAAGGTCGGTGGATGTCCTAAGTACCGTGATGCCTGGCGATGGCTTGCTTTGCCCAGATAATCTACCCTTGCCGCGAGCGAAGCACCACCACAACCGCCCTCTCGAAAAGAAAAGAAAAGAAAAGAAAAGGAAATAAAATCACTGACAGTAACAGAATGACAGACACTGACAGAGCAGAGAAGCAACAGAAGAAGAAACGAGAAGAAGCAGCCCGAGTTTCCCGATGGGAAAAGTCATGATCCGATTGGATTACGGATAGAAGATGCATTAATACGCCTGCTACCGCTCTGCTGTAGTTCTCTAATGATACATATACATAATGCGTTGACGGGGGTCTTCCCGGCTGACCTTGCGAAGGAAGCCTCAGGAGGTATGCAGTATAAACGTACGAGGCCGTTATCCGTTACCTCTCCCCAACATCGGCTTAAAAAGATAAAATTCTCAGTACTTATCCGTACAAGGCGAAGAAGGACGCTTAGACTTAAAGTCCTCGAGTTCCCGATGAAACGGGTTGTTACTTGGTACATCTCGTACTTTTTCCCAACGCTGATGGATCAACCAAGGGGGATCATCGATTTTGAGTGATTTTCCTAGACTTGGTTCCCCCGGATAATTTCCAGACTAACTATCATATTAGGCTTTTTTCTGGAATTCGTCCATACATATGGGTAGAAAGGCTAAGGGGGGCCAACAAAAAGGGAGGAGACCGAGTGCCTGACTTCTCCCCCACAACCCCCTGGCTTGCAAGGACACAGCCAACGAAATGTTGTTCACTGTCCAACCTGCGCAAACCGAATCGAAAAGGGAGGCTCTGGGGGATGGTCGATGTATAGTCCATTACGGAGTATGCTTGGCCATGATGCTCGTACAGGAGGCTTTCTGGGGGGCATTCACGTATTTTTGCGGAGAAAGAGAAAAGAGATGAAGCGGCTAATCGTGCCACCTTTCTCGAAGCGAGGTGCTGAAGGCCATCACTGCCTATACACCCAGACTCGGCTTTTTTCAATGAACTTGTGGCTATGGCCAGATGCTTTAAAAATTTCCACCTTCCCACTTCAGGGCGCAAGCATCCTACTTAGTGGACAGCGGGAAGATAAAGATGGCGTAAAGAGGGAGAGACAAGAAGCACCTATTCTCAACCCCATGACTGGCCAGCAGCTCCTTTCCACCCAAAACTAAACCTTCGTTTGCCCTGCCGCTGCCACATATCACGGCCGCCTCTTGTGTCCACTTGGGGTTCTGTTGAAAAAAAAAAAAAAAAAAAAAAAAAAAAAAAAAAAAAAAAAAAGAAGAAGAGAAAAAGAAAAAAGAAAAGAAAAGGAAAGGAAAGGAAAACGAAAAGGAAAAAGAAAGAAAGACCAAAAGGTTAAAAAAAGAGAGAGAAGACGAGAAGACAGGCAAAGAGAGAGGCGCCCCAAGGGAACGGACAGGAGGGAAAGATGTGCTAGGAAACGAAAGAGAGTTCCCACCTTGACAAGGGATAGCATAAGCAACAGTTTTCTAGATCTTGAGAGAAGACGCAAGGACTGGAGAGCTAGGCTCTGGAGCAAGGGTAGAAAACGGACGGCCTTCGCTCCCCTGCTTGCTTGTTCGCTCGCTCGTTCCTCGACCGCTTGATGCAAAGGCCATCGTGATATACTTGAAGCCGGATCAAATCCCTCTAGCCCTTTTCAAGTAGCAGCCTGTCAAGGAAAACAGGAGCTTTCAGCGAGTTACCCCGTAACTACGGAGTACTTAAGTTATAACTACTTGAGCGGCGGCCGTCGGCTTTTCTTCCTCTTCTATTTTCCTTCCCTGGATCCTCCCCCAGTTCAACTACGAGTCTATCATCCGCTTCTCCACACCCCTAACGTCCCCCGAGCCCACCGGATGGAGATACACTGGATCGACTTGGAGCCGCTACAGTGAAGTTCTAGGGAAGACACAGAAACGACTTCATAGCTTCAATAAGACGCTGGCTATTCTATTTTCCTCAAAACCAGCTCTGCTCAACTACCTTCGCCAGCCGCGCGCTTCTTTTACCTATGACCAATTGGTGCATTCTCTCTGCGCCGTACCCGTGACGCCAGTTTCATCCTCCACCCAATCCAGCTCAAGGTGGCTTTTTGTTTATATATTTATACATTCCTGCGTGCGGGCTGGTAAAACAGGCTCTCACCCTCTAGCAATTGTCGGCGTCAAGGGAAAGCAGGCCGAGAAGCTTAGGATCAAGGCCGTTCAATACCAACGTGTTGCAACTTGCCCGCCAAATGAGATCGGTGCCTATCGACCATAGTGGATCGAGGAATGGCGTCAATATGGACGACGTAGCTACAAAGTCCGAGCCACACCATACAGTCGAGGGATCATGCAGTTCGTCTTTATCTACACCCGAGCCCGAGGGGGAGGTTGTTATTCAGGACCCTGTGCAAAGACAGAAGCGCAAGGGCGGAAGAAAGCCAGTAGGTACTTGGCCTTTCCTGCGAAAAAGGGGAGAGAGGATATTGATACACCGCAGTCTCTCCCCTACTTTACGCAATCTTTCTTCTTAGACTATTGGATTTGTACGAGCACGAGAGGCTAACACTATGATACCTGGTCGGTGTGCTTTTTGCACTCCGCCTTTTGGTTGTGCCCACTGCTTCAGATTTATGCTACTTCTGAAGAACGAAAACAGCGGAACAGACAGGCCCAGGCGGCCTTTCGCGAGAGAAGAACCGAATATATAAAACAGCTAGAGACCACAATAAAGCATAACGAGGAAGCGTTACATAGCTTACAACAAAGCCACCGCAACGCCGCGGACGAATGCCTTATGCTGCGATATAAGAACTCGTTATTGGAAAGGATTCTGCTGGAGAAAGGTAGCCAACCCCTAAACCTACACGGTGTTCCATATTATCAACAAGAGTCGAATACTGACGTACATAGGTGTCGACGTACAGGCTGAGCTACGTCTCAGGGGTGGTAGCCCGAATCTACCCCCTAACAGGCTGCCAACCAGTCAGCCATCTCACGGCTCATCTCTAGAACAGGCCCCCCCAGGGCCGACCACACATCTCCCGAAGTTAGAGCCTATTCCCGTGTCACAAGTACATCGTGAGGGGAGCTACATTATGCAGTCTCCGCAGCTCCAGACATCTCCGTCCTCTCATATGTCGTCTCCAGTGGCAACAAAGTCAACAGCTTTTGGTTTGCAGGGGACCGTCTCTCCCACGGCAGCCGACATACAGCACCAACAGCAGTACAAGCCTCACCCGTACCATCGAGCTCAACTTTCTCCCCAGGCAGGTGGTTTTGGACCGGGAATCACTTCTGCTGCCACCGAAAGTATTGAGCCAACTCCTATCCTACCGTCACGGATACCACCTACTTACTACCTCTCCCCCTTTCAAAAGCAATATAACCAGCTAGGCAAGTCGGGCCATCCCACTTGTTATTTCTCCTATGCTTCTATCCTCGACATTACTTTGCTAACACTGGTCATGCAGAACAGGAATATGATGCTCGTTCAAGCTCTGTGGACGGACCCGATCCGCCAGAAGGCAGTACTGCAGCAGACTACCAATCTCAGCAGTCTCTGCCACGTATACAGCAACGACACCACCCGATATCAACCAGCAGCGATGCTGAAGGTATGACAGCTAGCACATCGTTTATTGAGCAATTCGACCCCATGATGGATCCCGACCCATTTGGTCTGTCCGCCAGCATGCACTTCCCCACACCCTTTACCTATACTCAGAGCCATGGGCGGCAGTAAGGTAAAGAATAAAAAAAAAATAAATAAAAAAAAAAAAAAAAAAAAAAACAACCAAAAACGGTCTCTTGCATATATACATCGTTCTGACGTGACTGGTTATGCAACATCTTTGACCATGCCGGACCAATCTGGCCAGGCCCAAAATAGGCCTATGTTGGTACGACATATTAGAGATATATGAGGTGTTTTATGGAGTATATCGTTAGCTACTAGGGACCTGCTACATTGCAGGCGGAGGAAGGGATCTACAGTCAGCTCAAGGAGGGAGTCTGCTGCATTTTCGAGGCGTTAAGCTTGTTTGTTTGCTTTTTCTTGTCGTTTGTCTGTTGGAGGAAGGGAACAGGAGGGTAGAATAAAACGACTTCTTTCGATACCCACTTTATGTATGGACAATATGGACAATGCTCATCATCATCATCATCATCATCATCATCATCATCATCATCATCATCAGTACTGCATATCTTGTCTGGCTGCGTATCACTGTCTGTATCTCTGTCGATTGTCTATTTGAGTCTCTTATCGACGCCCTTCCTCTTCGGGGCATCTGCCCTAAGCCCTAAGTCGCGCCGCCCGCAAGCGCCGGCCCGACGTTCCTCCGCGCGGCCCAAACAAACTCGCTTAACCCGAAGAAGCAAGAAGCTGCACTCCGAAACAGGCTTAGGGCGCCTTTTTTTTCCGGGCGGGCGCGAAAAGAGCGACGCAGGCAAATAAGCGGACGGGCGAGAAAGCGACAGCGAAAAAACAACACCTCCTTCGCACCGTCGACAACACCGCATCGCCACAGCACACGAGGCCGAATTCCTTTGCTCGCTAAGGGGTTTTCTGCCTTCTGCTCTGGAGTCCAGGTCGCTCCGTATCCCCGAATTGTTGCAATAAACAGAAAGCCTTCCAAGGAAGGCAATATCAAATCCAGGCGTCATGGCGGACGTCCGGTCCAAGGTGCGTTCGGCTTGCCCTTCCTGCTGCATGTTCTCTTACCCGGCAGCTCTCTACATGGGCAATTGAGAGGCTCGATGCATGGTTACGATCGGCTGGCTGACATGTTTGTTTTGGGGGGTTGATATAGAACATGTACGAGCTTCTTGGTATGAGTTATCCTGCTACCATCGAATAAGACGCTGCGCTATACCCCCACGTCCCCAGACTGCCGGCTGCTATTTTGATCTACAGACATTAACATCTACGCCCAACACACAGGCAACGACCCTGAGCTCGATCCCAACCGAGAGCCGGAACCTCCAGTTCAGGTCGTCGACAAGAGCGCTCCTCGCCGTGGCAAGCGCGACGGTCCAAGCGAGCCTCGCGACACTGTTCCTCCTCCTCGTGGCAACCGTGGACCCAGGCTCCCTGGAAACGAGCAAGGTAAATAGATTATATACTCGATCTTTCTCCCATGCCCGCCCAATCTGTCAATCCCACCTTTTCTTTCTATTTGTTTTTTGGCTGTGGCGATTTTTCCACTATGATGTCACGTGGGCAAGCACGACCACATCCAAACTTACCCGCCCTATCGACATTATCAATATCAATCTATAGGACGTTGCTTTCTAACAAGGTGATCTTGGGTATATCAGCATTCCGTGACCGCAACGCCGGATCTCAGAACAACCGCAATCGGCCAACTGATGCCCCCAGTGACCGCGCTCCGCCAGCTGCCCATAGAAACCGTGATACCCGCGGTTACAACATTCGGGATGACCGCCAATCTCGCACCGACAGAACGTAAGTACTATTATTATTATTACCGTTGTCATTAATATTGTGAGATTCCATTTTGCTATAAAGAGCGGCTACTAATTAGTGTTATTTTTTGCCTATCTGCAGTATTACAGAGAAGCAGGTCGAACAGGGCTGGGGTTCTCGCTCTGGCGAGTCTGCTCTGAAGGATGAGCGTGCTGGAGAAGATATTGCCCGCTCTGAGGAGAAAGAAGCCGCCGAGGCTAATGCTGAGGAGCCTGTTGAGGAGCCAGAGGACAAGAGCAAATCATATGCTGACTACCTCGCTGAGCAAGCCCAGGCCAAGCTCGAACTCGCCGCAAAAGAATCCCGCAAGGCCAACGAGGGAGCCAAGATGGACAAGAAATGGGCCGCTGCCAAGGAGTTGAAGCGCGATGACGAGGAGGACGAGTACATCAAAGGCCAGAGCAAGGAGACCAGGCGCGAGCGTCAACGCAAGGAGAAGAACGTCCTTGAGGTCGACATGCGCTTCGTGGAGGTCCCGCGACGTGGCGGCGACTCCTCCCGTGGCCGTGGCCGTGGTGGTGACCGTGGCGGCGATCGCGGTCGTGGCGGTCGTGGCGGTCGTGGTGACTTCCGTGGTGGCCGTGGAAATGGTCGCGGAGCTCCTCGCGGTGGCCCTTCCCATGCTACAGGCCCTACCGTCGACGAGAAGAACTTCCCTTCTCTTGGAGGCAAATAAGCGAGCAGATCTCTACACCTCCATGTACATGGACTGGCTCCTTAAGAAGGGTGACAGGGCCGGTCTTACACCAAGGCTGCTACTCAACTAACAAATAACTCTTTTTCCTTTCTTTCTTGATGCAATTAACAAAAATTTCATCTAAGCAGAGAATCAATAAAAGGCCCTTTTTTTATGTTTCTAATACTCTTCATCCAACAAAAGCTGAATCATGGAAAAGGGAGAGGCAAAGACGGCCATTGGGAGAAGGGGAAACAATCGGAGGCGAATTTTTGTTTCATATCTTCATGGACTTTTCCTTCTTCTTTCTCCTCCGGCCTTTTTACTTTTGTCTCCTGCGTCATGATACTATATTTCTCCATGAATTGAATCCTTCTCTTGTTCCCTTCTTTCTGCAGCTTCTCCCCCTTATTTCCTGTCCCTCCTATCTGCCTTCTTAATTTCTCCCTACAGGGATCGCAACCGGATAGGGGCGTTTGTCTGATTTGCCGTCTTAAGCTCGTCTGCGCCATACAAGTAGGGGCTACTCGTGTCTGTTTCTCCCTTTTAATGGCGCTGAAAGCTTTGATATGTAGAGATGGGTTTGGGTGCGTCTTCGTTTCTAACATCTTCTAGGGGAATCAAATCGAAAGAGCATTCTCTAATGATCTATCTTGACGGCTATACCCTACTGCCCGTCTTTATTCTATCTAATATACGAACGACATGGATGGGATATGCCCCCCCCCCCCCCTTTTTAGCTGCTGAATACCACTGGAGCAAGAGGCCAGTCAAACGTCAGAGAGACATCCACAATATACCATTTTCATAACTTGACATAGCGTATCCAGTCAGGAGATATCGATGGTCATCAACATTGAATGCCATCTCTTCTTCCTCACTTTGGAAATCTGCAGAAGCCTCTTCTCTCCCTCGACCCCCAGCCCCCCGAATTTGAACAAAGTGAAGAACACAGCTTCACCCTCACGCTCCCTGAACAAAGAGCTTTTCCTCCCGGCTTGCTCAGCAGGTTCTGTCTGTCCTCCTGGTGGCCGGGAATATCGGCGTCTGCTCGCCTAGCTAGCTCACACTCGCACATCCTTGATATCTGGGTCTTCTCATCTGCGGCTTTCACTGCTTACCACTCCCAGGCACCGTCAATAATTCTCTTCTCAATTTCTGGTTCGATACCTGAATACCCTAAAGTCTCGCTAGATATACGCCTGAGAAAATGGACTTCTACTACAAGGTTGTCAAGACGCCAACTACCGCTCATTCGACCTGTTCCATCTTTGCCCTGGACAGCCCAGGTCCTCAGCCCAGAGTCCACTTCGGATGCGAGCGCGAGCACCTCTACAATCTCGACTTTGGCAGCCTAAAAACTACTAGTGGATATGTCGTCGGCATGCGGTCAGAATCGCAGCACCAGTTGGTGCTCGACAAGAAGTACAAGGGACACAATGCAGACGAATATCCGATAAGGGGCCCAGAGACCACAGGCACCCCTAACATCCGCCTCTCAAACGGCCTGGAGTACAACGAGGGCAACACATCCCCAGTCAAGGAAGAAGAAAGCGCCTACAAGAGCCCATCGCCTCCTCCTACGCCTTACCCGGCCTTCAGGGCCTTAGAGCCAGAACTATTCCCACCAATTAAAGGCTCATCATGCGGCGGCTACGAGGTCTACAAGAAATCACTTCCCTTCCGCCAACTCGGCTGGTCGTCCCAGGGTGAAATAATCAGTAGAGAGATATCTCTGCCCACTCGCCGGGTTCAATTCTCTTCTTTCCCATCTCCCATGGTGCCTCCTGCTCGAGAGCTGCCACCGCACCGCAGGGCTGTTCGCGAACCACTGCTTCCCATGCTTGTGTACCATGATAACGGCGAGGAAGAAATCGTGTCACGGTACAATTACCTCCCTTTTGGTCGACAGGCGAGAGATCCAACCCCTAATGCTCTGGAAGATCTTGTTGCTGAAGCTCGTGCAAATGGTTTCACTACTGAGCCAGAATCTCACCAACACATCAGCAGCCGTGACTGGTACGATTGCGCGGCTGGGTCTCCGGAATGCGAGCAATTGCCATCTGCTCGTAAGAAAGCTCGCGAGGACCTTTTTGCTGCCTTGTCTCGTCGTTTGGAGTCTCGTCCCCCTCCTCAGTACATTGTTATGCCTGATCCTCCTTTCCCTTGGATGAGAAGATGAATCAAATCACCTTAGATTCAGTCACTCCTTATTCCGCCCAGTATGACCGAAAGAAAGAAAGGAGGAGAATCTGAATACCTACTGTTGCAATTCACCTTTCACCGTTGCCCGGTTCCACTTGGGTTCGACTGTATTTTTGATTTAATAACCTGATGCAACACTGACCTTAGTCTTTCCTTTATCACCTATGTCTTCTTCACGTTTTACTTTTGTTCCATTACTTAGTTACTCAGATTCCAAGTCGACTTCCGGATAGGCGGGTTTGGCTAATCTGATTCTGGGCGTATCCGTGGCACAAACCCACTGGTTAATTGGCACTGGAGGTACTTTGTACAGCGGCTTGCTGTAATTCTCCCCATATCCATGATGTATGATATTAGACTTTACCGGCAGGGATAATATATTAAAAATAACGATTTTATTTGATTCCCTGGATCTGATATACGAGAAATCCAAGGTGTCTCTCAACTTGACCAGCAAAAGCAGTAACTATCTAGTCTCTCGCCGCACAGCAGCAAGATATCTGCAGCATTGGTCTATTCTCGCCTTGTAGGGGAGGACATGAAACCACCATCTAGCCACAGCAAAGCCAAGGGCAGGAAGAGGTTCTTAACGGGTAAAGAATCCGAATGAATGTCCGAAAGAAACGCCGTGTTGAAGGGAGCAATATATAATAAAAACGGAAGTGGGTTGTGGGGGAACGCAGTACAAATAACGATAATGAGAAGGAAAGGGGGAATGATATCAGAAACAATGAGTCCTTCCAATGCCGGTTCGTTTAACTAGTCATTCTCATTAACGATAGTCATCTGCGAGTCATCCATGTCCTGGATGGGGAACTGGGCTTGATCTCCGGCTTTCACCTCCGAGCCATCTGAGTCCTGGATAGGGGACTGAGAGTCTTCATTATCGGCGTCACCATCGTGGACATTATCCTCGGGGATATCCTCGGGAGAGTTGTTATCCTTGTCATCCAGGAATTTAAGTCCATCGGTGGCCTTTCCATTGCACGCCTTCTCCAGAGCAAGGAAGGCAAAATGCCCACCAACAACGGGTCTAGCAAAGAAATTTGGTCCTGGATAGCCTCCATCTTCTTCTGTCTTGTACAGGTCAGTAAGAGGATGATCAGTAGAGGTTTCATTGACCCATTTAGCGTACGATTGGAGGATTTCACTTCGCACGGAGGGACTGGAAACGGCCATGGAAAAGAACTCCCAATCGGACTTTGTGTAGAGATGACGGCTGTCAAGTGGGAGGCCATATTTCTGGCGTACATTGGCGTACCACTTTGATTGTTTCTCATAGACGCGCCTTGGTATGAAACCTGTTTTGCCTGGGGGTGGAGCGATTGGTTCCTGATCGTCCAGTGTACGGGGGTGGGTATCGTACTCCGTTCCGTCAAGATGGAAGCAGAGAAGGGCATCCGCAAACATGTTGTATAGAGTAGTCCAGGATCCATACCAGTCATATGAGAGTTTGGCATGGGTGCCGTCTCTGGAGAACCCAAACCCTTCCCATTTGGTGATGTAGGTATCGGAGATGTTCTAGTGCCAGTTAATTAATGGTATTATCTACTTGCAAACAATGCAGCGTGGCTGACCTTGAAATATTTATAATCATCAGTCTTTCCAACAAAGCGGGACATCTCGCTCATCGCATTTATACCAACGATACCCTTGAGGGCAAGATTAGTTTGAAGCGCAAGCCATCCAGCAAAGTCGTCAGTGGAGACTAAGAAGTTAGCAAGATCCATAAATATCCGGTAGGGATTCTTAAACCTACGTTGATTATGTGGCTCTAGAGAAAACTCAACAAGATAACCAGTCCACTGTCTCCAAAGCCTATATGATTTCTCAACCCATTTCCGCGCCAAATTTGTGGCATCGGGGCCGACACCCCAGACACTATCGAGTCTGTCAATACCACCAACTGTCTGAAGATCGCGAAGAGGGAACAGTCCAACAACATCAGGTTCCGCATCTCGGGCCTCGAGGGTGCCTGGATACCAGGGAGCAGTAGTATTGGCCTCTGGTGGGAATCTCAGGGAGTTGACAATAGACAGACCCATGATAAGCATGTTACCGCATTCCTCGACAGGCATGTACTCATCCTTTCCATCCGGATGTCCGGTCATATTGGGGAAGTGGGCACCCAGATCATGCATGGAGTAGTTGTTAGGGTATTGTCCACTTAGCATATGCTCGATTAATGGCTCCAGGAGATACGCCAACCACCTGGGGTTGGTATAGAGGAAAAATGGGAACGAAGGGAATATGACATCTACAGTCTGGCAATTTCCATTGGAAGAAATCTCCTTGAGGAAGAGAAGTGGATTATCCGAGGTCCCGGAGAAGGAGGTGGCACCGAGGACTTGTCTGGCGGTAAGGGCAACGACATCTACATAGTCTTCAGCGGCAGATAGCTGGGCATCTCTTGCAAGCTGGTTCGAATATCTATGCGCAAGAATCCTGGCTTTGTCCAAATCAAAATAGTGGAAGTTGAGCAGACTCTTCACATCCGGGAAATATGACTCCCAGAGGGGTTTCATGAGAGTCAAACCACGGGCAGAGGCAAACTGGACAACAGGATCCTGGGTATGAGCAATGGTGAAGGTGACTTCATCGTGGATGGCCTCTATATTTGGCTCGTCATCTGTTCCATTGAGGTTGAAGGCCTTGGAATAAGCAAAGACCGGCTCCTCATCCATTACGGTACGGAAACGCTCGTCATTTCTGTTTTGCAAGACACCAGTTCTTGCAAATCTAGTTCTTAGGAGCATCGATGTTCCGGATTCATATCTCACCCCCTTATTTATATAGTTAGTATGCAGATTTCCAAGTAGTTTGAAGGAGACTCTACCTGGGGAGCGAGGAAGTGTAGCATTCCCCATTCTGCTCGGTCCTGGAACTCGGTGAAGAGCTGTTCTGTCTTTCTGCTGACCTGCCACTGGTAAAGTGATTCCCCTTTCCCAGTGTCAACAATGTTATCCATCTTCCAGATAAGCGAGCTTCCACGGTCTCCGGTGACCCATTCACCGTTCATGTCCATGTATATGTTGACATTCATATTTCCCTCCACGCGAATGGTGACATAACCGGCGGGAATAGATTGGCGCAGGGTTGAGGTCGGAGTAATTGGCGAGAGAAAGGTGATGGTTATCTTCACGGATTCGCCAGCTAGGTGTTTACCTTCTGGCTGGATAAGGTACGTCATATTGGTAGTCGAGGCATCGTATTTTGACCCCAGAAACTGAGCGTAGGATACATTATATCTATCACCGGTTAGACAGATGTATAGAGACCTAGACAGATACGCACCCGTTATTTGGATTGTTCGGCCCCAAGGAGTCGTGAGGCCGGCCAAGCAAGGGATAAGTGTTCCCCGTGCTGGGTACATGGGCCATGATGCTCATGCCCATATGCTGTCCGGTCCAGAAGATAGGCCATGACGACCACGGCTCATGTCTCGCATCGGCCAGCCAGGTGCTGAGATACGGGTTTCTGACAACCAGCGGCAGCACAGAGGGGGTAAGCCGAGATGCCCCGGCGAGGGCGGAGCAGGCGACCGCCCACGCGAGCAGGACCCAGGACAGCATTGTAGCGTAAAAAAACAAGGTAAAGTTGCCAGCCAGCAGGGCAGAGTGATCGAGTAACTGGCTAACCGGCCGACTGCTTCTCTCGAGCTGTTGCGGGGGATCGACTCCCTTATCTAGTCAATCATCGAGGGAGGAGTCTATGGGCCAGCCATCCGCGTTGTTGTAGTTGTGTGTGGTGGTCGTATATAGCCGGGAGAGAAGGCCTGAGGGTCAGGCGGCGGCGTCACTTGCTCCTGCAAACGGCTGATCAGCTTAGCTCTTTGACATGGATTGACTTCCGCCCGCCATCTGGGGTAACGAACCAATGCAAGCCAGTGAGGTAAGCAGCCACCGCGGGGCCCCGGGGGGGAGGGGGCAGCTCCCTCATGCCTGGTGATGCGGGTTGACGATGGCTCATGGGCTGGTGATGGCTGACGGTTGTTGATGTTGACGGCGGGCGGCGATGATGGCTCTGGCCTTTATGGCTGTATCACCAGGAGGCGCGTGGTCTCCATCTGCCCTCGCACTGCATAGCTTCTCTCGTCCAGCAGTCGTGATTGCAATGCGCTTATGCATGTCGGACAGGCAGTTGACTGGTATCACTGGATGGTTGCTGGACCGTGGAGGTCGGGTGTTGCATCGCAGAAACGCTGCCAGCCAGGCGGGTAGCCCTGATATTCAGGGAGCACGGCGATCTACCGAGGGAAGCAGAGCAGATCGATCTTGTCTTACGGCTGGTCTAGCTACTTGACGCTGAGGACTGGGGGATCGTGAGGCCCTGAGGATGTAGTTACAGTCGGGTGGTTTGCAGTCATGTGCCGGATGGCCGATACAGTTAATTTTAAATAAGATAGCTAGGTAGTTGACTAGAACTTGTCTGGTAGTTACATACATACATGCAGGGTCCTTATCATTCTACCGTTCGTCCGGCGACGCACTCCTTTAAGACTTACCGGTTGGGATGTTGAACAGGATGGCAGGCTGACCATCCTTGGGCTCCTGGTCGAGGATGTAGTAGCCCTTGCGCTCGAACTGCATGCTCTCTCCTTTCTTCAGGTTCACCAGGTTGCAGTCAGCCAAGATGGTGTGCTTGATCTCCGTCTTCGGGTTGAGGAACTGCTCAAAGTCCTCGTCCTTCTCGATCTTGTCCTTGGTGATCAGGTAGTCGAACTCGTAGATTTCGGCAGGGACGAGCTTCTGGTCTCTGGCCAACCATGTGACCTTCTTCTCTGTCTTCTTGAAGTCTCCTGCAAGATGGAGGTCGAGGTCGAGGCCGGTGACTTTCCCGCTGGCCGCATCCGTGGTGATCTTGCGCACAATTGCATTGCCCCAGTTCATCAGGGTGATCTCCTCATCTTGTTTGAACGATTTGGCATCCTCCTGCTCAAACAGAATGTCCTTAGAGTAGTACACCGTCTTGGTGCCCAGTTCAGGGTTCTTTGGATGTTTCGGCTTCTCCTGGGGCTTCAGATCAGCATCGGTGGCACCAGACACTGTGCCTGGCACCATATCCTCCTGGTCAATACCCGTGTGACGTGGGGATGTCGGGTCAATGTACTTGCGGTTATTGGACCAGAAGGTCGTCCAGTCCATGTTAATGATGTTTCGGCTGGGCCCTTGCTTCAGAATATACTCACGCAGAGAAGGAATAGTCATTCCGCGACGGCGAATACCCCTAATGGTGGGCATTCGGGGATCGTCCCAGCCCCAAACCATGCCCTGATCAACGATCTTGGTAAGCTTCCGCTTAGACAGTAACGTCTTGATAAAGTTGAGACGTGAGAAGTCCCAGATATGGACACTGCGGATTCCGAGTGTCTTTTGGAACCAGGCATACTGAGGGTTTCGGTCGTTATACTCATTAGTACGCAGGGCATGGGTAACGCCTTCAAGAGAGTCTAGGATTGGCACACAGAAGTCATACGTTGGGTATATCTTCCAGGTATCTCCAGTACGGTGATGAGGGGTTAGGTTGCAGCGGTAGATAACCGGATCACGCATGGCCTTGTTGGTATCATCAACAGAAATCTTTGCACGGATACACCATCTCTGGCCTTCCTCAGAGCCGGTTTTCATCTCAGCAAACCGAGCCAAGTTATCCTCAACGCTTTCATCACGACGCTTGCTAGCAATTCCTTCAAATCTTTCATGTTGCATCTGCTCCTTCTCAGTATCATCTGCGTAGGCATTGCCGCTCTTAATGATCTTAATACAGTCCTCGTACATCTCCTGGAAGTAATCACTGGAGAACGAGATGCGGTCAGGGAAGATTCCCAGCAATGACAGGTCGTAAGTGATTGCATCAACAAACTCTTGGCTCTCATTAGAAGGGTTGGTATCATCAAATCGGCAAATCAGAGTTCCCTTGTAGGCCTCATGCGCAAAATAATCATTGAGTAGAGCTGCTTTGGCGTGACCAATGTGAAGATAACCGGATGGCTCTGGTGGGAATCGAGTAACTACTCCCTTGTCGGTATCCGGAAGACCAATGTTATAACTAGCACCAGCGGCACTAGCTGCTGCTTTCTTCTTCATGGCTCCGGCCGCCATCTCGGCCGCACCTTGACCGATCCAAGGGTACATGGTCTCGATGAAGTTGAACCATCTACCAGTGCTGTTTGTGAACCTCTTCACGGCTCCACTCGTAACCCGGTTTCCACGGAGGGTAGCCCAAACAACCAAATCGGCCAAGGTTAAACCATAGCCCACAATGTAAGAGCGGAGGGTGAGATGGGACTCCAGCTCCTTCATGGGCTTATCCATTGCCTTGAAATCGGGCTTTGTGAACTCAAGGGCCCTTTTCAACCACTCATCAACCTGAGGTTAAAGTTAGCTCAATGCCAAACGTTGCAGGCACTGATCAACAAGGGCGAAAAGTTACCTGCTCCTTATTTCCAGCTTGTAGAACCTCATACTTGTCACGTAAATAAGGGATGATCTCGGCGTCGTAGAGTAGGGAGCCATCGTCCGTCTTGAGCTCAACCTTTCCACCCTTGCTTCCAACCTTCTCAGATTCCTCGTAGACAATGGTCAATCCAGCCTTAGGATTGGCATCTATGAGACAGCTGGCCACAGCAACAGCTGGAAGGATTGTCTCTCCAGGAGCCTTCAGGGCAACGGTAAGAACAGACATCTGTTAGGATAACTTGTCAGATTGATTGCGTTGGTGCATCGACTGGAGGGGTTCTAGGGGCTGCTGCACTCACTGTGGTTCTCCTGATCTTGCTAGTTAACTATCTGACAGTTAGATACGCTTCCTAATGCCTTTTAACAGGGCTTTTTGAAGCTCTTCTGTTCGCTGACCTGCCTCGTCAAGTCAAGTTCCTGGCTGTTGCTCGTGAGTGAAGCAAGCATGAGTCAAGGTGGAGGAAATACAGCCATCGCTGCCCCGCGAGAGGGGAAAAGGAAAAAATATCAAACTTACTTTCTGGCGATATGACTGGCTGACACTGGATTTCTGCATGGCATTAAGATTTAAATTCTGTTGATTGGCTAATTGTGGGAATATAAAAGAGAGTTCAATTACTAAGCAATCAACCCTGGTGGTCCGCACGATGATTGGACGGTGCGTTTAAGGTAATCTGCGCTTATCGATAAGAGCCTCCAAGGTCGACCTACGCGTCCATAGACTGTAAAACCGAGCAGACGCGACTGTTTACATCAAGCACCATTTTGGAAGAGACGGTGCTTGTATACGGTTATTGGGAATACTTTTCCAGGTGCCTAATATATATTGAGTGGTGCTTGCCTTCATCTGTTAGTTCTTGACCTAGGGTAGCTAGTTGCCTGCTCGAATTCCTAACTGCATCATCACCTAACGTGGAGTACATATAGCTGCAGCTAGAACCTCGAATTGTTTGAATGCGGTTTAGCATCTCGTGGGCGGCTTACCTTCTCCCGTTCAAGCTCGTCCGGGAGCAATAATACCCTTAAACATGTCCTTAGCCTCGTCTGCACCTCCGCGGCCTGCTCTTCTCAACAAGACGACAAACGCGCTGCTGTCGCCTCGAAAGCACAACTCAGAGTCGAGTATGGGCAGTGACGATAATGTTAGTAAGCAGGTGACTAGGAACCATACCCCATCGTCTCCTATCCAACTTGTTGGGAAGAAACGGAGTATAGACCAGGTCGATGTAGACCAGCATAGACCTAGCACCGCCGCCAGTTCGTTTAATAGCCAGAATAGGAGGGAGGACGAGTTTTATATCTACGATGAGAGCACACATTCTAGTATGGATATTGATAAAGAAGTATGTTTCTCCCATGGCATGTGAACTAAGTAAATGGATGCTAACAGATCTAGACATCCTTCTTGCAGTATTCTTCACATAATAAAGCCTCTGATAGTCAAGAGCAAGCTGCTGAGAAAGGATGCTCACAGGAAAGCACTAGTATCTCATCGCTCCTTAATTTGAGCTTTGAGTCTGAGGGTGGCAATTATAGTAACAATAGGAATATTAATAATGCTAAACGGAACTCCCCGTTAAGCTCGCCTAATCCCCCACAAAAAGCTACAAGAGACCAAACAATATCTTCTTCCTCCTCTATACCCACCGACCCAGAGGCAAGGAAACTATTTATCCAACAGGTAAGATATAAATATATGGTTACCTGCTCTTTGCCCCTGCACAAGCTAACTTCCTCATTAGAAAGCCGGGTTACTCCGAGAAAAGGTCCAAATAGCCATGAAAAATATTAGGGATCACAGCGAAATGGACCGCCGCATCAAGGAGCTCCAAGCTTTGTGCCACCAGACATGGAATACTGCAAATCAACAAGCAACCTCTTCTTCATCTCGTTCCGAAACGCGCTCTGATTTGGCTTCAGGGGTGCAAGAAGGCCCTTCTGCAGCTTCGCTTGGCCAGAAAAATGATCAGAAGAACGGGGGCTATGCTGCCACTCCAACACAGCAGAACATGAACCAGCAGCCCCAAGTTCCCTTGCCTAGTCAACCAGCAGGCAACAATCCGCCAGTTCAACCACAAAGTGTCAACAACGCACCAACTGTTCCTGTTATTCAAAAAGAAAAAACTACAGTCGATAGAAAGGCGCTCAGAGTTAACCATGAGATCGCGGTAGATGGACTTTTGAAGCTTATGAAGACCACCTCTGAGTATGATGCACTAGATGAGTGGACTGGTCCATAAAGGTGTATGATAATGGATCTGGGAGCCTTTGAACTTAAAGAGCTTGTGCTTTTAACTGCTAATAACAACTGTACAGAAAGGACTGTTTCCCCCATACCTTTTACTTAGTTATGTTCACTTGAGGATGCTAGCAGCAATACCATCCTTGACTGTTTTTTCTTTCTTTTTTCTTTTTTTTGTTGATACCAGGATTATCCAAACTGAAAATAATCAGCTTGATCATACAAGATACCCAACAAGTAGAATTCCTTTGATGTTTGTTCAAAAATCACTTCACTAATTTGATTGCCTATTACCTATATCTATTAAAGAGGCAAAATAGTGATTGGTGCATTATTTCCGCTATTTATTCAATATCTATATATTTCACAGGAGGACTAAATAGCCAGCAGTTACTTCCAGGTATATGGAAAGGGCTAGCAGCCAAAGTAAGTGGAATACCTTGACATAGCCGCCTTGAACTCACTCTGACTTCATAGATATAAACCCCCAAGTGTCTCTCCTACACCCCTTTAACTTCCTCTTCTCGCACCTCCCCGACAACGGAAACATTCTTGGGCAGGGAGGCTATATTTGCTCGTCGAGAACCATTCAGCTGTTTGTTAGCGCTTGCCCCTGACACGAAGAAGATATGGGAAAGCTCATCGGCCCTCAGCTTCGTAGGTAAGAGAACTCCCCTACCATATGCGATCTATTCTCCTCGCTCTAACACCTACCACCGTACAATTCAGCCTCTGGTCAGGACCCAAGGTCAAGCTGATGCACGCAGCCTCTCCGAACAGCACCCCCCAAGTTCTCCTGAACACTATTCCCAGGAATATGGTAGCATACTTCTCCCCTGTGCTCAAGGACTGTTTTCCGGCTGCAGGTGTAGCTCATGCTAATCGCCGTGGATGTGATGGGGAGAAAATAGCTACTATATATGGTAGCTTGAAGCCAGCATTTATAATAATCTTCAACTGGATGATGAAATCCTGCGAGGGGCAAGGTCTGGTCTGGATCGAGCGAATGAATTATACCAAGTATGCCAGGGTTTTTGAAGCTGCTAAGATCCTTTCGGTGGACTTGGTTTGCGAAGACATGCTTAACCGAATGAATAAGATGGCCAACACCCAAATTCGGCTAGACGACGTCAGGTTGATCTACAACTTCTTCCCTAAGGACTCGGAGCCACGTCAAATCGTGATCCGAAGTATTGGTGATGCGGTCTTTGAACGACGCTTGCGTGGATGGGCTCAGTACAAAGAGTTCAAAATACAATGCCGTGACTATGACTATGACATTTACGAGTACGTCGAAAAGAGGCGTCGTGCCGTCGCAAAGGAAGAGAGAAAACTACGACAGCTTGAGAAGAAGAGTAGAGGAGGACCAGGTGGTAGAATTTCCCTGCCTCAGGACTGGGAGGCGGAGGTTACCAAGGACCAGGAAACTGAGGACAAAGTGACGGTTAAAAAGGTGACTGGGGTGGTTTCTCGCAAAGGAAAAAGGGGGAAACCAACCTATGTCAGCGTGACTTTGGACAAGTTTGGGGTTGATAATGCGGACTACCGCCCTGGATATTAGCCAACGTGCATTCCCATGAGTGTTCCTGGCCCGAGTTGGATATTGGAATGGAAATAGGTGAAACTTGACACAGTTCGAGGGGGTAAGTCCGGAGTTGGAGCGAAGCTTACTCCTATTAATTCTATCACTGCCAATAAGCGGCTATTGAGAACATTGCACACCCCTGCTCCTTAATTTATTCTCCCATTAGTAGCAGCTACATTACAGATCGCTATAGTTGCATACGTAGTCAAGTAAGTCAAAAGGCATTGTAACCTGTCATCCATCTAGTATCCGGAGAAAGTAGAAGCAGTTGTTTGCTATAGACCTCTCAACAACCAAGCGCCGAAACGCATGTGTTTGTACACGGCGCCCCAGGATCCAGCTGATTAGACCTCTATGATAAGCAAACTGCTAGGGACAATGGATTTGTGAATAAACAAAGATGGAGGAGCTTTTGATAGACTAAATGAACTAGAAACAAAAAGACAATGTCCAAAATATAATTGTTTGTTGATCTTCATTGAGTATAACAATGGAGAATGTGTGAAAATGTAGCCTCGATATTGAAGCCATAATAGGTACAAATAGAGAGCCAAAAGGAGTCTATTCAGTGTTAGTGAAGATGTCACCTCCGAGGGTATAAATATGCTGCAAGCCCTTTCACTACCCTCTTATCCTCCCTTAGAGCTGCTTTGAATATCTTCCATCTTGACTGTCTGATACCATATCATGCCATCTGCACGGAGATATACTACACTGGAAACCGCCATAAAGACTGATTTAACTGCGACTGCTTGCGCATAGGCAAGGATTTTCTTCCACGAAAGGAAGGAAAATGGCCCCGGGAAAGGCCAGAGCGTCGAAGAAGGTCGAGGTGGTGGGTAAAACAAAACCCAGCAGACAAGCTGGCTCAGAGACAAACCCGACTGAAATAGAGGTCATGGTCCACCCACGAAGAGGTAACTGCTCTAGAATTTCATTCGCTCGGTATAGTATGAAGTACTTGACTGACTGGCTTAAACAGTGGGATGCCTCATGTTGTTTGTCGGCAACCACGAAGACAAGGGAGAGGATGTCGACTATTGGCGTGTACGCCTAGGCTGGGCAGGGGATGAAAAGCTGTAAGTTGCATATTTCATTATTGGCTTAGCATACTTCCCTGCTGACCTCTTTAGCCGTGATGTCTACCACCGCTATGAGGCGGTTGGAGATCCCACACAGGTTGAAGTGAATGGACAAGTGCCTCCTCTCCGATTTGTTTGGGTGTTTGAGACCGGGGAATGGGTCGACAAGGCAGCAATGCTGCGAGAGAGGGCGCAGAAGGCGCATAGGGAGGAGGAAGGACGGAAGACAGCATGCATGGCAGCAAATACAGAAGCGAAGACAGGCCGTGGGGGGAATCGTCGGGCAAGAGCTCAGCCCGTTGCCCCCGATGCGGACCCTGACGCTTGCCGTCACGCCGCTGAAGGGACAAGCGCTGGAGCAGGGGAAGTGGAAGACGGTGCTAGCCACGACCCTCCTCTTGAGCCAGAGGTAAAGAAGAGAGGGAGAAAACCTGCGGCAGCAAAGACAGCTCCCAAAGCAGCTTCCAAGCGCAAGAGGGGGCAAGGCGAGAGCGATGAAAAGGCGGCCAAACCTTCTGCAAAGCGGAGGATAAAGGCAGCTCAAAAATGACCTGTAGATAGTGTCGAATTTGTTTGTAATTGCTTAGTAGGGGTATACATATAGATATAAAATGGGCGAATTGACTGGTTTACCCAAGAGTCTGCTGTCATACTACCGGACCTTTTTCAATTTTCTGACCCTGCGGCCAAGGACATCTCTTCCCTCATCAATTTCACCCATAGCTTCTCGTTTTGTAGAGCCAACCTCTTTCAGGACTGTGCCCTTGACGATTCGAGATTCAATATTCACCCCTGGTTCCTCCCATGCTACCATTTGTTTACCAACTCGGGCTTCAATCGCCAAAACGAGCTGGACATCTCTCTGTCCCACAAGCGTTATAGCTTCACCTTCTCGCCCAGCTCGAGCCGTACGACCAACGCGGTGGATATAATCATCCGGATTCCTGGGAACATCATAGTTGATGACTAGCCCAACTGAAGGAATATCCAAACCACGAGCCGCTACATCAGTTGCCACCAGTAGCCGAGCCGCCGAAGCGCGGAAACGCGAAAGGTTGGCAACTCGTTCAGATTGGGGCAAGAGACTGTGAAGTGAAGTGACTCGATGTGATAGCCGGCGAAGGATGCGCTCCAATAGATCCGCTGTTTTTGTTCGGTTACAAAAAATAATGGTAGATTTGGAGGAATTTCCCTCAGTGGACAGAAGAACATGTAAAAATGCCTCGCGGTGGTTCAGGGGCACTTGGAGATATGTCTGCTTTAGGGTCGGGGGTATCGTTGTGTTTTCTGTGGATATTTCAGTAACGAAGATCGGCGGTTTGTTCTTTGCTCGAGGCATCGATTTCAACGCGCGTACTTCAGGAGTAACTGTGGCTGTGAAAAGAAGAGTCTGACGATCCGAAGACGGTGGCAGGGCAGATAAACATGTCTCTACATCAGGAAGCATGCTCCCCGGGCCGCTTGTAAGAAGGCGATCCGCTTCGTCGAGAACTACCATCCGGACACGCTTTAATCCAATTATAGTATCTTCTCCGGATGATTTAATGTGGTCCGCGAGCCTGCCTGGCGTCGCAATAACTATATGGGGCCGCTGCGAGAGACCAATCGCTTGAGGCCGCATGTCACTGCCGCCGGTTATTAAAAGTGGCTTAAGCGACTGCGGCGCAGAAATGGCTTTAACCTGTTCGAATATTTGAAGAGCAAGCTCTCTAAATTAAGAATCAGTATCATAATACAGATAATTTTATCTCATGTAGATATCCGTACCTTGTTGGGGTTAAAATAACAGCATATATTCCAAACGGATCCTCAGACCATTTATGCAGTATTGGACCTGCAAATGCAACAGTCTTTCCAGAACCAGTCCTACTACCGCCTATACAATCCCTTCCCTTAATTATTTCTGGTATACAGCTCTTTTGAATCGCCGTCGGCCGCTTGATTTCCATGGCCTTCAATGAGCTGACCAACCATGGAGCAAGTCCCAAAGAAGAAAACGAAGAATCTACTGACTGAAGCCCCATTGCGAGCGCATCATTAGCGGTAATTGGATCGGCTTGAGATGCAGCCTCCTCCTGTCTTTCAGTCTTCACCTCCTTCTTTTTGATTCGTGATAGGGTCTGGACCGGAAATGGTGTTGTTGGAGTTATCGGGAAGTCTCCAGAGGAATCTGAGAGCCGTCGTCGTTTTTGCGGCCGTTCATCTTGTCCACCGGTCTCTCTCTCATCTTGCGCAATGGACGAGGACTCAGAGTGCGAATCCTCGGGGTCTGAGCCTGCAGGTAGCATACCAGCCATTTCAGTGTATTGTTCTGCAGCTCTTCCAAGATCCCCGAGTGCTCGTCAGCTTCATTGCTTTCGACAGTTGTTTTCTTTTTCGGGTTTTTATCGTGAGATGGCCGCGGCAGAAAAATAATTTTTAGTCGAAGGCGGTGAATATATAATAAGGTTTCGCTGACATTTTTGCAGTATTTGGCTTGTTTGCATTGTTTGCAATAATTTTTCGGCTGAATAACAAACCCCCGGCATAACGATAATACCCATCCGAGAGTTTATTAGTAATAACTTAAGTAATTAAGGTTTAATGGAACTCGGGCGAAATAGTAGAACGAACATTAACATCCGATGCCTATGCCTGTATTCTATACACGCTTCGCTTTATATCCGTTCAACTCCTTCTTCTAATGGAAGTGCTTGTCTGTGACTCGTGTACATCTCCAGTTTCTAGGTCACCTGCGAAAATTCCGCCCTCTACCACAGGCACCTCTTCGCCATTATGAGGACTTCTGTTTGATTCAGGTCGAGCATCTCCATATGACCCGCCAACACTCTCCATGGTAAACGAGCTGGCAGTTGGCGCATCAAGAATGGATAGTTCTTTCTGGGTGAACCATTTTGGAAGCAAAAATGAGCGAATGGGGATAAGTAACAGAATGAAAACTGGAAACCCAACCGCAGCAATTGTTTGCGTAATTGCAAAAGTAGCTCCAAATCCCAGTAGTTCAATTCCAACGAATACCCAGACTGCCATTCTCCGCTCAATTCTTAGCAATGGGTTTGATGAAGATGTTAATTCCTTATCCTGCAAAAGGAATTTCAACTTCTGCGTTACTCCATTTGCTAGGAGAGCCTGAATTCCCATGATGAAAAAGAGACCAGCCATTACAGCCTGAGGTATCAAATGGAGGACAAAAAGAAGAGGTCCACTCATTGCTCCGAGTGTGAGCAGCCCCTGAGCGAGATTGCTGACTCGTTGCTCAACAACATGATCAACAATCCGGACAGACTTTCCTTTGTGGCTTTCATCTTCATCTGCAACCTGCCGTGTTACGCAAAGAGAGGCAGTATGGAATGGTGCCTGGGGAATCAAGCCATTAGGGAAGGGAATACCTAAGAGCCCGGCTATCCCAGTTGTCAACCCCAACAAGAATAAATCCCAGTGAAATCCGGCAGGTTTGCGTAGCGGAAACTCTGTTCCCTGGGCTATCAACGAGGACACTATAAATAGTGTCAGAACTTTAATTCCACTAGTTAATTGGTGGTAGGTAAATGAGAAATGATCGAACAAACCGTTGTGGTCAAAATAGAAAAGAACTGTCAAGAGGATTGCAAATGGGATGGCTAGGAAGATGTCGCTAGCACTAATATCCCAGAAATGCACAAGCCAACCACGATCGGAGGTAGGGAAAAATGCTTTAGAAATAGGCAATGTTTCAACAGTGACATTCCTCATTTGACCAATATGGACGAAACCTGTGAAAAAGACGATGCTTAGAGGGGTGCCATAGTCCTCGATAAACTTCCGAGTATGGCGGTTAAATAAATTGCTCTCCCCGATAGCACCGCAGATAAAGCAAGACATCAGAACGAGGAGGGACACCATAATAGAGAGATATGCAGATGTTTCCCCGGCCATTCCCCACTGCCTGGTAAGGACCTGGATTCCTTTTTGGATATAGATAAAGGCAACGTAGAATCCAAATACATCACAGGAAAATCTTGTGACGAAGGTCAGCCCGTTACAGGAATTTGTGATTGCAAGAACCCAATGCATTATAAGTGACCAGCTACAATGATTTGTTAGTAATATACATTTATGGACATAGGGTAAGACCGTACATTCCAATCCAACACATAAAGGCCAGGTAGTTAGTCCCTCGGTGTGCGATTATATCATAGACCGTGTAGTTGAAGACTGTGATAGGGCCTATAATTCATGGTTAGACATAAAATACTATCAATTGTAGCACGAAATATACACAGACCTGTTACACCAACAATAACCAAGGGCTGTCCAGCCAGGAAAGCAAAAACAACAGCACCTAGAACGGATGCTAGAAGAACCTCATTGACGCCATAGCTCATATGCGTTTTTTCGAACATATCAAGCGAGAAAGCAAGAGCCGGCAGAATACTTCACACATTCCACGTAAGCTTTTGCCTTGTGGATAGGGATAGAGAGAAAGGGGCTAGCGATGTCAAGCATCGTTAAGGGCATCAGCTGGAGTCATACTTCGCAAAGAACATGTATACAGTTGCCGGAATGACACGATAGTCCCATGCATCCTTCCAATCGCTCCAATAATATGGTGCTCGTCTTCTAATGTCATTTTTCATTCCCTGGAAGTAACGAATCTTCCACCATCTCGTGTTGGATGCCACAGCAGCACTTGCTGCCGCCTGAACTTCACCACTGGGCGCTTGCGCAGTCATGGTGTTCTTGAATTACAGGAATGTCAAGCAACTCCGATGTATGCTGAGCCACTATCCGGGTTGCAACTGAACCGGAGGCATTGGTTCTTTTATGCAGCTGGTTTCCCGCTGGAATGGGAAACAGAGGAAATTTACCAAGACTGAAGATTGAGTTCTGTTAGGTACACCGCGAGAGGCGTCGGAAAAACGTACACCGGCAGTCAGTAGCCATTGGATGAACTGGAAGCTAGACAGAACCTTTACACCGAGCTTAATTCATAAATAGCCGTAGTTAATACTACGAGATATAGAACGGCTTGAAGCTTGGTGAATGCTTCTCGCAAATACAGCTTCTGAAGAGATAGTTAAGAATACAGACATCAATTTCCCTTAAAATTACACATAAGCCCAGTTAGTAACAATAATCCCCATACAGGAGCCATTTCAGGTATGACATCCCCTCAGGGCACAAGAAACTGCCTACAGGCTGTTAGTAGAAAATCTGAATGACGACAAAACAAAAGGCATGACTAGTGGTTAGTATTTAGACACTCCTAAGGAAATCTCTTCATGTCTCTGGAGTTTGGTCGGAATTAGGCCGAAGGCGGAGGTGGGGGTGGAGGCTGTTCACTTGGAGGCTGAAGGAGAGGTTAGTTTCTGTAAAATATAGCTGCAAAGCCGTGTGAACTCACAGGAGGGGGTGGGCCATCAGCTGGCGGAGGAGGTGGCGGAGGAGCGCCCTGGAATCCAGCGAACATAGAAGCCATTCCAGGTGGAGGTGGAGGGATGCCACTAAGGCCAGGTGGTGCACCCATAACTTGATTTGTAGGGAACTGATATCCAGCGTATCCATAAGCAGCAGTCTGGGCCATAGCTGGAGCTTGCTGTGCAGCTTGCTGCCATGGTGGAGGGCCACCGGCGGCAGGAACAGGGTTGTAAGAGTCACGCCCCTGGTAACCGTGATGGTCTCGGTTGTCCCGGTCACCTCTATGGCCACCAGTAGCCCATGGTGGAGGCGCATTCGGGTCATGATGGCCATGATCATCTCGGGATCGATCGTCACGTCGTTGCCAAGGTGGAGTGTTGCTGGCAGGCTCACGCTGTTGCCATGGTTTCACGTCATCACCATTGAAGTTGTTGTTGCCTTGACCATATCCTCCAGGGCCACCTTCGATGCGTTTCTGTGCTTCACCGCCAGGTAGAGGAGCATTGCCGGAGAGTTCTTGCATAAGTTGCTAGTAGTGAAGTATTAGTATAGGTCTGTATCAAATGTGGGTAGATGGAAAAAAAAAAAAAACTTACCTCCATCTCTCTGTCAACTGCATCACCAGCTCCAGCTCCTTTGCCGCGAACGCTGGGTCCATGGTTGCGCCAATCGGTACCACGCTGACGGTCAGGACAATCCTTGGCCATATGCCCAGCATTTCCACAAACACGACAGATGATGTTCGCAGTGAAGTTACGCTGTTCGGGACAATCGTACTTGCGATGGCCAATTTGACCGCCTGAAAATCAGAGAGTGTTAGGTATCATATAATAGAGTTAGTTTAATTTTAGGTATCTTGTGTGACTTACAGTTTTGACAGGCCTGATTCTCGTCGTCTCGTAGAGTTCCGTTAAGCGCAGCAAGTTCGCGCAGCTGGTTCCTCTTCAGTTCGTTCTGCCCTTCAGGAATAGAAGCAGCCTAATACAACAATTAGTTAGAAGTTTTCTTGAAAATTTTTATTTAACTGGTGTATTGGGGAGACTGGACGACATACCGTTTCGATAACATTGTGAATAAGTTCCTTGGCCTTATTAACTTTGTCTTCCGTATCTGCCATGATTAGACAATGAAGGTCTTCTTCCTGGTTGCTAGAGTGAGCGGCGTCAGATCGTCCTTTACCCTCTTTAACAGAGCCTTTTCCTCGGATAGCAATTTTTGCTCCGGACTTGGTCTCCATTTTTTTGAGGGTATTTCCACGAGGTCCGATAAGTAAGCCAACTTTTAATCACAAGTGAGCTCAGTGTTAGTATTTGAAGTCTTTTATATCAGTAGTGAATGAGAGGAATTAGTAGTAACTGGGTTAGTATGTGAGGGAGGAGAGAAAAAGGATAGAAAAGCCATCAAGCTGATGACAAGTTGAAAAGAGAAAGAAATGAAAAACCAGCAGGTCGAGAAAATCTCGAGCCTGGAGCAAAAAAGAGAAAAAAAAAAAAAGAATGAATGAAAGAGACGGAAAAGAGTAGGACGGTTAGGAGTTAGAGGGTTAGTTATCATACTGAAGTTAATCTCTGGGTAGTCATTAACAGGGACATAGACCTTCTCCTGGGTCTTAGTCGGACGCCTGTAGTCAGAGGGCGGATGATAGTTAGGTATAACTTTCATAGCTTTCTCAATAAGCTTATGACGCTCATCTTCCAAGCGTTTGCGGTAACGATATTCTCTGGTGTTTACACGTTTACCAAGGTTATCGTACTGTGGTGCCGGCGAGGGAGACCTAGATGGCAAGTGGTGTTAGACCCGTGGCAAAGACATGATAAAAAGGGGAGGGAAAGGTCATCACTCACCTATCTCCATCAGCCGGGACAACATCGTTAATACGAAGTTTCTGGCTAATTTCTTCAATACGTAGGTGAAGAGTGTAAGCTTCAAGCTGCTCGTTGGTCATATTTGCCATGATCAGAGTCGGAAGACCCATCAGGCCAGCAGCCTTGTTCTCTTGGGCATCACCCCAGCGGTTACGCTTCTTTCGCCTCTTGGTTCCATCTGCAGGAGGATCAGCTATACACCAAGTAGTTAGTATGGGAGATATTCTGATAGTGGTAGAGCTGAGGAGAGAACCTACCTCTCACCGGACTCCTGCCGCGCTTGTTCCCACCATCCATGTGAGCTGGAGTTGACGAGGAGCTTGGAGTTTCATCCGGCTCATCGCCAAACCTGCGACGGCCCAGTGGGATATTGTTAGAACCGGTAATACCTTGGTTACGCCACGCCATGATTGTTGTTAATGCTGAGATTCGCAATCAAGCGAGGAATGAAGGATATATTTGTCGTGGCAAGGTGCGTGAAGGACAGAGATCTTTTTTCGGCCTGATAAACCAGAGCTCAAGGGGCGACTATTACATCATTCTTATATAAGCGTCACGTGGCGTTACGATTCAGCCCTTCATACAACAGAGAGACGATAACACATCAAATGGAGAGTTATCATTGGACATAATCGTAATTAATAATATATGATGTCAGGATAGACTATTACTAAGCTTTTTCGTACCAATCTAAGAGTTTTCTTCACGTTGGTGCCATCCCGATATCACCTGACATAAATATACCTAGGTAAGCACATTATTGCGATGATATCGTAAGCAGCAGCTTTGTTTACTTGCTTGCATCGCTCTTCATGCCGGCCTGAACCCACTGCCTGCTCTTAGCAGCTTCTCTCTCCATAGCCTCCTTATCCTTTAGCAATTCCTTGATGGTATGTGGCTTTGGAACATGCCGGCCCTTCTCGACTCCCTCCCTCTTAAGCAGCCTCTCCTCCCAGGCCTTCAAGTGGGGGAAGTCATCGATGTCAACTCCCGCCCATCCGGCACTAGCGATCCATCCCCAGTGAGAGATGTCAGCAATGCTGATGTGGTCTCCAACCAAGTAGCCAGACTTTGACTGCGAGAGGTGCTTGTCTAGTACCCCGTAGAGACGGCGGGTTTCATTCGTGTATCGGTTAACGCCATACTCAATGCGCTCTGGAGCATAGCGGTTGAAGTGGTTTGCTTGACCTTGCATTGGGCCAAGCTGATTTTTTCGATGCCTTCGTTAGCAACACTTTAACTAACTAGCGACACACTTTTCTTAAGAAATGGATCGGAACTTACACCTGCGTTCTGGAAGAAGAGCCAGTTGCTGACTTCATATGCTTCCCTGGTTCCCTTAGGATAGGAAATCTTGTGCTCCGTGTCGTATCTATCGGCGAGATACTCCAAGATACTTCCGGACTCGAAGATAGCGATCTTCTTGCCGTCAGTAAAGGTATCTGTGATGGCTGGTATGCGGCCGTTGGGGTTTATCTCGAGGAACCAAGGCTCCTTCTGGGTGTTTTGTCCGAGTTCGATAGCCACGACTTTATAAGGGAGGCTACATTTCAATGTGTTAGCGATTTCTCAACTTGTCATGCCCTTGCAGGGAGTCGTGAGGAGGCTTACCCAAGTTCCTCCAAGGCGATTGAGATCTTGATGCCATTGGGGGTCTGCGAGGTGTAGAGAGTGATATCTGATGTGGGGGCAGCCATCTTGACGTTGCTGTTTACCAGTGTAGTGACGGGGCGTTGGAATTGCTTCGTGTACTGAGTTAGGCGTCTGATCATTTATTGATGACAGGAGGATGAATGGAGACAGCAGGCGACACTTTGGACTTGACTTACCTTGGACCTGGGGAAATCAAGGTAGTTATATATAGGCAGACTGATATCAACTATCGAGCCCAGATTCGTCCGTATTTACGACCGAGGGGGCGGGGCAGCTTAGAGAGATGAATTATAAATACGACGATGGCGATGGTGACGATGGCGCGAGAGGAGATTTATAATCGTCAGAAGAAGGTTGAGATAGTCTCTTTCCCTCGTCTTCTTCCTTTATCTGTCCATCTCTACATCTATATATACAATCAGTCTCCCTCCATGGCCCCCCGCACGTCGTTGGGTGCGAAAGGTAACCAGCGCTGGCTATTATTATGTATTACATCACAGCTGCAGGGTTGGAGGGCCTAGAAAGCCGGGGACTTTGCTGGCGCCAAGATGCCTAGGTTCCATGCAAAAGAAAAGAAGACGCAGACGAAGATGAAGAAAATACCATCCGTTGGTCAACGTGCATGAGATCGTAAGTCACAGACAATAACCCTGATGATATATGTGGCTGCTGCATATATAATGTAACTAATAACTACAAGGAAGAGAAAACGCTGGACTGCAGATGGTCGGAACTTCGAACGCCGCTGCTTGAATCTCCAGGCTGAAACAAATGGGATATATCAGGTGCATATATGTGCAAGGGGAGTAAAATGATAAGTATAAACAGGGAACAAACAGAAGAATAGAAAGTTGGTGAGTGGGAGGGTGAAGGGCCGAAGAAGTATGTAAAAGAATGTAAATTTTGATCCCCCGTGAACCCGCCGTGAACGAACCAGTTGTATGTGCGCCCCCTCTCCGTATAAACCCCAGTAACCCGATGAAAATCCGTTAACCCATGAATAAAGAAGCAAAGGAAAATGAGATGAAGAACGAGTGGCTACCATGTGAAACACTCTTCGATGAAGTCGACATGGGTGGGAGTTTGTCGTTGTCGACACGCAAATCGAATCTCGTCGCTCAGGCTCCCCGTTCCGCACACCATGACACCCATGGCTCCGACTTGCTTTTCGATCTCTCCGTCAAGGATAGTGCCAATATCAGGTTTTCCAGGGAACATCTGGACTGTCGTGCTGGGGCTGTGAATCTCCTTGGTGTTGCGTGGTCGGGTGATGAAGAGCATGATCCGGAGGACTTCTCGTCTTCGGTTCATGGACAGGATGCTGGTCATCCAGGGCCGGATCCATTCAAGATGTTCGGGAGATTGGATCACCCATACGAGAGTTAGGCGACGGGTAGCTACCGTGCCGTCTGCAAAACCAGCTACCAAATGGCGTACGTAGGAGACATGATGGCTGATGCCAACACCGGCGGCAAAGAGCACAACCGAGCCGTATGAATCAAGGACGTGCTCGGCTCCGTAGGGGCCTTCTACCATGGCGGAAAGGGTGACACTGGTAGCGCCGTTCTCTGTAGCTTTCTCATATAATTTGTTCGTCATTCCGGTTCTTCGTCGAATGACGAGAGACATAGTGGGATGTTGAAGGCCGAGGACGTCTTGTTTGGTCATGACGAGACCCTTTTCATCGGTATCGCTTTCCTCAGTATCACTCCATGCGACGCTGAAGGGATGAGATGTCCACCAGCCAACGGATGGGATGTATAGATATAGATGTTGACCAGGTCTGAAAGTCCAGGGTCGAGCAACTCTTAGAGTAACGCGCATTGCTTCTCCAGGAAGAGCTTCTATAGTTGCGGTTGTGTTACCACGTAGGAAGTTTCTATAAACGATTGTGACGATGCGCCATGCTCTCTGTTGGGACTCTAGTTAGCCAGAGAACAGAACAGAGAAGGGATGTAGTGGTTACCTCAAAGGCCCATAATAGAATGGCGCCGAGAAGATACTTGAGTTGAGAATAACCAACCAAGTGTATCCATGTGAACGCAAGGAAGACTATAACCAAGACTATATGGAAATGAAGGAACGTCTCATAAAACGCATGGCGAAGCACGGAGACGGAGTGAAGAGATATGACCACAACGCAGACAGTTGCCTATAGGTAAAGTTAGTGTCTTCATGGTTTATTATTATGGCTAGAGAGTTTGGACTTACGACAATGCCAGTCAATATCAAATTGCTGGAGCCCAACGACTCCCGTAGATCAGCCCAGCCATCTATTAATGCTCTAGTTAAGAGAGATCCTAGATAATTATATCAGGATAACATAACATACCTGTGTGAACCTTCCCTACCATCCAGCAGATGGTGTGAGCTAGAGATTCCAGAACAACAATGCGTCCCAGCCATCGATGAAGCAAGTTCCAAGTATCAAACGAGACATCCAGCAACTTGATCAAGGGGTTATTCCGACCAGCCATGAGAACAAGAGGGATGAGATTGACGGTTGCCATAGTTCCAGTTCGTTTGCGAATCGACGGGAGAAACTCCTTTTCAGGGCTGGAGAAGGGAAGTTTATGCAGACAGAGATATGCATTACTCCCCACCACCATGAGCAGCAACACGGTGTGAAATCGGGTGGGAAGGGTACCCATGTTCAACGCCGTAGAGAGTCGGTACTCGCGATTGTGACGCTTCCAGAGCAAAGGAGCATACATAACATGCCTTTTCATCCAGGCCCAGAAGCTATGGGCACTGATAAAGTATCGCTGGGTATCGTTGGAGAGACTGGTAAGACGTCGGATATGAGCAGACATGCGAATGACGGCAGACCAGATGAGAATAACGGCGAAGACGCTGCCTCCAGATAGGATATAATAACGAGCAACTTTGTCATCGTACACTTCCTGCGGTGTCATGATATGGGGTCCCTCTTCATGATGTGATGATTCCTTGTCATAAGCAGCCGCTGCGAGGCCCGCTAGCAGCGGTGCCAGAAGGAGTGACGACCTCATGAGCAGTTGTAGAGCTCAATGCGGAGTTTGAAGAGGCTTTAGCGGAGATGCGGGCGCAATAAATGCTGAAAAAGAGTGACGATGTTAACGACTATCTGCAGTCGTATACAGTGTGTGTATTTTGTGCTGTCTGTGTGGTGAAAAAAAAAGAGTGTAAAGAGAGACACCGCCTCGGTCTGCTTGGTTAAGCCGATGTAGAGACTGGAAGGGTAGCGAGAGAGTGAAATTGGTGTCTCTCGATGAGCGAACGGCGTCTCTTAAAGGAGCGAGCGTGGTTGTTGTTTGTTGCTGTTGTAGATGTTGTTTCCCTTCCGGAGTCGTCCTGTTGTTGTTTGAGGTCGTCGAGGCAGAAAAAGACACAGCCGAGCCAGTCAGCATAGCATGTCAGAGACGACCGAGTCTCCAAACCACCGTGCCCTGCGAGCTCTTGTCAACCTGGTGCAGGGAGCAGGGGACGTGAGAGCTGTGGGAGTCGACGTTTGAAGAGACGGACAGACAGAGACGACATAAGAAACAAGACGAGCAGCTGGCTACAGGCGTCCTTTTCTTCCCCCTGGTCGACTTCGGCTTTTTCGCGGGACCAGGCGGATTCGAATAATATACTGTAAAATGTGCTGAGCGGGACCGGCAGCAGCAGTACGGGGGATCCATGGGACTAGCGGCACCTGCAAGTACTCTGCAAGTCACTCCTGGGCTGACGCCTGGCGGGCGAGATACCGTCGAGAGACCTATGCCACCAATGCAAGGTACAGCCGTCGATCAAGCCACCGCCAGCCAGTTCGAGTCAGGAGAAAACGATGGCGAAAAGTTAGAAGAGCAGGCGGGCGAATCAGCAGCCAGGTAAGTCAGAAATCTCCCAGAGGAATGGCTAGCTGGCTGATAGTGACTGGAGCAGGGCTTCAAAAGGTGAAACGCCCGAAGGCTGGGCGTAAGACTTATCTCGACAGCGAGGGCGACTGAAAATACGGAGAAGAGAGGGATACTCCACCGGGACCATCGCGAAGGATGGATATGGCTGCCTATACTCCGTACTGAGGTGAAGAACTGAAGGAGAAAGCATAACTACGGAGTACTCCATACGGGGTGGTTCTAGACAACTGCGAGCGATGTATGTACTCTGTACGGAGTAGGAAGAAGGGCTCTCTCTCCCTTCATTGAGATGCCATGGGACCTGTAGAGTTGGTCATCGCCTCCTGTTTCAAGAGAGCGAGTCAGAAGTGTATCTGAAGAGTGAAAGCAGCGAAAAGGTCCTCGAACGATGATCAGAGGCGTGATGAGATCACTGGCCCCTCGATGGTTAGCTATGATATCGAATCAGCCCATCCTCCATCCCATCTGTGTTTCGGCAGATACGTGGAGAGGTCTGCCAGTGTGGCCTGACCGAGTATCACCTTAGTATCGCTCCTGTCACAAATCACTGGGCCCCAATATAACTCTGGCATGGGTTGCTAAGTGCTCCTGTCTGGGGGAGGAGGTTCTACGGAGGGTCTCCATGGCTGCCATAGCTTATGCATAGCTGGAGCTCCCGATGCCATCTGCCACACAGGCTTTTCCTACAGCGGTTAGAGGGGAGTCAAGCTTGTTACGTCCGTTGCAGTAGCTTCGACCTGTTCATCCCTGCTCCCTCCATCGCGAACTTAGTCGCTTGCATGGAAGGAGACCAGCTCCAGGACTCGACCTTCATATCGAAACTTGTTCGCTAGCTACTAACGCTTCCCTGGATTAACAGCCATCGCGATATCAGACAGCCAAAAAGAATGGGCCTCGAATTCCCTCACGCTAGTGGAACCAAAGGGCAAAAGCTACTAGGTGAACCAGAGCGTGGACTTTCGACCCAAAATCGCTGATATAACCGTTGGAACGAACAAAGTCTGGTGTCTCTGTCCCTCTCGCCCACTCAGAAGGCAAACCACGTCTTCTCCAAAACCCACAGAGCGATAAAGACGTTGAAGTTCGCCATTTATTCCCTCTCCCCACCGTTACCCAGGTTTCCTACCCAGGTTTCCTAGGTGCTAGATGGGTTATTTCCCCCGCAAAATGGTAACTGTGTTAGGCAACTGGGGTAGTCGGAAATAGGCGCCACTCGACTCGGACACCTACGACAAGTCACTGAACGGTTCAGAGAGGGAGTCCTAGCCCCCGTCTGCAGCAACTACCAACGTCGAAGCGAGGGCTATGTTGTTGTTGATACAGCTCCGTAGAGACCTGACATCCGGAACAAGCCTTTGTAGGTTTGTCGGCATGAAATAAACAACCCCAAACACACGGCGCGCACAAACAGATAGTTGATTCAACTCCCTGTCTAAAAAAAGGCTTCTATATCAAGGGTTCAAGTACATGAAACCGGACAGATCTCGGCTTCGCATCAAAGTATGTATAGTCATGAAAATATGTAAAAAGAAAACTGAACACGACGATTGATATCCGTAAAGCATACACGCTGGACTTCCTGCGACATGTGGGGTTTCAAGCCAAAGCAAAGCATGAGGGGTATAGCCAAAAGGAAAGAAAAGGACGCCGGTATCGAACCATGTGAAAATACTGAAAAAAAAGAAAGGTATAGTAAAAATAATGATCAAGGAATCTGGATCCAACCAACTTTGGCTTCGTGAGAATATTGGAAGAGGGGGTAAAACAAAGGAGGAGCCATATCACATTGCATATGCGATGAGGGTGGCAGATCGGATGATAGGGATATTATCCGGTATAGAAGTCCATATCACCAGATCAGATGCTCTGATATCGGAACAGGGGAAATAGAGTGTCATGGCACTGTATCAGCAGAAGCTTAGTTCATCCTCACTAGAATCTGAACATGGTATCACACGTTCTGCAAGAGACAGTCTTGCTGACCGACGAGGGCGAGCACTTCTAAACTCCTTGAGACGGATCTGGGTCTGGCTACAGGCTGTCTGTATCCTGTGCTGGAATCGTTGGCTGAGGGCTGGCGCATGGTTAAGGATATCCTCTTCTTCCTCGTCTTCTTCATTTTCTTCTTCCTTGTCTGTAAGGTTAAATGCCGATGACTTAGATCCAAATGGCTCTGTAGCACGACGCTTCCTGCGACACACGATGTGCTCTTTCAACGACACAGCCCCCAAGTCATTTGGCTTCCGTTTACGAGGCACTTCAATCACAACAGCTACATTATCTGAGTTAACATGCATTCGTGTTCCTCCAGTCGACCGTTGATGGCCACTGGTCGTGGGAGAAACAAGTTTCCTGGGTACACGTTGACAATGTCGTGATTCATTGTCTGACTGAGTATCCATGCTTGGACTCCAATGTCTGGCGGCCTGACGTTGCGGGAAGCATATGTTGTTTTGGCCCCTTTCTGACACTCTTATGGAGCTTTGATCGCCAAAGGAGCCCGCTAATCGTTTCCTTTTGGGCGGTGGTGAGTCTGAATACTCCGATGAAACGCTGGAGTTATCCCGGTTTTGGTTTGATGTCATTGAGAACCCTGAGTCGCTCTCTTCGGTATCTGATATTTCCATCTTAAGACCAGTCATGCCACGCTGAGATGTGAAGGCGGTACAGTCCGGCAATGGTGGTGTAGACTTCGAGCTTCTAGCTCGACTCAAGATAGGAGACTTTGCAACCCATTCACCAATACCATCCTCCCATCTAAATCCAGTTTCTGTGCGTCGTAGTGAGGGGGTCAACGGTTGCATTTCATCCATATCACCCTCGCTAAAATCACAAGCAGCCACTTGATCTTGGATATACGAGGCCCAGTCGTGGTGTTCCTGTAGGCATGTCGACTCAGCAAACTTCAGCGCAACTTCAACAGCCACCTTGCTGAGCACTATGCGGAGAATAGGGTGCTTTTTGACGGAAGAAGTGTTAAATGCTAAGGTGAATCGCTTAGCTACTTCGAAACTGTTATCATTCCGCACCCTGCCTAGACATCTTGCTACCTGTAGAATAAAGTCGGCTAGCTCCTCTACCAACTCCTTCTTGTTTGTATGCATAGCAGTTAAGTATCCAAGATTATGTAGAATTGGTGAGGCGCAAATTGCGGATTGCCTTTGGCTCTCCTTGCGACTATTACCCAAAAAATTGGCCAAAAAGTCTGAAAGCAAAATGGCACACGCTCGGGTTGGTTGTAAGTTCAGCTTGTTCTTGCCCTTGTCCAAAATAGTTCGTTCAATATCTCGCTGCACGATTGTGGACAGATATGACAGCAAGTTATACATCGTTGAGGCCGCTGCCTTTCCAAATCCAGATTTGGCAAAGTGTGAGCTAGAAAGCACAGTGAGGATACTTGTAATACTGTTGCTGAGGGCGATAGAAATTGGGTCATAACAGCTAGCTTTTGGATTTAAAAAAGAGCTAGTAAAGCCTGGCTCGGACTCGCTCTTACGGACTCGGATGGCCCCTCGTTTTGACCGGCGTAGGTTGCTTAGCACTTGGGCGGGAATTGTTCTCTTGGAGCCAGCAGCCGCTAGTATGGACGAAGTGATGAGGCGTAATGAAGCAAAGGAGTGTTCATCATCAGCCGCAAGGGATTGTAAGGCAGCTGTCAAATAGTATTTCATAGAATCTGTCGCTATCCATTCGGCTGGTAACCGGCCGCGGTCGAGTAAGGATGCCATTTCTCTGAAGAATATACTGAAGCTCCCCGAGGGCCTCACGTAAGATTCCAAAGTGTGTAATGCAACCGAATGGCTTGGCTTAAATAAATTGGAATCCAGGCGAATTGGAGGTGGGATGACAGGTGATATTGATAGCATGGCCGATAACAGAGCGCTTGCAGCGTCATGGGCTTGTAATGAAAAAGATTGCAAGACAATCCGTCGACTCAATTGAGGAGAGAGCCACCGTCTTCGGATTGCCTCGCACATCAGGTGGATACCATGCGATCGAACAAGTTCTTTTAGTGGTTTCCATCCGTTGTCGCCCATTGCGTACATCTTTTCTAACTCAGTGATGATACACCCAGCGACATCTGTCTCCTCATCCTTTTCTTCTAGGCTGTTGACACGCTCCTGCTCCTGTAAAATATATTTTGATGTTGTACTAAGGGCCATTGATAGTAAAGAATTTGCCCCTCTATGAGGTTTGCTTTGCTGAGGATCACTCATCCTGAGAAAGGTATCCCATGCGGAGAAAATGGTTTGCACAATTGCAACGTAGGACGGATCGTTGTAGGTATCTTCAATCCCATGTGCTATTTCACTGAGGCTCCAGCTACTCCCTAAATATTTGCGCTTCGAATAAGAGAACATTTTTTGGGCTTGCGGCATCTCATTTTCTGTGCTGTCCACACTGCTCGACATTTTTGGAAAGGAAACCATTCGCCGTTTTCCCAGTATCAAAGGGGTCGCAATTGCGAGCTGCCCAGGTTGGAGCTTTTCGGTTTCTGGACTTCTGGCAACAACTTTAGAGCGGAAATTTGTGCGAGAACGTTCCTTTCTTCCAGAGTATCGATGTTTTATTGGCTTTCGCACCGCATCACCCGGAACCCATGTAGGATCTTCCTTCGCGGATTCAGAGTCGGACGCGTTCCCAGACCCTGACATCGACCTGCGTCCATTTTGGCTGCTATTGAAGGAGCTTTCACAGCCACCATATGCCCGCTGAATGTACTCTTCATCTCGTAATGGAGAGATCTTCCAGTGCTTCTCCAGTCGCACGTATATCGACGTTAAAGGCCGCAGGGCTCGATTGCACCATCTCAGATTAATCGGAATTTGCGGAGGAGGGAGTTTCGAACGAGGATTTATATGACCAGAACCCATTTTCAAAGAAATATATATCCAATAATACCTAAAATTATACCAGCGCAATGCCTGTTATCCGCACGAGCTTGAGCTCGAGAGGGATAATTAGACATAGGACTGAGCTGACAATGTGGTTCCTTCAGGTATATTGAGCTCCCCGGAGGGTAAAAAACGATGTAAACTATAATAAACTGCTGGTATAGTTCCAGACATGTTATAAAATATGCTGCATTTTTGTGATGCTGGACAATGGGCTGTTTCAATGGTTGTTGTGACAAAAAGCTCCTAAAAGGTAAACAAAGTTGTTTACGCCAAGACAGTACACGTGATCAATTTTTATCTTATCTTATCTTATCTTACCCCTGGCGAGATCTCGAGGGCTCTGGTTGGTGCTCTATTTACGTGCAAACGGACGTCTATCGCAATGATGGTAGCAGATGAATGCATGCCATAAGTTTCAATTCATTATCGTCGTCATCATATAACGAAAATCGGGTAGATAGCTTGGAAAGGAAACCTTGTCAAGGCAATCTTGCTCAGGATAAACCAAGAACTTCAATATCAGCGTTCCGCAGAGAACCAAAAAGGAAGTTAAAAGGGAAAAGATTTTGAAAAGTAGAGTAGAGATAGATATATACAATCAAAACAAATAATGATGTTCCCATAACCTAGGAGTTGTTCGTGATTTTTATAGGAGAATAACACTTGCTCAACAGCACCAATAAGAGATGTCCAAAAACACTCGCATTCGGCACAGCAAAAAGCCACGCTTTGAAGACAGGTAAAGAAACAAGAAAAGAACCGCAATGGTATATAGATGCATGCAAGGCGCAAGGTATAGGAGATTCCATAGGGGTTTGCGTCGTTAGATGTTAGTCACTTTATGGCTTAACAGAAGTCTGTTTCGAGCCACGAAGTTTAGGATTGCGAGTAGTTCTCTTTTTTGGCTTTGAGCGAGCAGCATCGCCTCCCTCAATGAACTTCAAGAGCTCGTCGATGCTTCGGGAATCCAAGCTTGGGTTCGCACCGTCGACACCAGCAACCATCTCAGATGTGGTTTGTCCTACTGAAGGCTGGGCTTGGGCGGTAAGAGATGAGCGGCCAGGCAAGTTTACAAGGCGCCGTCTGCGAGCTTGGATATCCTTTGCACGCTTAGCGATAGAGACAGCATTCTGGGTGAGTTGCTCGAGCCAGCTCTCGGCCTCCTTGGTGTTGCGATCCTCGGGGCCAAGCTCGTTGAGGAAGATATTGTAAGCTTCACGCATACGGTTAACGGCAGACTTGGAGTCTTGATCGAGTGCAAGAGCTTGAGCAAGCTGGAAGAGCAATGTAGCAGTGTTGACAGATTGTCTTCCAAACAATTCGTCGCAAACAGCGAGAGAAGACTCGAACCATTTGCGAGAGTCTGGGTACTTTTTCAAGTGCTGGAGCATAACTGCGGCGTTGTTCATTGTGGTGATAGAGTCAGGGTGGCTTGGGCCATAGACGATCTTCCACAGCTCCAAAGCATGTCTGATGTAAACTAGGGCAGTCTGAGTATTTCCGTTGGCATGCTCAAACAGTGACAGGTTGAGGTAGCTGAGGATGGCATCGGAAGAGTCAACTCCCATTGTTCGCTCAGTGACAATAACCGCCTTGCGAGCTAGTTCCACGGCAGCATCCTTCTCATCAGTTTGGTAGTAAACCATGGATAGTTGATGGTATAGCTTGGCCACCTCGGGGTGAAGGATGCCGTAGATCTGCTCATGGAGAGATAGAGACTCCAAGATAAGTTCTTGGCCAAGTTCCTTCTGGTTCTGCATAAGAGAAATTCGGCCGGCTTCAAATGCCTCCTCGGCAAGGGCACTACGAGGAGAAGCATCCTTCACAATTGGAACGATGTTCACAATGTCATCGGGCACAAAAGTGAGAGCAGGTGCGGGCGCAGGGGTAGCAGCAGCTGCAGATGAGCCCTTCTTCTTCTTCTTTTTCTTCTCATCCTGAGAGTCACTGTGAGCTCCGTTTCCTGCGGGAGATTGTTCTTTAACTTGGGATTTGCTGAAGGCATACTCCTTAGCAACAAGCTGAAGACCAAGCTTGAGTGAGATATCTCGTAGAACTTGGAAATGCTTCAAGCTTCCAGTCCAGCTGGCCTCAAGTGTATATCTGTAACGAGATTTAACCTGCTTCTCGATGTCTGCAGCAAGGGATGCAGGAGTAACCTCCTCAAACGAGAAGTCGCCTTCTGGGTAAATTGCTCTGAGAGACTCATCAATCTCAGCACGAGGCTTTGAGTTGACTTCTGTACCTAGCAAACAGTTGAGCAGATGGGCGATACAGGCAGTGGCAAATGGTGGCGGAAGGTTTCGGAGGTAACGGTTAGCAATATGCTTGAATGAACGAGCAACCATATCCTGCACCACGAGAGCAACGAGAGATTGAAGTCTAGATCCCTTTTCTTGGGCGAGCTGTGCTACTTTTCCGAGGTATCTGATGTTGATACCACGTTTGTGGAGGAGTTGGCCGAGGGATTGACCATCCATCGGGAAGCCAACTTCACCGTTGTAAAGATCCTTGACTAGCTCTGGTAGTGCCTTTGATCTGAGGTGGTCGCAAGCATCACGAACTTCCTTCTCGTCTCGTGCCCATTCTTCCTTCTCCTCCTCAGTCTGTGGGACCTGACCGCTGAAAACGTCAGGGTTCAACGCCAGGCGGAAGTTGGAAATGTCAACTCTCTCCTGGTCAGAGTTGTCTTTCTTCTCGGCATCACCACCCTCACCATTCTCGACAGCCTTAGTCTCCTTAGCAGTGGCTCTGCGCTTTTCAACTTCCTCCTTGACATATTGTCCCATCTTGTATCTCCAGTACGCCTCTACGAGCTCGTGGCGGAGCACCGGCATTCGGTGGGGGTATTCATCATGTCCTTCGGCATCCTCAGTCCAAGAGATGTCGAGTGGAGTAATACGGTAAAGGTCGAGAACATATTTACGACCATCGGTACCAAGGAGACCCTTGGTCTCAACACTGCCCTCCAATTCATGTCGTACGCCATCTTTATCCCAGACAGCATGCTTCTTGACACGGAGGGCCTTGGAAAGCTTCTCGAAAACAGGAGTGAAAGCCTCATTCTTCGCGACAACATCCTTGCCCTCAACACCACCGTAATCAATCTGGTGCTCACCGGGCTCGCGGTGCTTAAAGATACCAGGAACAATACTCTGGCCAACAATACGTTTGCCGAGGTAGTCAACAACGACAGTTCCCGGGGTGAAAAGCCCAGGAATGTCAAGTTGGTTAACAGTCTTGACACCCATGACATCCTTTCCAACTGCGATACGGGCAGCTTCGTCGCCACCCTCGGCAGCAAAGGTGCCGACACCGTCCGCACCAAAGGAAAAGAAGATGTTGTTATAAACAAAGATCTGGGCATCCCTGGCCTCCATTGGGTTCAAGGACGCAACCTCGCCCCTAGCGACCAAGATGGCGCCACGAACGGCAGCATCGTTATAGTCAGCAAAGAGTTTAGAGGTTAATCTTTCCCTGAAAACCTTCTCCTGGACGTTTTCCCGGGGAAGCTCTCTGGTAGTCTGGAATTCCTCGTTCCAGTCTCTCAAGGTCTCGGAGTTATCAATGCCCGCAATCAAGTAGTTCTCCTGAGAACGGGTAGCATCCGATATGTGCGCCGTCGCCTGACTCTGCGATGCGGGTACAAGCCATGGGTTGTTCGGTATCGAGTTTTGGAAGGGGAATGTAGTAAGGAGGTCCTTTTTGTTGTTGTACTCCTGGAGAGCCTTGAAGGACTCGTTAAACGATGGAGAGATAAGAGATATCAGGGTTAATAATGAGTGTGCGCTGTAATTCTTGGGAGCAGGCCGGGGGAAAGGATCGAATTTCGAGTTGGAGCACTTGTTCACGTAGAATCCAGAGACATGGGATGTAATCTGGTGCTGTTCGCCTTCGTTTGTGGTCACCAACAGGTACAGGAGGTGTCCCTTTTGGCGGAGATGGTATGGTGGAGGGTTCCACGGGGAAAGAGACACAGATCTGACGGTCTTTGGTACGGCGGACTGGTCCTTTGGAAGAACAGTTGCCAGGTCCAAAGGAGCATTGACATCATAACCATCAAGTGCATGAGTCTTCTTAGCCTCTTCAGGAAGTCCTTCGCCAGCAGCAACAGAGTCATACAAAGACAGGCCAGCGGAAAGGCCATGCAATGTATCAACACGGTTACCGGCAGCGCCGATCAGCTCTCTGATTCTAACAACGTGCATCCTGGCCTCCTTCTCGGTATAGGGATCTTCGATCAGGACGACTTCGGAGTCGGCTTTGAGGCCCTTTACCTCGGATAGCTCGACATAATCATTGATTCGGTTTCCCTCAGTCTCCAGGTGGAAGCAGGTGTACTGGAAAGTACCTGGCAGTTCGACAATTGATTGGCGAACATCCTGGACTTGTTCTTGGCTGGATACCTGCAATTGACCGTTAGGTAAACCACTGAGTGAATATATATATACTGAGACAAGGATGGACCTACCATAACCTGAATGCTGTGTGGCTCGTGAGGGAGCTTTACGCTGATCTGGAAAAGACCTAAAATGTGCACACGACCATAAACAGAGAGCCCTTTCTACAGACATTGATAGCCCTGCTTAAGAGAAACAGACAGCCCTACCTCCAGCATTGTTGTTATCATCCTGTTCCCCTTCTGTCTTGTTGCCGTTTGCAAGCTCCTGGCTGGTATTTTCAGGCTTGGTATCTTCTGGCACTTCTATAGCAAGATGTAGAAAAAAAAATTAGAATCAGCTTCCAAATTGCACAACCACACAGCCATCATGCTGTACACCCGCCATTGGAGCAACAAGCAAGGCCAATGGCAATTCTCACGGCATGTCTCGTACCTTTTGAGTGTTCTGGGCCTTTACTTTGCCGGTCCATCTCGAATAAAGAGCCGAGTGTACAAGTTTCACAGATGTACACAACTCGAGCTTAAGAAGGTAGCCAAAAGAACCCGCCTTTGCCTTTTTGAATGAGCGACTCGAAGAGAGAAAGGGAAAAGGTATGAAATTATACAATATACAGCGCACCGAAACGAAAGGGAAGATCCCAAGAGGAGAGTTGAAAAGGCGCTTTTCTCGACTGCTGCAGTTTTTCTTCTGGGCCCGGCGGTTTCTCCCAGTTGGGACTTCTGGAGAGGAAATTTCACGGAGGCGGATTTTCTGCTCGGAAGGAAACGGGATTCTCTCGGTGAAGCTTAAACTCTGGTTCGATATCCAGTCGAACGTCGTGGGGCCGGCAGTGCAGGGCCGATCACAAGACCATTGTTCTCTTTCTGTTAAGTATACCGAAGCTGTCGAGCGTTGAGGCGTGGGAGGTTGGTGCTTCTTTGGCGGTTGCGTCTGTTGTGGGAGTCGTTGATCAACTAACTAGCGAGAGCCAGGCGTTATATATAACTAGCTGTATGCCTGGCCGGCCTCCTCTCAGGACTGCGCGCGCGCTCAAGGGCCGGGCCTCCGGTTCCGAATCATATCAATATCTGTCCTCTTCTTTCCCCAGCTTTGCCTGTCGGGGACTCAAAAACAGGCGTTCAGAGGTGGGAGCTGATCCCGGCAAGCGGTTCTGCAGCAAGGACAACGACAGGATAGATACGAGCTGCTAATTGCGTGCCTATCACTTGCCCTGCCATGCATGCCCTTACCCCATAAAAGCACCCTGATTAACAAAGACGAAACTCGCCCATAGCGTGTCTGCTCGACGTTATTCGCTGTCTTGCGGCCGCTGGTAGGCGAGCCGACACTAAAGTAACTACATGGCATGGCATGGTCCTGCGAGCGCGAGACATCCCGGACCCCTGGCTGGTTACCTTCGTTTCGCTTAAGCGGAAAGGCAGCACAGAAGACGTCTGCCGATAAAGAAGCAAACCAAACACAAAATGGACTCGCTGATTTCAGCATTACTGGCCGCATTCTTAAACGGATGCTAAGAGATCTTGGTTCAGCAGCATTGAACATTAAGATCGTAACTAATGAGTTTAGCAGTTCCAGTGATAAAGCTATAACTATCAAACCCACGCTGGCATAGAATAGCACTAAACGCAGACTTGAGAAAGACAGCAGCCCTCTACCTGTGTTTTCGGTGTATACAATGGGACACTTCAGCAGAAACCAGCTTGCAGGGCCAGCATAGATGAGGTTCTCGGGTTACCTCCATAGACATTCGGAGCATAGTTCGTTCGAACAAAATATAGGCCAATTCCTGGTCCTAGTTACCTCCTCCAGAACCCATCACCGGCTTGAAAGTAGAACACAGCCATAAGGGTGTCATTCGCATATTGACTGCCTCTTCCATTCTCTGAACCCCTTTTATCAAATAATAATAATGTCAACTCCGTCTTCCGTCCTCCGCGAACATCCATCAAAGACCAAGAAAACTTCCAAGAAACGGCTCCACGTGACATCCCGAGACGCCAGCTAACTAACTACTCAGACGGCGACAAGTCGAGATCGCGAAAAAGAAACGTTTGAGATTTCAAGAATTTTCAGTTCGCTGTCAGATGCGACCTGAATTCACTTGGGATCGCCTCCGCCGACAGGTCGTGCATACATACTCCGTACATATCATGAGTGTGGCTCGTCTGAACTTGTCCATGTCTTTTCATTGATCTCCTGGGGAAACAATCCCGATTCGCGCTCCATCTGTTTGGCTGGGCCTGAACCGCCCTTTATCCGGAGCCCGAACCTACCCCTGAAAACAATATAAACAGCGAGCCGGCACTGTTGGACAAAACAGATCCAAAAGACCGGCCTCGCAGTTCTCGGGAGATTAAAAGCTCGACCAGCCTTATCGGTTGATGCAAAATCATTCTGTGATGCGCTTTACCCGGACATATAATGCGGCAGCCGGGCTTGGTCTTAGGGGAGCTGTAAGGCCACGATATGCCACACTCCCGCAGCTTCGTCGGCACTATGGATCGCAAGACGTTGCTCCTGGAGGCCCGCCACAGCCGGGGAAAGAGGGTCCTGATCCAGATGAGTCCTCTCGAGAGAAGTCGTCCAATCAGCAGGATAACTCATTAAAAGCAACGCTGCTGCGGATGTTTGAATCGTCAGCAACTACGTTTGCCTCTATTGCTGTCCTTGGGTATGTCATCCCCGGTGTTTGGCTCAATGTACGATATAGCAGACTGAATCTAAGGGGTTCCCATTTTCTAACTTTGAAATTATATACATATTTTGTTTCTCTTTGGTTAAAGTGCTGCAGGCTATTCTTACCACAAGTATTATAAGCATTTGGTCCTGAAGAAGATGGACAATGCCTTTGAACCTGGTGATCCAATGTTAGAGCTGGCTGGTGTCAAGGACCCCAAGCAAGATCCAAAAGGAAGCAAGGATATGGAGAAGGACCCTGACCACTGGCTCGAGCGCGACGAGCAAGGTAGAATTGATGAGATTATAAACGGTGCCATTGGCCATTATTACCTCCTTATTGGCGAGAAGGGCACTGGGAAAACCTCCATGATCCTCAATGCAATGAGGAAAGTCGATGGTAGTCGCGTTGCAATGTTCGAAGCCCATGCCAACCTCGAGATATTCCGAATACGATTAGGAAAGTCGCTGGACTATGAGTTCCACGAAGAGTATGTATAGAACGGCAATATTATACACATCCTACAATGCCTCAGATGCTAATTCATAATTCTCCAATTTTTGCAGCTATATTGGTAGTCTTTTCAGCATCAGAGGGCCCCGTGATACCACTGCCCTATTGGACATTGAACGTGCCCTGAACAAACTAGAGAAAGTCGCTATCAAGCGCCGGGATGTCAATCAGAATCCCCTGATTTTGATCATTAACTCTCTGCATTTGGTGAGAGATGACGATGATGGCAGGGACCTCCTTGAGATGCTTCAGCAACGCGCAGAGCAATGGGCCGCCAGTGGTCTAGTGACTATGGGTTAGTTTCCTACCTGATTACATGTCTTAACCAAGAAGTTCTCGCTAATAAGTATAATAGTGTTCAACAGCGATGATTACTGGATCTACGAGCGCCTAAAAAGGTATGCTTCGAGAATGGAGGTCATCCCCGTCCCAGACCTGCCAAAGGGTAAGGCACTAGGTGCACTCCGCAGGTATCGATCCAGATACTTCAAAGAAAACCCACCACAGAGCCTCTTAGAGGAAGTATACAACAAGGTTGGTGGGAGGTTGACCTTCTTAAACCGCGTAGCCAAATCCGAGGATATGATAGCAACCTGCAATGAAATCTGTGAAGCTGAGAAAACCTGGTTTTTGAACAAATGTTGGATCCTCGGCGAGGAGATGGATGATGATGTGATGGACGAACAAAAATATTCTGTAAGTGTTTTCTTCGCTTATCAGCACCCAGTACCTTGGGGTAATGAGCACTACTGACTCGCCATTAAAACAATAGTCTGCAGCAATGGTGCTGGCAAAGGCTCTGGTAGACCTCGAGAAGGACATGGAGAAGACATATGACGACGAAAACGGACATATCTTACCAGAGCTACCGCTCCATAAGGCACGCCAGATCATGACACGCGCAGACTTCATTCAATCTTATGACCATGACAATATCTTTACCATCGACTCCAAGGCAAGGGTTCGAGCTGACTCTGTGCCGATGCAAAACGCATTCCGTGAGATTTGTTCCGAACCAGGCTTCGACCAGTACCTTGAGGACACTTTGGACAGGATTTCTGCTATCGAAAGTTTGGGCAGGACCCGAGAAATTACTGTCAAGGACTTCTGGAATGAGGGTAAATTCAAAGCAACTATGCGTGATACTAAGGGCCGTGAAACCGGTACCCTAGAGATTGGCGTGGTTAAACCCGAGAAGGAAGAGGATGATGACTAGACGTCTATTTTTTTTTTCCCCCCTATTTTCCTGTACTATACGCCTGTGCACCCTTTTTCCTTTACTTTCACTCTTTAGATAATTTTCTTCCTTTACTATTTTTGAGCAGATGGATTTCTTTCTTTTGTAAAAAATATGATATTAATAATAAATAAAAATACGTATATCTATGATCATAAAGTAACATTGCTGCCAGACCCTAGAAAATAGAAAGGAGCCATAGATTATATATGAATTTTGTATAGAATAGTAACCCACCGTTCCTTCTTACTCGTCTGACGATTATTCAGTAAACTGCGTTCTTAATTCGATCAAAGCATGTTAGGCTGACTTCGATCAAATTTCTTCCTGCAATATACCAAAAAGTCAGCAAGTTCATGTATTTATATAGCACTTCGATATTGTATACAAGAAGGGGAGCAGAAAAGCGGAGAGGGATTCAGAGGGTCTATCATTGCCAAATATACTCGACTCGGTCACTGAAGTAGTTTTATTTTCGACGCATTCAAGTGGGCTTTGGCAAGTCGATGTCCACTAGCCAAGGGAGATGAAAGCACTGGTCCTGACCCTCGTCTCCCTTTATAGATGCATTGATGAAGAGAGTTTGAGCTCCCAGTTCCGCAAAGCATCTAGTCGAGTAGCATCCCTCTGTTTGCGAAGTTTTCAGTTTTTCCAGCTTCGCTTCTCTGACTTCCGGTTCATCATGTATTGATCCGCCCAATCTTGACAAGTTAGTTATCACAGGAGACTTGTCAGGATCGTTTTCGATGACGGTCAAATGTGATGCCTCCGAGCTGTCGTTCTCGCGCCAGGTAACCAGCCTCGCGCCCCATTCTTCATGTATGTGTCCAAAGCAATGTAGCTTTGGCCTTGTTCGAAAGACAGATTTAAATAAGTCGGGACATCCAACTCTCGAGGAGGAATAGGGCCGGTCCATCACCCCGTGTGGAGGCCCGTGAGTCATAACAATATCGACATCGTCCTTGATGTCAAAGCAGTGGCCTTCTTTCGGGGAATATTGGAATCCCCAGTCGCCCTCGGAGGGTGTAAACGGGCTAGCATATATTGTCAGTGACGCCCCATTTGCGAGATCAAAGGTGTACAAGCCCTCGTCGAGTAGAATGATGCCATGATCCCTTGCTTCGTCGAACAGCCTCCTTGCCTCTCCATAATCTCCGTATACCTTTTTCACTAGCTCAGCATCAACTGGCCCAGGCATCTCCGCAACTTTTTGTCTGAACATCGGCACATCGAGAGTAAAATCGTGGTTACCAGCGATTATAAGTTTTAAAGGGGCATTTATGGCCTTCAGGAGCTCTATTGTGGCCCGGAATTCGTCGAGCTTCGACTCTTGAGTAAGATCGCCACAGTGAAGAACAACATCCGCATGCTGCTCTGGAGGATGATAGTCGGTAGCATGGGTGTCGGAAAGAATGAGAAATCGAGTAGCCATGCTCCGCTGGATTGAAGTGTTATCTCGGCGTCTACTAGCTGAGCAGTTGAGGGTTGGGTAGGAGTAGTTGTGGGAAATGAAAGATTATTTAGGAGGGAAAATGGCCTTTTATAGCGAAAAGGAAACATTCGCCATAAGAAGTTGTAGATAGTCGGATGATGCAGTCAATGATGTCAACTCTATAATAGGAGCTTAAGGTTTCCTGCAAAGAGACACTGAGGACTATCCAGTAACCGTTCGAGCGCAAGCTCTATTGATTGGCCGGACATTCTCTTATGTAAAGAAAAACCTGGGTATATGGACTTCAACCGTTGGGAGTATTGGATGAAGTTCTGAAGGGTGACCCTCTCCAGGGGAATATTGGAATCCCCAACACATTGTCAAGCTTGTCCAAAATGTCGAGAGAGAAGTAAAGCCTTGATGAGCTTGAAGCTGTGTCCCCTGCTCGAATAGCCGTGGAAGATGACTAAGCGGAATATATAAATCACGTGATCATATGACATCATCACCTCGGACCTGCTGCTTCCAACTCGCTGGCTAACTAGTTAGTTAACTAACGGAAGCTGGAAATCAAAACACAAAAACAAGCCAAGCGCGAGCGAGCTTGCGACATGCATTTGTCCCCAGAAATCCAACCTACCGCAGGCACATCAGGACAACCACTCGCATTTATCTTATATTGAATTGAAGAGCAAACCAGCTACTGTATACCTGCACAGCTCCTAGTACTGAGTCGCAACGCCCCAATGGGCCCAAAATCAGCTTCTACGGCCTCGCCTGGCAAGAGAGGGAGACCTTCTACCAAGGCTGGCACCACCCCTGGCACGAAGGTATCAGTCGAGGTGCCAATTCCCAAAGGTGCTGTCGCAAGGGAGACATCGTCATTTAGCTTGGAGAGCGTGCTGCATTTTGCGCTTTTGGCCGGCAGTAGCTTGCTGCTGAGCACGGCGCTCTTCTCTCTCAGCGTCCCAATAACAAAGGGGGACTTGGCGTGGACGAGCAAGCGCTTAGACTCGTGGAGGGATGTCATGGTGCTCCTCGCATGGCGGGTTATTGAGTTGGCAGTGCCTTGGTTTTCGGGATATGATGGTTTGAAAATGGCCCTGGACCTTTTATCACTGACTGATCTAATGCTAACTATGGTCACTAGCTTGGGATGCGTTGTGTTTTATCGGCCTCATTCACCTTCCGGCATATTCTCTCCTGCTCAACTTTTATAACATTCGGCCCACGACGATAATCGCTGTTGCGACCTTTACCATTCTATCGTGCACAATCCCGTTTTCTTACTTCCGTCCGCTGGGTCCAGCGCATAGTGGCAGCCCGGCTGTCAACCGTGCCATTCTAGCGGATGGTCTCACTACAGCGTACATCACTGTGGCTTCCACCCTTGTATACACCACGTTTATATACCTCAGCTTTGTGACATGGCTTCCAGCCCATCTTGTCACATATTTTAACGGGCTCCCTGATATCACTGCCGCTCATGCCGGGCCAAAGGGATTTGTGTCGCTTTTTCTTAGTCTTTTGCCTGCAGGATACGGGGCGAGAGATCTTTTATTCGTCACATCTGCTAGCCAGCCACCGGAAAAGAAAACCGAGCCAAAAACGACACGTCGACGACTTCGGTCATCAGATTCGCGAAATGAGGAGGAAGAGCAGCGAGAAGAGTCCCGCATTGCTTCACTTTATAAGAAGGCCTGGCTTGGGCTATCTCCTGCTTCAAGGACCCTTATATCACGGTCACTAGCTTTGGCCCTTATGACTCTAGCCAATACCTTCGTGCAATTAGCAGGTACAATCAGCGGGGTAGAGCCTAAGGGAGCCTTGGGATGGGGTTCGATTTGGTCACTTGCCACACTAGTCAACGCTTTCTTTTATGGCTGGGTTCAAGAAGCAAGCGGTGTATGAAGAGACTGAGGAAGAGTGACAAAGTTGACGGCAGTATCAACTTATCTGATTATGAAGGTTTAGTGCTTTTTCTATGTCTTACGAGGATTTCTTTTTTCTTTTCCTTATTTTCCCTTTCTTTTTTCTGCTGCTTTTTAATGACACCTCAAAGGTTATGAGTGAGGCTAAGGGACATGGGGGTTGTGTAAAGGTAAAGGAAATCTGAATTGTTTGGTGTTTCCTGTTAGGGATTGATATTGGGGGAGGCAAAGAGGGTGGGCGAATATTCAGTACTCCCCGCTTCCTCTAGTGGAACAGCAGCGATATTATAGGGGTTTTTCCAAGGCATACGTCCATCGTGGATTCGTATGTCTCTTGGGGATGGATGCTTTTTATGTAGATGTGATACGCGAATTGTTAGTTATGGCCTATTTTACAATATGATAATCAATAATGTCTCATTAGTTACCACCAGTACGAAGAAATATCCCACGCTTTCCCCCTACCCCAACAATAACGTATTACTGTTTTCACAGCTACTCCCTGGCTATAGAATAATACAATATAATAATGATAACCAAATCCAGAGCTTGGAGGATTCTCTCCATCCGGATGCGGCTTCACAGCGCGACTTCTCATTGGTGTAGATGTATTACATAACCACATAACATCACGTGATCACTTACATAATCTCGTCTGCGAGTTCTAGACAGGATTGGAAGTCTTTTGGATCTTAATACGCAACATCCGGCGGGATAAGACAGCTAATCATGTCTAGCGAGGTCACGCTCAGTGTCGTTGACAGTATGTATCCATCGCGAGTCCGATATGTCTTCTGAAACCTGATACGGACTAACCACTGCTGCAGACGACCTGAAAGACGTAATTCAAAACTTCTTTGAGATTCAGTCGGCGGTCCATGGATATCTCGGGCCAGAAACACAGCATGAGCTCGTTAGGAAGCTGTCAGTTACCCGTTCATATCTGCATACTGTATTCCATGGATTATTTTGTTATCGGTTTACTGATATATGTCCACATGTTTAGAAAGTCTCTTACCATATCCCTTAAAACACTATCTGATCATACTACCCTGGATCCAGCCCATGGAGATGCTGCATCAAAACAACCCAACTCCAACCCTGCGCTGCCACAAGCGGATCCGCCACTGCACACCATCCAGCTACCGCCAGAGATCGTTGACTACGTAGATGCAGCGCGTAACCCAGATATATACACGCGAGAATTCGTTGAGTTGGTTCAAAAAGGAAACCAGGATTTAAAAGGAAAAGCTGAAGCTTTCTCTTCTTTCAGAGACACTCTTGCACGGGAGATGGCTAGTGCAATGCCCGAGTGCAAAAAGGAGGTGATACGGGTTGTTAAAGCGACCGGCGGCGATGCCCAACAACTATAGCCCTTTTTTTTCCCTCTATTCTAGGGCTGGCGTTTTAATACTAGGCCAGGGTTAGAAGGGTATAGTAACCTACGGATTTATGGAGTCAGGAGTTATGGGGTTTATCTGCTTCCCGTCTGGGGGATCCGAGTGTCAATTAACAGAACAGGACCAAATGGATAATTTTCCCACACTTCTCTTCCTGGTTTTCTCCTTCCTCATCCTGGCCACCCTGGAACTGCACGTATTAAACCAAACATGCGCATTGAAAGCCAGGGACACAACGCATGGCAGCTGGTGTACAGATACAACCAAATGACGCCCCTTTTAACCATGGGAATCTGCCAAGGCCAGGTGAAAACATCCAAAAATAGTGAAATGCCCCGTTGTCCACCGCCATAGCATGCTCCTTTAACCACGGATCTGATTGACACAGAACCCGAGTCGTGGGCGCACCGCGATGTGGGGAAGCATTTTGTGGTTTGATCATCCGAGAACTGGACGGGCCAATCGTCACAGCCCGTCAAGATGGCAAAGCGTGCAAATAGGCAAAAGAAAAAAGCACTTCCGCCTCCTTAACGGAATGTAAGCAGTAGCCATTCCCGGCACTTACAATCATGTGCTGTTACTGATGGAGTTTAACAGGACCACGAAAAGAAGATCGCAGAATTGGAACTATACGCTTCCGGGAATAATAAGGAGCCAGGCGCCCATATGTGCCGATCTTTTAGGCATGCATGTCAGCCAGGCTTCGACTATATATATAATATATACGGCATCTCTGGGGCTGAATACGTAGCAAGGCTGAGTTTCGTGAAGGCACCTTAAAAGACATGCCAGACCTTTGGATCATATGTGAATTTCCATCTCGCCTTTGTCGTACCGTACAACCCAGATGAAATCGCCCAAGCTTTGCCTCGTATACGGTACTGGCTCACTGTTTGCCCCACATGACGGTCCGCTACGTCTCGACCGTTTTCTCAATATAAATGATTCTGGACAGCCCATTGACGGACTTACTTGACGGCCTGCTTGCCTGTGTGCAAAGAATTCTTACAACCGGACTGTTGATGCCGTTGTCGTCATCGAAACTCAATGCAGTCTTCGTTCTGTGTTTTATGACACTCCCTTCCGGCAAGACACCACGATCATGTCGGAAGATGATGGGCTGACCGGAGCCTACAGGGGGGCTAATTTCGCAATCAAGATAGTAATTGGGGTGTTTATTGGAATCTCCTGGTACAATGCACTGGAACTATGCGTTCTGGCCTTTGTCACGTTCAGCCATTATAGAGGCCTTTACTTCTGGAGCCTCTTGATATCAGCGACTGTTGGCGTCATGCCATATGCACTCGGTTTCCTGCTAAAGCTCTACAACTTGATGGACAATGTCTGGCTGTCTCTTGTTTTTCTTACAGTTGGCTGGTGGACCATGGTTACTGGCCAGTCCTTTGTCCTCTACTCCCGGCTTCACCTCGTTATTCGCGACCAAAAGATCCTACGCCGCGTTTTATGGATGATAATTTGCAATATTTTCATCTTACACTTACCTACAACCATCCTTACATTTGGTTCGAACTCGAGTCACCAAAAGAGTTTTGTACCAGCATACAAAATTATGGAAAAGATACAGATGACCGGCTTTTTTATTCAAGAGGTCATCCTCTCTACCCTCTATATATTGGAAACGATGAAGATGCTACGGATAGCACCCAAGCATGGAAACCGGAAGATTATGTATCAGCTTCTCGGTATCAATCTTATCTTCATTATCATGGATCTCGCACTCCTGGGCACGGCTTATGCCAACCTATATGTTATCGAAACAACAATCAAGGCCTTGATATACAGTGTTAAGCTGAAGCTTGAATTTGCTGTTTTGGGCAAGCTTGTCCACTTGGTCAACATACACTCCTGGAACCCGGAGTTTTTCAGCGGATCAAATGGCTACCCAGATTTTGTGGACCCAACGCAGATAACAACAGACATTACTCGGCCACCTCAATGCATCAACAGTCCTCCCAGGCCGCCGTGGTCATTCCCAGACACTCTGCCAATTACTTCGGATCTGCAATTTTGCGGAAAAGCAGACGTGGCGCCGTCGAGCAGCGGCAGTTTGGCTACGACACATATTGCTCCATGCACCTCCAACGGGGTTCCAGTACCGACACCAGTTGATGTTACACATGCCACACCCTCCCAGGTTATATCACCCAATAACCTTCCCAAATGGCCGAGTTAAAAGGAAAGAGGATTTCGCTGTTGCAGTCACAGCCTATCCACAACACACCACCCTTTCCTGTTGCCCAGGCTGAAGAAGATGAGATCCCAAAGGATTCTGAAACCCCGGACCCGGCTTATCACACGGTGGAAAAGGAACGTCAAACGAGCTCCTGAAGGATGCGAGGTTGTATATATCAGCTCAACTATCCGGGGGGACCAGAAGCTGGCCGATGCGTGTGGCTGAGGAATAAGGCTCTTGCACTTCCCTGTGCGCAAAGTACTCGAATGTCTATTTAAGGCAGCAGTACCTCGTATAATAGCCGCCTGCCCTCGAAGTATGGCTTTTTGTGTGACATGAGCCGGGAAAGGACTTCGCATTTACATCTTACACGTTGTCTGCCAGGCAGATCTCCGGCTTCATGCACGATTTACGACGAACAACGAGATAGAAACGGACATTACACTCCTTCCACCTGATGGAAACTGTATATAGATTATGTCACATCACTGCTTATCTTTCTTCTTCTTGTATCTAATAATAACGCGTTCCTGAATGAATATATTTGCTGTCTGTTCGTTCTATCGAAAAGGCTAAATGCCTTAAGAAAAAGTTACTTTGTTGAAGCTGCGGCGGAAGCTATGCGATGACTAAGCCGGTCCCCGCCCTTCCCGTCCTGCTTGCTTTTATGCGCGGCTGCAATTTTGAGACATCGCGAACTTCGACTTCACGAACTTCACCCTGACTCCTTGTCGGAGCTGGAAATGGGCGGAGGGATACTGCTGTCCAATGATTGCTGGATGCTAACCTTTGCTCAAACGAACAACAGCATCTAGCTCGCCACCATGGTTTCCTCGCGACGCGGATTCAACCCGATAGCTTTCACCCCCTGGCCGGTGACGATACTCTCCTCGTTGGTGTACCTCGCCCTGATAATCCCAATCATCGTTGTCCACCATCTGGTTCCTCCCGCGCCAAAGGAAAGCCCTGCAGGCGTAGATCTAGAGGAAGCCTGGCACGATCTCCAACACCTGACTCGGCAGTATCACCCTTACAACAGCCACTCAAACGATGAAGTGCACCAGTGGCTCCTTAAGCGTATCCATGCTATCTCTGCAACCTCGGCTCGCTCAGAATCCCAATCGGGCCCAGAAGTCTTTGTTTTCGATGATAACCAAACAAATCTAACGTTTTCCAGCGCTGGCGTTGCCGCTACAGCCATTACCGGCGTATACTTTGAAAGCAGAAATATTGTGGTCTACATTCGCGGCACAGAAGACGAGCCGGGGGAATGGTGGAAATCTCCCGATGGTGAACCGTCAGGAAAAGGTGGAGTGCTTGTAAATGCACACTATGATAGCGTTTCTACCGGCTACGGAGCGACGGATAACGGAGTTGGTGTGATTACGACATTGCAATTACTCAAATATTTCACTACACCAGGACACTATCCTCGGAAGGGCCTGGTGCTGCTGTTCAACAATGGAGAGGAGGATTTCCTGAATGGCGCGTATGCATACAGCCAGCACCCAATGTCTAAATTCACGCATACGTTTCTGAATCTCGAAGGTGCCGGTGCAGGAGGCCGCGCTGTCCTGTTCCGTAGCACAGACACAGAGGTTACGAGATTCTATGGAAAATCGGAACATCCCTTTGGCACAGTCCTTGCGAGAGACGCTTTCAAACTGAAATTTATCCGCAGTGAAACCGATTACCACGTCTTTGATGGCGTCTTTGGCATGCGTGGGCTCGATGTTGCATTCATGGAGCCCAGAAGCCGATATCACACTGACCAAGATGATGCCAGGCATACTAGTATTGATTCTGTTTGGCACATGCTTTCAGCGGCCATTACAACCACTGAAGGGTTGGTCAGTTACACCGGAGATGCTTTCGACGGTGATAGCGGAGATGGTGGGAAACTCAACAACGGCATCGGTACCTTGGGGGTTTGGTTTGACTTCTTTGGTTCGTCCTTTGCAGTCTTCCAGCTCAATACTCTCTTTGGGCACTCGGTGGCCCTCTTGGTCGTCGCCCCTCTTCTACTCATCATTACGTCTGTTGCACTCTTCGCAGTTGACAAAATGTACATGTTCTCCATGTATACGTACATATCGGAATCAGGTGGTCAAGTATCGCTCTATGGCTTACGAGGGATGTTCCGTTTCCCCCTGATCCTTGGTATTAGCACTGCTCTAACCATTGCTCTGGCATTCCTAATAATGAAGGTCAATCCTTTTATTATATACAGCAGCCCGTATGCAGTTTGGAGTATGATGTTGTCCACTTGCATGTTCTTTGCATGGTTTATTTCCTGTGTTGCAGACTTTGCCAGACCATCCGCGCTACACAGAGCATATTCATTTTCTTGGATGTTTGGCATTATGTGGGTTTTCCTTGTGATAGCCACCGTTTATCAGAAACAGCACGGCATAGCAAGTAGCTACTTTATTGTATTCTACTTTGCCGGAGTAGCTGTTGCAACGTGGATCTCATATTTGGAACTTTTTGGTCTGCCAAAAACACAGGATTATGCTCGTCGGCAGGGCCGCCTTTCTGATCGAACGCCTAGTTCTGACAGTCACTTTCTCGCTCCATCTGCAGATGAACTTCCATCCAGCAGCAGTGCGGCAGGCCGAGATTTTAACCCAGAAGATGTTGAGGACGAGGAGCCTACAGAATCCACGTCTCTCCTTCGGGGACAGCAGAGAACTACATTTGCTAATTATGCCAGTGCTAGAGGCAGCCAGGAGAGCAATATATCCAACCAGGGCAACAATTCGTTACACCCTAAGGACCACCGACTAGAACAAAAATGGAGTATCTACCTGATGTCATCGGCTTGGATATTGCAATTCCTTCTCGTTGCACCTATTGTCATTATTCTTCTTGGCCAGCTGGGACTTTTCCTAACATCTGCAACATACCAAATCGGTGCCGATGGAGGTTCACAGCTCGTCATATACATCGGTATCGCCGTCTTATCTGTTCTGATCCTCTTACCACTTTTCCCTTTCATCCATCGATTCACCTATCATATCCCAACATTCCTGTTGTTCATCCTCATTGGAACCCTGGTGTACAACCTAACAGCGTTCCCATTCTCTCACAGCAACAGACTGAAACTTGCATTCGTCCAGGAAATGGACCTAGCCACCGGGAACAACCAAGCGTCTCTTGTTGGCGTAGAACCATATATCCATGATGCTGTTCACGCCATCCCATCCGTACAAGACGGGAAGATCTCCTGTACCTCCCATGGCTACGGAGGCAGAACCAAATGTTCCTGGCCTGGGCTCAAGCCAAAAGTAGCAGAAGGCCCCTACAAGGATTGGGTCAGCTACAATATCTCTAAAACTAAAGATGACAAAATCACTCGCTTTGAGGTCTCTGGCAAGAATACCAGGGCATGCAAACTCCTCTTCGACAGCCCCATTGCTGACTTCCATGTGCAAGGCTCTGTTGTTGACAAGCGTCTACCCCACACCGGGCCAAAAGGTGTTTCTGAAATTCGGCTCTGGAGTCGAAACTGGGAGAACACCTGGACAGTTGATGTGGAGTGGACTAAGAAGAATTCTGAACGCACAGGCAAGGTGATGTGTTTGTGGAGCGATGACAATGATCTTCATGTCATACCTGAGTTGGATTTGGCTCGCAAGTTTGCCCCTTGGTGGGTTGCAATTACGAAGCTGAGGGATGGTCTCGTTGAAGGAAGTTATTCATTCAAGCTATAGTATTGCCCAACCCCACGCAATCTGCAACCATGTTTTTCTTCCACGTTTGTAACAGATGCAGTTATTCTATCTTTGCTACTGCGTTTCTTTTTCTTTGGGCAACTGTCTCAGCAAGGCCCTCTTTCCGGTATTTTCAACGTGATTTCGATGTGATGATATTCGATTGTTCGTTTTAGGCAAGTTTATTTTACTTATTTACTTACAAGAATAATATACAAGTCCTCGAGGACCTACAAATTCAACATACTTCTTGGTATGCAGTTTTCTTTAGGAAAATGGGGATAATAGTGTTTGATTTCTATTCTGCAATGGGGTAGGTAGCTAGGTACGTTGAGATATTATCGGCCCATGCATAGCGCTGTCTACCGGGGAGGGTAAGAAAACAACAAGGTAAAGATAGAAAGAAAGGGGAAAAAAAAGAAGCGGCCTCGTAACCTCATTCTCGGGGCAGTTGCTAGCACTAACCACCGTGCGTCGCTATGCAGTCGTAACTCTATGCGTTCTGGTAAAAGCACCAGTTCCTTTCCCACCAGGGGCAAACCAGATAGAAAAGCAGCAAAGAAAGCTAATGAAACAAAATCGAAAATGAAAAAAAAAGAGAGAGAATAAAGGGAGTGGGGGGTATTGATAAAGGAAAGGGACTGAAAGAGAGACGCAATGGTGGGGGGATATAAGGGGAGAAAAAAGAAACCTGCTCCAGGCCGGGGGTACAATTCCGAAGGCGAAAAGGTCGAAACGCCCAGGCCGATATCATGTTTACCGTTTTCATTCCCGTGAGAACGCCTGGTGCGCCTAAACCTATGCCGAAAAGTAGAGACTGCAATCGATGGATGTAGCTTCAACGGTAAATTGGGTATTGTAAGTTGCTTCAATATAGCATGCGGGCGGAATAGCGCGTTGGTAATCGCTGGATCATGGGAGGGTATATTTGTATGGCGTGATACCTGACTTGTGTGTGTGTGTGTCTGCCGTTCTAGTGTTGTGGCACAGCAATTGGGTGGTCATCTCCATCATTGATAGCGGCAGCATTCAAAAGGCCAGATACTGATGGCTGGCTGTCAACTTCGTCGGGAGACTCGTCGTCATCATACATGGTTACTGCTGTTCCAGACCGTTCTCGAAGAGCAGAATGGTTGAGGTATTCTCGTAGTTGTCCGACTCCATCGCCGCTAAAAACGCAGAAGACCTCTCTTTGAAGAGGAGTGAACTCCTCTGGGGCAGCCCGGCAAAACTTGGTCAAGTCATTTCTCAAAAATGCATGGACACCGGTTAAACTCAGATGAGTCAGTCGGCGACAGTAATTCAGAAGAGAGTGTATGCCCTGGGATTCGATAACAGTTAGTATGAGGATTTGTTCTCAGATTGACGTGGATGTACGTACCTCTACAGTCAAATTGACACAATAACTCAGATGCACCCTTTCAAGGCCACTGACTAAGGGATGCTGTGGGAATCTGGGCTTTGCCAGTGCTAGTATGCTTCGATCAGTGATAGCCTGGCATTTGACCAGGCCTATTCTTCGTAATTTTGGTAGTGTTGCCAGTTGCTCAACGCTTGCGTCGGTGAGGCGGTTGCAGCATGCCAAATCAATGTACCGGATTCGGTTGCAGGATTTCACCATTTGAGTGACGGCTTGGTCGGTGATATTAGAGCAATGGCCTAGGTGAATGTAGTGGATGTTCTTCCCCAGTCTGCAGATGGCATAAACAGCTCGGTCCGTAATGAACTTGCACTTTCCAAGTACGAGGTTTCTCAGCCTTGGTGCAGAATCAATGATCTTCTCGACTGCGTCATCTTTGACTCTCTCACAGGCAGTGAGGTCTAGAATCCGAAGGCAGTCGAATACCAAATTTGGAGGAAGTCTGAGGAAAGCTTCATCGCTTATTTGTATACAATGGGCTAGACGCAATTCTCGGAGGCTTCGCAGGGTAGAAAGGAGTGCGGTTACCGAGGCGTTGGTGATATGTCGACATCCGTGGAGATCGATCTCGAGCATCGAAGGGCAGTTATTAGCAAACGCCAGGATAGACCTGTCCGTAAGCTGAGCTACACCATTCAATTTCAGCTAAAAATAGAACAGGTCAGCATATGCTAGTTAACATGGTAATTTAGGAAAGGAGACATTAGTAAGAAGTTATTTTGCATACCCGTTTGAGCTGGCGGCAGTTTTGTGCAAGTTGGACGAGAGAGTCATCTGTAATGTTAATGCAGTTGGTGATATTGAGGCCCTGCAGCCTGGAGCAGTTGGCTGCAACAACGTTCAAAGAATGGTCGGTTAGGGATTCGAGGTCAGAGACGTCCAGTGCCTGGAGCTGCCTGTTCCCCTCCACTAGATCTGAAATTCCCTTATCAGTGACGTTCTTGCAGCCGGTCAGGGTCAGCCTCTCGATCCGTTTGCACTTGACAAATGAAAAGACGGTTCCGTCGTTGACTTTGCTCTTCAGGGTGGTGAGATTCAGGCGCTTGACCAGGTCGTAGTATGGGAAGTAGCTTTCTTCATCCGAGATTGCATGTGCTACCTTGAGCAGGTTGTCCCATGTATTGCAGAGTGGCCTGTGCCATAGAATGCCCACGCAGTTCATCGACCAACACGACGAGACCTTCATGCAGTTCAGAAGGTCTACTGGAGACGAGAGCTTTGAGAAGATAGCAATGAGGATCTCTGGAGGCAGTCGATATATCGGTGGCAGCGGCATATCCTGACCACGCCTGGAGTCCACGCGGAGATCTCGGAAATTCCCAACGCCTATTGATGACTGCGAGTCGTTTGCTTCGAGCATGAAGAAGTCGTTATCCTCGTCTATGGCTCTCTCTGGCGAAGTGGAGGAGGAAGAATCGCCCCCCGAGTCTCGAGGACGCGAGCGGCAGGCCATAATGATAGCTGAAACGGGATGAGCCGATCAGAATGTTCGTTTCAATGGAAAACAGTATTCCTCGGGCAGGTAGTCGGAATCAGGGAGACGCAAGGTACCGTAGTATCGTAGGATGGATGAGCTTTTCGTCCGCGGGTGTTGATGACGCTGTTGTTGTTGTTGTTGTTGCTGTTGATGTTGTGGCCGTTTGGTCGTACGTAGTGTATCACACGATGGCTTCGAAGTGAGGTGATTTATCTCGTCGAAAGTGAGGTGAGGGTGCTGGCCCTTTCTAGCACGTCTCACCTCCCTTTATCGTCCTTTCTTGGAGTATCAAACGGGATCAGGATGTGAAGTTGGCTGGCGAAGTGAATCCCACGGGGTCGTTAAGCATGGGGGAAGTAGGCGCCGGGCCAACCTTCGAGGGCGTTTAATTAGTGATAGGGCGTCAAGCGATAGGAGCGGCTGTGGACGGGGGTCTCTCAGCGGTAGGAGCAGCAGGGACGGCGGCGACAGCGGCGGCGAGAGGTCGTCACGGCTCTGGTCTCCCTCTCTTGACTTCGTTCCTTTTCAGTCGGGCAGGGGCTGGGCTGGGTGATATTCGTGCAGGCTGGTTCGCGAGCTTCGTTTCCAACGGCGCATCGAGAGGCCAAGCCAGCTGGATTCGCCAGGAGGGGCAGCGGGAGCTGGGATTGATAAGCAGGCGGACGGGGCCGCGCAGGAGAAGCAGACGACCGGGAGGCAGTAGAGGCGACAGACAGCAGTCGGTGAATGCAAAGAGCAGGGCAGTGAAGACGAGCGGGCTTCCTCTCGGCTGCGGCAGAAGGTGATGCAGCGACGGCGTTGGTGAGAGCAGGAAGAAAAGCAAGTTTGGCTGGTGTCGCAGGCGCCGTCGGAGGTTTTGCTCGAGGTTTTTCCTTGTCACGCGTCGGGCTGAGTGACTGGGACGAGACGCCGGTGATGCTGATGCTGATGCTGATAGTGATAGTTTACAGAATGATAGAAGAAGAGATGTTGTTCAGGTGGATGACCGCTAGTTAGGTCTCCGGTGAATGTTGATTTGGTGAAGTCGCTGGCTACAGGCAGGTCTAGGTGAGAAATCGCCAGCGAGTCTACTGCTAGATAGCGACAAGATACAAGAAGCGCCCAAGACACAAAGGATAGAAGAAGAAGAATAGAAAAAGAAAAAGAAAAGAAGCCTATGAAGCTTGCGAGGCGCCCTTGGCCCATTCGCGCAGCACATTCTTCTTGATCTTGCCGGTGCTGGTCTTTGGCAGCTCCGGGACGATCTCGACCTCCCGCGGCACCATAAATCGACTGATGCCGCTGGAGTTTTTGGCCCAGGCGATGATGTCAGGGCCGGTGACCTGCTTGTCGGCCTGGATGGTAACGTAGGCCTTGGGTCTCTCGCCCCAGTGGGTGTCCGAGACGGCTACGACGCCGGCTTCGAGGATGTCTGGATGCGTGGCCAGCATCGCTTCGAGAGCGACAGAGGATATATTCTCTCCTCCTGTAATCCATTTCAACGTTAGCAGGGGGACTCTCTGTACTTTAACTCTAGGAGGAGGAGGTTTTAAGCCTACCGCTGATAATAATGTCCTTTGCCCGGTCGAGGATCTGGATGGCTCCGTCTGGATGCCACACAGCCAAGTCACCAGAGTGCAGGACACCGCCGGCAAAGAGCTTGTCGGTGGCTGCTGCATCCTTGTAATAGCCTCTGGCACAGATGTTGCCCGTGAACACGATCTCTCCAATCTCCTGGCCGTCCTTGCGGACGTCGATGATGGTGCCCTCAGGAACATCAGTCTTGATAACCCGGACAGGCAGGCTGGTTAGAAAGCCGTGGCCCTGTCTGGCCATCCTCTTGTACTTCTCCTTGAGTGGGATTGTGTCCCACAACGGCATATGATACGCCTTTGTGATGGGGCCATAGGTTTCTGTGAGGCCGTAGACATGGACCGGATGAAGGTTGACGCTGGTCATCTGCTCAAAGAGATGGGCAGTGGGCGGACTGGCAGCCACGGTAACTCTGACCGGCCGTGACAGTCTCTCTGCCTCCTTTGCGGCGCATAGCAGAGTGTTGACCGTGGGAGCGGCGTTGAAGTGAGTGATGTTCTCTTGCTTCAACATCCGCCATATCTCAGGATAGTCTATCTTGCGAAGACAGTAGTGAGTCCCCCTGACCGCAGTGATAGACCAGGGAAACGTCCATCCTGTTGACCGTCTACTGTTAGCACAACATTCCTTCGGTAGTTAAAAGTAGTTTCAGTAGAAAGCAGGTGCAGCTGGTGAATAGCATACCCATGGCATGGAACATAGGCAAAATCCACAGGTAGCCGCATCTTCCTTGCTGGAAGTTCAATCCCGACTCGATGATGTTCCCGAGCGCAGCAAGATAGCACCCTCGATGGATATATTCCACCCCCTTTGGCCTTGCCGTCGTTCCACTGGTGTATGCAAGCGCAATTAGCGACTCCTCATCCGCCGCCTGAGCCTCTAACCCATCCCATCCGGGGGCCCCTTGCTGCTCGTCATGCTTCAGCCCTTCGAGGATGGCGGCGTCAAGGTCTCCGCTTAGCTCCCCTTCGTCCGCGTCGGTGTCTGTGTCGACTATCAAGGGTATATGGGGGCTGCTCTTGCGAAACTCATCCAGCAAGTGCACAAACTCCTTGTCGACGATGATGGAGTCAACGTCGGCGTGCGTGAAGATGTATGCAATGTCCTCTGCCTTTAGACGGTAGTTGATAGCTACAATCAGACAGTTGTTCTCTCCGGTTAGCCCGCATCTCTCCCAGCGTCCCCCGACCTCGTCGTCCACTTCACACACCGCGTATTCGGAAGAGCTTACCGACGTTGACTGCGCCGGCTGCAGCGATGCCGAATATCGACTCGAGGAACCCAGGCGTGTTCGGGGCCAGTATCCCCACTCGCCTGTACCCACGCTTCTTGATGTAGTATGCAAGTCCCCTCGCCCTGTCTGAAAACTGCTGGTATGTCTTCCGGACGACCTTGTTGTTCGCCGTAACGTGGTATATGGCTTCGGCCTAGATATATATATGGACCAGACCATGTCTTTAGCCGCGCCAGCCCCTCCACGCTGCCAACAAAGAACAATGCTCTGCATAAAGGGGATTGTCAAAAACGTACATCTGGCTCGATTGCAGCTGCGCGAGGCAGGAAGAAGGTCGGCGAGAGGGTATGTCGGTTCCTGCTGAGTGAAGCAGCGTCTCTCTGCTGCGGCTGGAGCTGCGCAGAGACGCTCTCAAGCCTGGCCTTTGCGCCAGACATGGTGGATGGAGATGGGGGGGGGAGTCAGGAGAGAAGGACAAGGAGGCAAAGCAAGAAATGCAAGACGGGGTAGAGAGGGGAGAATCGGGAGCAGCCAGGGACCCTTTATATATTCCCGTGTCCCTGCCGGCCGCAAGGCGAGTTGCGTCTTCAGCTTCTTGCCGCTGCTCGGCGTCTCTCATGCGATGGAGCCGCCTCTGCCTATTGCCGAGGAACTTCCGACTGGCCGCGGCAAAGGCGGAGCTAGGTCGGCGTTGATAACTAGGAAGAAGAAGAAGAAGACGACGAAGACGACGATGATGATGACGAGACGATGAAAACGTCGGAAAAGGGTCTTTATATTTGTTTAATGTCCCCAGTCGCAGCTGTGTGTGTCTGGAGGCGTTTTCTCTGGGCTGCCATAGGGGCAAAAATTGGAGCGATGCAGTAACTCAGCAGTGAAGGAGAAGAAGAAAAAAAGAAACAGCAGCTAACTATTTGATAAGTAGCCTCTCTTTTTCTCAAATCCCAAATTCGACGCCGCGAAGTGTACATATTAAAATGAAGAAAAAAGTGGTCTTTTTGTTTTTAAAGGGAAGAGGAAGAAAGGGCGGGCACAGAAAAAAGATGGTCTTTTCACTTCCGTCACAAATTATCCCTGAAGTCGTAAAAGGGGTGTATTTTGAGTGAGCTGGAAATGTACAAATCAACTGGCGCGCCGTGTACAACATGTTGCTCGTCAATTGCCCACAGTGCATCCTGGATTGAACCCATCCACATCAGCCCCGACAAGGTATCTAGTAGCCGTACTGAGCCAACTGCTCCTTGGTCTTGTTGTCCACACTGGCGGTTCTCTGGGCCTGGAGAAGTTGTCTCCGGGCGGCCTTCTTGCGCTCGTAGTATGCAGCGCCCTTGACTTTTCTCCTCTCTTCCAATCTGTAGGCGGGAACAAAGCATATTAGTATCAACTGGGGGAAAGACCAAATTTAAGTATTAGACTCCAAAGGGCATTAACGAACCTGGCGACGACGTCCTGGTACTTCCAGCCAACCTCATGGCTTAGTCGGCCGACTGTGCAGTATTTGCGGCCGGGCTTGAGGCGGAGGACACGGAGAGCTTGGGGAACGACGACACGCTTCTTCTTGTCATAGGGCTCTGGGATGCCCTCAAAGACCTTCAGTCTCTCCATGGCAGCAGCGCCGCGGGCGGTCTTGTGTGGGATCATGCCCCGGACGGTCTTGTAAAAGATGCGCGAGGGAGCACGGAAGTGGAAGGGACCTAGGAAACCATTGTTTTAGCTAACCATCCTCTCTCCCCTCATTCCACCACTACATCTGGTTTCTCTTGTCTTCCTCTCCAGCATTGAATGGGTGCGCGTGATCTTACCTCCTCGGGTTGGGTTGAAACGGGTGATCTTTCTGAGGTAGGCATGGTACTTCACTATTAAGACACAAGTCGAATTAGCCCATCACCGTCCTTTCGCATAACCATTCCTTCCTCGTCTTCGGCTCTATGTATTCTTCCCCATGCTCTCGTCTTCTTTTCCTCGTTTCCACTTCTTCTTCTTCCCTATATCTGCTGGGGGGAACGGTGCATGCATACGTTTGGCACGGAAGAATTCGCCGGAGATGTTGAGGGCTTCACATCGGACAACGACGATCTTCTGTCCGTTGAGAAGTTGCTTGGCCACGGTACTGGCGAGGCGACCAAGGAGGTGTCCCTTGCCGTCGATGACGACCTGTAGGCAATCGCAAAATCAGTAAAAACCGCGACCAGAATTGCAGGGTTGGAGATATCATAGGGAATCAAATGTCCAAAACGTCCGTCCTGCCACGAGACGCAACGGGGAGGGCAACGCACCACTGGCTCGAAGGTGGACATCCTGATCTGATCACCGGTTCACGAGGCTAATATCCCAGGGAGAAGAGGAGCTCTGCTCGAGGAATACACCTTGTGTTGGAGTTTGTCGAATGTGATGTCGTTGATGAGCGCTCCAAAACCACCAAGTTCAAGTTTCTTGTCGTTTCGACGCTTAAGCGAAAATCTCTTTGTGGGCGGCGTCGGGGTCCCAGCCCTAAGTGGCCCAATAAGAGCAGGTCACGTGCTGCGGCCGGGGGACCTCATGACAAAACTTCGACGGCGGCGGCGGCGGCGACGACGACTTCACTGCAACGACATTATTGGGAGATGATAAAGAAGAGAATGAAAAGAAGAGCCAGAGGAAGAGAAGAGGTGAAGAGGTGAAGAGGCGAGGAAAGAGACCGAGAGACTGGAAGACCGCAGAGGAAAGTAGATGGCGAGGTGCGGCTCTACTTGACTGCTTCCGTCGACTTCTGACTACGCCTGCCACTCTCCATACAGCAGGACGGACAAGACATTCTCCTCCGATGAGAGTCTCGTATATACAGCTTCACGGCAGCTAGAGAAGCCATAATGGGCATCTCCAGTGGCCACAGGAGAAATTGAGTCACTATAGCGCGGAGGATGCATGCAAGCCTCATCCACACCGTGACTCATAGCCTGGACAGAGTCAGGATTCACAATGTTAAATGCGAGCTGAAGACAGATATAAAGACGGTCTTTGGCCTTTACTACTTCAAATACCACATTGTTTCTACCTTCTACAACCAACTACCCCAGTATACCATGTCTCTTTGATCAGCACCATCAGCTACAATGGTTAAAACAAGATTCGTCTGCGTATCCGATACCCACGGGTACGGGACACGCGAAGCAGCTTTCAGGTTGCCTAAGGGAGACGTCCTTATACATGCTGGAGACATCACCAACAAGGGAACGGTAGAAGAGTTCCGCAAGTCTGCCCAGTGGATCAGAGAAGCAGACTTTGAAGTCAAAATCATCATCGCAGGTTTGTTGATATATTCTCTTGCTCCTTTTTAACAACCGCCAACATGTCACTGCTACTCACATGTCTATATGGCAAATCTTATGGCATGGAGCTGGCTGACATGACGGGTTTGAAGGCAACCATGATGCCCCGTTGGATAAGGAGCTCTACAAGGGCCACACGAAATTCTTCCATGGCAAGGAGGTCGTTAATTCGGATGAGTGTCTTGAACTTATCTCTGCTGTGGGGATAACCTACTTGGATCACACGTCCAAGACAATCCGTCTTAAGCGTAAAAACGGGCCAAGGACGATGTTCAAGGTGTTCGGTTCAGCTCGTCACCCTACAAACATTTTCGGGTGGAACGCGCCTTTTGGATATCCTGCCAAATCCCCGGAAGATGCACGCAGATGGTGGAGTCAAATTCCCTCCGACGCTGATGTTGTTGTTACCCATACCCCAGCCAAAAGCCATCTCGATTTGACTACTCACCACGGCAACATTGGGTGCGAATACCTGCGCCAGGCCCTGTGGAGTATTCGACCCAGGTTGTCTATCTGTGGCCATGTTCATGAGGCCAGAGGGTATGAGAGAGTTATATGGGATGTTGACGACACCACACCCGGAGCTTTTGGTGAAATCAGTACGACTGTTGGCACTTTACCTCCTCGTGAAAGCAAGAAGATGAATCGCGTCGATTTGACTGGAAAGACATACCCCCGTCTGGCAAACGAAGGACCCAAGGATCCAGCAAGGAGTGAAACATGCTTCATCAACGCGGCTATCCTGGCAACTCACTATCCTCATGCAGGAGGGCGGAAGTTCAACGCCCCTATCGTGGTTGATATCGACCTCCCGCTTGATGACGAGCAGGAATCAGAGCAAAATTAACAGACGAAAGATGCTAGAGATGCGCATTCTATGCATCCATATTGAGGGCATACAAAAAATACCCGAACCAAACAGCTTTACCCCCCGCCAGGCTGTCATTTAACAATCTGGCGCTTGATACCGTCGTTACGGACACTCGTTTAATCTTTTCTAAATGTATGAATGCCCCAGCACCCTCCAGCGTGGATCTCAATCAGCACACTGCAGACCCCACAGGCTGACCTCTTTTAGTGACCATACTAACACGATCTAACAATCGTAAACCAACTATCCTTTTGTGTTTTCTGGGAGCCTACGCTTCATCTTCTTGATTCACTGATCATAGTCAACCTCGTCTTGTCAGGCTCACTGCTACCCAACCTCGCCAACACGTGAATGAGTATGGCTCCAATCCACCATACACATGTTAACCAACTATAGGTGCGGTAGCCCAAGGTGATACGAAGTCAAAGTCCATCCTCATTGTTCTATTCAATAATAGCGGCTCAAGTATATCTGAGCCTAACTTAGCAATAAAAATACACCACTCGCTTGCCCTATCTCGCCTTACGTCCTGTGACTCAAAATTTTCTGCCATCAGTCCTCCTTCCTCAACGTATGATTAAGCGTTGATCATAACGTGCCATAAAATGAGGCGTATAGCATATCTTATGCCACGGTGTAAACGAAAGTCTGAATATTAAAGGGAAGTTGTAGTCGAGTACTCGAGCATAAAGTATCATCACCTGGACGACAGTCACGCCAGACATGTATCCAAAGGGTCGTTTTCGAGTAATGATTCGGCATGTAAAATATACTTCCTCGAGACGTGAGGCGATGTTCCTAGGTTTAAATCACGCGAGGCTGCCAATTAGGGCTCGTCGTCTGCCTCGACAATCTATCAGGTAGCTCAGCGGCCCGAGTACCACAATCTGAATACGACGTGACGACAGGGCCCAAAGGAAGATGATTGTCCTCGCTTCTCATGACGACTAATCCGGGTAATGGCTGCGAACCTTCAAGATCAAACGGGGCGATCGTACTCCATAATTCGGCTGCCTGGTATCCGCCTTTTCCCGCCAGCGACAGCGATAGCAATCAGCTTGTCATTCATTGCAGATGAGTGGTCACCGTCGACGCCGCTTCAGCTCACCGTCTCGATAAACATAGCCCTGCACTGGCGCTGGCGGTGGGGTGGGTACGGGGCAGGGATAACTAAGGATGATGAATTAATGTTTCCAGATCCTGCATCCAACTTTCGACGCAGGATGGGAGCCGCAATTTCCTCACTTCACAGTGGCTTTGAACTCCGCTGGAATAATAAGCACTAGAGTACGGAGTACATTAGCCTTCTTTGTACGCCGGACTCGGGTACTGGTAGGGTATGGGATACCCTAGGTGTCAACATCCTTCCGGCATTCCGGGTATGTACGCCGCGTAATATCTCCTAGAAACTAGGTAGAATGTCGCCCCGTCAGTTTAATCTGTCACATCGGTGGTTCCTCCACCAAATTTTTGAAGGAATGTAGTATTCATGGGAGCTTTTATTTGGCTGTGCTATGTAAGACAAGTCCCTGTTCCATTCCTTCACATTTAATCAAGATCCATTTTAGGAACCTTTGAGATAACGGGAGAGATATCGCATTACTATCACATCACAACTTGAACCCAACACCTTCCATACCATTTTCCGTCCCTTACTAAATTATTTTGATATATGGATCTCATGGTAGAGTGAAGAAAGCCGATGTTGCTGTTGAGTGGAAATAAACTATGCGGGTAGTATCAAACTCTATTTTTAGCATTGTCCCACTCTAACTCCCTTTTCTAGAATCATTATGGCTTCACCGTGTTGTTATTGTTACAGTTAGCAATCAAAGTAGATCTTGCGTTGGGTATTAAGTAGCCATTAGGAGGGAGTCGGAGCAGAAGCAGGAGCGGGAGGGTATTGTGCACCCATGGCCTGCCAAACTGGACGAACGTCAATATTATCACCCTTTGCCTTTCCATGCACCATCAGTTCATGGCCACTATCCTCCCTATAGTACATGGCCCAGTCATGCTGTTAAAAAGGCGGTCAGCAAGATACAGGGACCACTATCACAGGGAGATATAAGTCTTACCTTCCCTAGTGTCAGCTTGATGACGCCATGTGCTTCTGTGACACGGTACGTCTGGAGTGGAGTATACCCGGTAATTAGGGACACAATATTTGAGGCAACAATATCCGCCTGTGCCCGTGCAGTCCTCTCCATTCTCGGACCGGTGGTTTTAGCCACATCGCCGAGGGCAAAGATGTTAGGGTTCGACATGTTGGGACCATTGTTGATCTGAAGAGTTGGGTGTACGAGGATTTGTCCACTTTGCTTGCAAATGGCGGAAGGGAATAAGTTAGCAATAATGCTAGAATTAGGTCGCTGGCCGGTACAACGGATCTGTTTTAGGAATGAGCTTCTATAACTATGGAGTACGAAAAAAAAGGGGGGGGGCGGGAAAAAGGAAAAGGGGGCTGAGCTTACCACGAGGTCGAACGTCTCCTTATGGCCGTCCCTGAAACTTAAAGCCTCTTGTATCTTGTCTTTGGCCATTGACGCAATATCCCCAGTCACTGTTTGAGGCCGTTCACCAAGGATTAAATTAACATCCAGCTGCTTCAGCGTCTTCATCACATGTTCATGTAGCCGGAGGCCAAAGTTAGGGAGCAACTGTGTGCGAGAATGAATCAAAGTTACATCCTTTTGAGGGAAGTAGCTCTTGATATCAGAGGCAACTTGTACTCCGACCGGGCCTCCTCCAACTACAGCAATGCGGTCCGCCCGTTCAACTCGTTCCTGAGAGCCATGCATTTCCTCACAAGCGCCTGCTTTCTCCGTTGAAGCGAGCTTAGCCGGTGACGGCTGCCACGACCCAGTAGCGATTGCAAGGTATTCATAGTCAACTTTTTCACCAGAGGCAAGAATAACTTGATTGTCTGTTATACTCGTCGCCGAGTCCTGTATATGTTTGAATATACCCGGTGGAGCGGACCTGGCGACTCCATCATAGGGGATGAAGGCAGACTGTTCCAGGCCAGACACTACACCACACCGAGGGAACACAAACAAGTGATTGAAATGGGAATTCCTCTCGATCAAAACTGCCCGGTAGCCAGTTGGTAGCGATTCGGTTAACCGTTGCGCAAGGTGGACGCCGGCGTATGAGCCCCCGAGTACCACGACGTCCTTAGGCGATGGAGTTTCCTGGTACGTCCATCGATGGCCGACTGCAGATATCCTTTGCTGGATGTGGGTGTATATCAGGCCGAAGACAAGGCGAGAGCCCTTGACGTAAAATTCAAGCGCCTCCATTTTCCATTTCTTGTAGGATGGGTGTTGGGAATAGAAAACCTGAGAAGAGACAAGACATTGTAGATATATGAATGGCTTATATTCATATTTGCGAAAAACCAGACGCCTGTCGGGGCATCTATATCTTTCGGAGCGTCATGTTCACGATGCTCCGAGATGCCTCGCACGAGGCTAGCAAGTTAAAGCCCGGCCGAGCATGACCGGCCGAGCTTCGGCGCTTAAATCCTTCGATGCCATCTCCAAAGATTAGGTATTTTCCCATCTTCCAAGGGCATCGGGGGTTATCATTTCGATCGCTATTGGTATCTTTGGCGATATTTGTTTGTCTATCCAGTTCTTCTCGGAAGAATTGGTAGGAAAAGGGGGCGGTTATCTTGTTAGCCGGTCAACGGCGAGCTGTTTGCCTTAAGCAAGTCATTGTCAATGTCGCCCTTTGTGTCCCTTTGTCATAGAGCGCATAAATAATTCATTCTCCTCGTCTCGTTCCTTTATGGCGATAGGATTTTCTCCTGAATCTCTCAGCTTTGACTGCGTTGGTTAGCAAAACTCCACAATTCTACGAGTTGACATCTCAACCCCCTAAACCTGAGCCCACTGCTCTGAAACGCCAACATTAATAACTAACTACTTCATGCTTTATAGAGAGCGGGTAGAGTCATCACCATCTGTCGAGCCAAGTAGTAATAGCAACAATTGTCTCTACAGATGCTCCACAGACGGGTGTCTGGGTAATTCCGGGTGGACTGATGTAATGCCATGGGACTCGAATCGGAATAACAATTCCGGCCAGGTGCTGCACGGTGATGGATAACCGGTTAGTTAACTCACGAGTTAGTTAGTTCCCCGGATAAAAGCCATTTCTCGTTGACCCAGTGCCCCTCCTCTTATAGCCAAATAACCCTTGATGTATATATGTTGGGAAGCTCGAAAACGATCAGATGCATCGCTCTGTGACTTGACGAGATAAAGCCCGACCACTCTATAGCTCCAGCATTCTTTCAATTCTTTTTGCCGTGGGGGTGAGAGCATCTGTTCTTCCAAAACCTACTATAGCTCAGGTTGTCCAGGAGTTGCTGGAGTAACAACTTTCATGCGTATGCAAGCAAGGGAGGGGCGCAAGGAGCTCGACTTTCCCCATGCTCCAACTCGCCGTAATCAACGTATGAACTCAAGCGCACAGCACTCTGTGCTGAGTGGCCAGGGTGAGTGGTCAGGGCCATCCCACCTCCCTCCGCGTTGCACAGCGATGGGCGTGGAGCAAGCCAACCCTGTCCCGGACTGCCTTAGATCGAAGGTTGCAGCCAATCAGTCCCTGCATCATGCACGAACGAGCGTAATAATGAGACGAGCAGCATTAAAATCCATGCCCCCAGCGAACGATGCGCATGTCTGCAGCTCCAGGCGAGAACATCCAGCCAACCGCAGGACGGGGAGGCCATCCATTTCGCTGTCGTGGACACAACCACATCCAGCACTCGGACTGGACCTCACTACTCCACTGGGATCGCAGCGGCACGAAACAGCGTATCGGGAGGAAGACGATGATGGAGATAAAACAAATAGAGACTGAACTGCTCAAGCTACGCCTTGGCTCACTCGGATGGGGCCTTCTATGGCTGGCTGGCTGGCTGGGCCGGAGTGGAGGTCGAGTTGAGCAAGCTGCGTTGCCATGCCATCACCGCCATTCAGAGGGCCAAAGGGACGACGATAACTCGGTGGCTTTTTCCGAATAATGTTCGTTAAGAGGTCGACTACCTATCACATCCGCTCTAGGCTGTTGCTTCACTGTATGTAACACGGTCTGCTGGGTGGATGCAGGTGACTGCTGCTCATCCCTTGGACGACGGGGTTGGCGATGGTGGAAATATGATATCCAACAGCCCTCCCCAGATCAGCCATCAACCACCAGCAATCTACGGGAGCAGTTACCCGTCTGAGGGGCAACTTCGCTAGTTATCGATAACTAACTACTAGCAGTCAAGTTGTCCCGCCCTTAAAAACTGCTCGTTTTTTTACCTGCTTCGTTTCTTTTCTTTTCGACCTTCGTTGCTTTTTTGCCTTTAGGTTTCGCCGGCTCTGCTGTGAGGGAGGGGTATCAACCACCCCCTTGCGCGAGCGTGCATGCATTCTGACCCTTCGCTCACTGCTGGAGGGGGAGAGAAGACGTCTGGAATGCAAGGGGCAGCAGTGCCTTGCTGCAGAGCTGGCATAGGCCTTGTTTAGAGGTGGTGGGAAGGGGGAGGGGGGGGGGGGGAAGAGGTGTGATACTTACTATATATTAACTGTCTAGGCAATTAGATGGAGGAGTTACACGCCGCCCCCCTACGGCGAGGAGGGGACGGGTCGTCCGGGAACACCGTGGAAGCAAAGGAAGGCAAAAGGCGAGCAAAGAAGAAGAAGAAGAAGAAACAGAAGCAGAAGAAGGTTTGTTCTTTGCGTTCTTCATGCTTTGCATATAACTTTCCTTTGGCCGCAACCCCCTGCTCGTTTAACTCGCTGCTCTCCTGGCTGCCGGACGGGCTATCCGTAACACTGTTCCATACTCAAAGCAGTCAAGAGGAGGTGCTTAGGTGAGCACTTGAGCAGCGGCATGAGGACTGTGATCGTGATCTTGCGGAAGACCAAGGGACAGAAGAAAAAGAGGAGAACAGGACGAGGCCCGTTCCATTCCCTGAGGCGAACAGGGAACGGGAAACGTGGATCTGGCTGCTGAGTTACGTCAGGGCGAGTACGATCGTCTTCTTCAGCCACAGGCATGGAGTAATCCCGCTGGCGGCAACTAACGACCTGAGCCAGCTCTTCTCCAGCTGGCTGCTATCCCGCACACGGAGGAAGACTCCGTCAGAGAGGACAGACAACAAGCCATATAAACTCCGGTCAAAGCTGAGTCGTTACTCCGTCACCCAAGGGGGGTCCGGGGGACGGCCCTCAGCCCCGTACTACCGGCGTATGTAAGTAAGGGCAAGCATAGCGAGGCCCATGATGGAGGAGGATCTAAGCAAGTGCTCCGTACTCTGTACGATGGGACGGATTTATGGTCCCTGGATCCTCAGTAGTATAGCTAGTCAGAGGATTCTCCCTTTCGGTTCGTGTAACAGCCTCTCGTCCGCCGCGGCGACAAAGGAGCAAACTAAACAAAGTGAGAGCAAGCGTGAGGAATACTGGTCGTATATCGTAAATGATTCCGCTCGTCTTTCTCCCCCCATCGAAGTAACTGGTTAGTTAAACAGGGAAAAAAGCAACGGGATAGAAGTTTCTCGGGTCTAGTCCGATCTTTTCCATGGCTCTTTTTGACTGCTTTTGCTTTCGATATATAGTTTTTTTTTTTTTTTCCTTCTCTTTTTTAACTATATCCAAGGCCCGTCACTGCTACAGTCAGCTGGATGGATGGCGAAAAAGCGACGTTGCTCTCGTTTCTTGGGTTTTGGCCGTCTCCATCGATCAGTTGGCCACCCACCGGCCATCTGATATAGCTAGCCAGCCAGTGCTAATGAACAACTATAGGGGGGGCTGCCAGTTAAGTTGGCGCAGCACGAATCAGTGTGCGAGCCAACGTCCCTTGACACTTGACGGTTCTGGCGGACCGGGTTCCCGAGGCAAAGACGAGCCAAAGCATAACTGAATCTGCCTTTGCTGAGACAGGAACGGTTCCGTAAGTACAGAGATTGTGATGATGTCGATGGAGGTCGCCGCCCGCATTGCAGTTGTTGTTCTTCGTCAAACCCCCTTTTTAATCATGCGTAGTTATACATCATGAAAAACGCCCCCCTGTTTCGAATGCAGTCGAGTAAGCGCCCGACGATTGGACAGCAAGGCCAGAGAGACAGCCATCGATGACGAAATAAGAGCAATGGCTCTCCGTCCGTCTCTCTCCCTTATTTTCTTTATCCTGATGCCTGACGCCGCCAACGAGTGGCCAGCAGCGCCTGAAAGCCCGTAGCCCCCTTGTACCCCAATCCTCAACACAGGTAACTCTCTGTAACTAAGTAGAGAGTACCTTTCTTGCAGGGCTCAAGGCGTTTGATGTCAGCTGGGAAGTAGATACGCATCGTCCCTTGTGCTTGACAGTAAGGTGAAAGAAAGCAACACTGATCGGCGCACTTTTATATCGGCAAAAGCGTGCTCACTGCTCTCTTCCGTCCCCCCCCCCTCCCCCTCCAGTAGAAGAAGAGGAAGGAGAAGAAGAAGAAGGGAAAAAGCAAGTAGAACAGAGACGAAGGGCAGAGAGATCGGGCCCCAGCAAGAAGGGCTGCTGAGGGAGGGTGGAAGGCCAGTCGAATCAGCCCTCGAAGCGCCGGCCTGCCCTCCCTGCTGCCCTCCATCACAGCGCCGTCACAGCGAGCTGGTCTGTAGCGTCGGCGCTTGTCGCTGCCAGGGCGGTAAATAAGGGCATCCGCCTGCGCTCTTCATGAGACAGAAGCCGTCGCAGTCGCTGCCTGTCTGTCCGTCGAGTAGTCGATGCTGTCTGCCGCAGAACTGGCGGCTTGGGGCGCGTTGCTTGGTTGACCCGTCGCCCTGCTTTTCCCATCTGCTGCTGCATATCGAGCAAGCTAGCCAGAGCGTATATATTTAGACTGCTTGGACTGCTCGGACTGCTTCTGCTGCTTCTGCTGCTGCTCTCCACACCGCTGTTTTTCGCTCTGGTCCACTGGTCGGGCCTGCATCGCCGCCGTCTGAAGCCCTGGGAGGAGTCGCTGCTGTTTCATCCGCATCCGCATCAGCATCAACTTCTTCTGCCATCACGGCCATTCACTACTTACTGCTTACTCCTTACTTGCGACTCACTGCTCTACCACGCACAACTGTTGCTGCCATCACCGAGACAGCCAGGATCCTCGAGCAAAAGCAAAGAAACAGGGACGGCGCCGGGGCCTGTGGCTCACCCTCGCCCATCCACCCCCCCCCTAGGCTGCTGTGTTGGCCACCCGCCTTAGCCTTACATAAAGATACTCAGCGGCCCCGAAGGCTCGCCCTGGCTGCTGCTGCGACGGCGTGGCGCTGCGCTGATATTATTCTTCTTATTACTTATTCTTACTTATCATTATTCTCGCTGCTGCTGGCGGTGCCTTGGTTGAGTTACTAATAAGGCCGTTGTCTCCTCCGTCGCTCGCTCTCGCATCTTCTCGCTCTGCGGACATTAACACGCTGCAGACCAGCAAGCCAGCGTCACCTCCCACTGCCACAGCATCCCCGGCTGTCGAGGTGGCAAGCATCCGGAGTCTTCGTCGTCGTCGTCGTCGTCCTTCGTCTTCATCAGCGGTGGCTTTTGGCTGCTGCTATCTCCGTTCCCTGTCGCTCCCTCGCCCGCACCGCACAACCGAACCCGGCCTCGACACTCCTTTTATATCTCCAGGACGGACATCCATCATTCCCCCGATAGATGACACGCCTGCCATTCACTGCTGTCCGCCTTCGCCTGTCGTGTATCTCTCGCTCGCTCGCTCGCTGCAGGTATCGTTCCGTCTCAGGCACACGCACTTAGGCGGTGGACGGCCATAGAGTTATACTTCCCGTCCCGACGACCCTCAAACCAGACTTCTGGGAGACCAACATCCAAACACACAACACAAACTTATAGCATAGCAACCCAAGATGATCGATCTGCCTGCTAATGACCCGTACGAAGTCCTTGGGATACCATCGACTGCTCAGGCTGCCCAGATCCGGACGGCGTACAAGAAGCTCGCCCTCAAGTTCCATCCGGACAAGATCCAGGATGAGGCCCTTCGCGAAAAGGGCACCGCCGAGTTCCAGAAGATACAGGAGGCGTACGAGCTCATATCCGACGAGAACAAGCGTGCGAAGTATGACCAGGCGAAACGGGCTGCCGCTGCTGCCAGGGAGAGAATGGCGGCGGCTAGAGGTCCGCCCGGATCGACAAAGTCAAGAGAAAACTGCGTCTTTGAAGACATCACGCCCAGAGGATACTCGGCAGCATCAAAATACGAATCACGGCCGCCGCCGCCGCCTCCTCCTCCTACCTCGTCAAAGTCTCGTCGAGCTCCTCGAGATCCCTCTCCAGTGTCAGTAGACCGGAATCCCAGGCCGTCTCGCTACTCAGACGACGACTCTCCTTACGAAGAATACCGCTCGAGCTCGAGAAAACACTCCGGGTACGACAGAAGACACCACCATTCTAGAACCAGAGACAGAGACCCCTACGAGAGAAAGACCAGCGGTAGCAGTAGTAGCAAAGAGTACGCCAGACGTGAAGCCGCTCGATACGCAAAGGAGAGGGCCAAGGAGGCCCGCGAGTCGACTAGAAGCAGTCGGGCCAGCAACGCCAAATACCGTGACAAGGAGCGTCGTCGAGATACGTCGGAAAAGCACAGCCGAACGGCCTACGCTGCCACTGTCGAAGACTATACAGATGAGTCCTCCTCCGAGTCTGGCTCTGAATCCGAGTACAGCGAACATGAGTACACCCGCCCATTCAGAGAACACGTACGGCCAACCGAGAAAGCTAGATACCAGAGTGCAAGCTACCCGTCCAGCTGGGAAAGCCCCAAGATGGCTGCTGACATCGAGGGCGCTTGCGAATACATGAGATCAAAAGCCGGGATGCAAAAGGCCGCAGAAGGCAAGCCAAATGTCGTATACGTCACTCCGCTGGGATCCCGCCGAGAAAAGGACACTGCTCGTCGCTCCTCTGCCAGACCTCGCATGCCAGAGCGAGAACGAGAACGTGAACGTGAACGGGACAGAGAACGAGAGCGGGAGAGAGACCGGGATAGAGAACGAGAACGAGAACGAGACAGAGAGCGAGAAAGAGAACGCGACAGAGATAGAGATCATATCTTCGACGCCCCTCCTCGCTTCCACACCTCATACAGCATCCCAACCCGCGGCTCACACTCAAAGTCTTCCTCTACGTCCTCACGCGCACCTCCCCCCCTCCGTCGAGCTGGTACAGTGCCAGCTGCCTTTGATACCAGCCACGTTGAACCAATTGTGCCCAGATCAGTCAAGAAGAAAGGCACCCTCTTCGACTCCGGCTACAGCAGTCCAGCCAGTAGCCCTCCCATTGTCCCCTCTGGCGATTTCGTGCGCCCCAACACCCGCCAGCCCAAGATCATCACGCCAACAACCGGCGGCAGCGGCAGCACTAGCAGTAGTAGCTCCAGCCACCGCCGCACCCAAAGCACGTCTCCCTTGCATCGAGACCCTGTCACAATCCAACCAACTTCTGCGCCTCCCAGATCAAGTCGGTCCTCCGATATGTTCCAAGAACTGAAACCAAGCTACTACCATGTCTTTCCCGGCCAGGTGAGATACTCACCGCGCATTGGGACAGAAGACATTTCCTTTGGCGGGCCTCCAAAGAAACCAGCCTTCTTCAGGAAAGCCTCTGCTGTCTCCTGATCATCAACTCAACCAGCCTATATTCATACATATTTGTTAATACTTCGTCACTTTATTTTCCCCCACTCTGGAGTTTCACGGTTCTCTGCTTCCCGGTGTCTTGTTTGCCTGCAGCTTGCTTGTTCGACATGACCCTTTTCTTTCTTGCCAACATATACGTTGCCCCCCTGTTGCTGGAGACAACAACAGACAATTGGTTGCGACTAACATTGAAATATGCCATGTCATGTCTTCTCCCGAAGCCATAACATTCTACCCCATACACAATATTTTAACTAGTTACCCTACCCATACCCTTCATGACCTTATGACTTTTTATTATTTTTATTTATTTATTTATTTTTTTTTTTTTTTTGCTGCAATTCGCTTCTGTTTTACTTGCCCCTATCTTTCTTCCCTCCCCTCATGATTTTATACGAATTTATTTTCATCACCCACCATATACTATACATATACCGTACACTACCATTGTTGTGCTTATTTATTCTCCGTTTTGTCTCGTTTGGGTTCCAGGAATTCATCACATCATCATTCATCATGTTCATCGGATATGAACGGTCGGTGCGGAGGGGGCGAATATCTATGTCTCTTGTTGTGTTATTTATTTAGTCTTATCAAGGGGAGCTCATACTGGGATGGAACGGAGGGATGCAATACAGCTCATTATCATATAATCTTGTTCCAGTGCTTTAGCATCAAGAATTTGTTCAAGTGTCTCTGCCAGCGTCTTTACAATGTCTAGCCGTACGTTAACAGACTGACGACTAAATAATAAATAGTAATGTTCAATATCTTTCCTCGACGATTTCCTTGAGCTTTCCACTCTTTTCATGATATATCAATTCGCCAATATTAACCCACTCCAGACGCAATGGAGCAATTGCTCCCCCTTCCTGGTCTCTCTTCCATTTTGGCGACGCTTCCCCAAGGGCTTTATCAATATTGTCACGGAGTTGATCCGCATTTTCTGGCTTTGTGATTGCAAGTCGAAAAGCCAGCACATACCGAGCATTCTCGCAGCGAACCAATGCATTGAAACCGCCCCGTGACGCTCTCCTTGATTTCCCTGCAACGGTCGTTTTCATCAATGGCAAATCAAGAAACGTTGTTGCGATTTTAACAGCAATAGAGGCTCTTCCACAGTACTTCAGCGTCTGAGCATCGTAGTCAACCCATTCCGCAACACCCCCAACAGGATAGCGGATGATTGGCTGAAGACGTCTGATTTGTTGCATGGCAACCACATTGCTCCGAACCCCGGCCTCCTTGATAGCAGTTCCATCGTCTGCCAGGATTTCAAGAATGACTGCGGGATACCCAACCTTGTATACTGGGCGTAGAGCATCCTCTTCGGCCGACGGTGAGTAAACGAGGACCCCAACCTGGCCCGCATCAACGCTTGCATATGATGGCGCACACGCATGCGCATTGGGATAGGCGATTTTCCAGCGAGCGCGTATACCTTCAAAGAGGGTTTCGCCAGTAAACACAAGCTGTCGAATATTTTCCAAGACCAAGCCCCTTCCAGCGAGGTAATCTGCCAGGCGTGTCAGAGTGAACAAGGGCCCAACTATGACCGTTGCTTGGAAGCGTTGAATCTCTGCTACCATGACTTCGTGTGGCTGGGCATCCGTGATTGGCAGGTGAACGATAGGAATTGGTGTTTCCTCCAGCGTAGCAATCGCGTTCCAATATCCACCATACATGCCACCGAATGTCATAAGATTTGCAATTCTATCCCCGGGCAAGAGGCGGGCGCTATGAATTCAGGAATTGCCTAATACCCCTTGTCATCGCTCGGAGTTCCTGTCGAGTCATATAGGCTGTTTTTGGCTCATTTGTCGAACCACCACTTCTCAGGGGAACTCCATCAACAAAGGGCCCTGTCAAGTCATTCTGCGGATTCTCCTGTGCGCAGCTCCAGTGCTTTTCAGTGTCGGTCACTGGGAGTTGTTCAATATCGGGAGTGGCTTCTGGGAGATGCTGGTAAAGTGAGCGATAATAGGGCGAGAATTGGCGAGCAAATTGGACGATTTCCTTCGTTGCTGGGACATTGAAGCTCATCTTGGGTAACTAGTTATTCTGATAACTAGTTAACAGTACAAAAGCCCGCGAGTTTGTCAGAATACAATGTTCAAAACCAGGACCAAAAACTGCAGAGCCAGGTAGATATTATTTTTTGACTCACTAACTAGTTAACCTGTCATTCAACCAGGCCGACAAGACTCATTTACCATGCTTGTATCTTCGCCACGTACCAACGAGCTGGAACTGGGCCCGATTTCACAGACTGTGAGAGCCGTAGGTAACAGGTATGGCTCGCATTCAGCCGCAATCAATAACTACAGCCTTGAGGCTAACGGACCGTCTAACAGAGATCCACAGTTTGAATCAAACGGAGGTCCAGCTGGACTACTGCGACAGGGCTCAGGCCAAAGGTACATTAGCCCAGGCACCTTGTTCCGGTAAGAATTTTCACCCGGTGGTCTTGTTACTTAGTTCACAGTATCCGGATGTTTCGTTGTAAAGGAAAGCAATATGTTCGGAGGGCTAACTATGCATTGTACATGTATTGACATAATGCTTTAGAATACACCCAATACCCGATGGGGTAACAGTGTATGTATGAAATATCTCCGCCTCCGATAGTTGAGCAATGCCTGTGCTGACATACCAAAATCGAGGATTTTATTAGCGAATATTTGTTGTAAGGTTAAGCTCGGCGGTTGGCGGGAGGCTTTTGCCGCCAAGGAAAGCTTCTTACTAACTAACTAGTTACGCAAATGGTTAGCTTTGTCACGTGGATGTATTTAGTCATTCTGCTTTGTAACATCTTCCTCTGCCTCGCATATCCAATAGCTCAATATCAATCTCCTGTTTTTGACACCAGTTGACTGATTACTTCGCAAAACCAGTTGCTGGGATCTTGGACCGTGAGGCAACAGAGCAAAGAAGACCTTTTTTACAATGGGTGAGTGGATCACCAACCCAACATCATGCGAGCACTAACTGTTGGCTTTCGGCCAGCGTCATCGGATACAGCGATATCCGGGGTCACCAACCCCCTGCCTCACCCCGCCCAGGCGCCTCCCCGCGAAACATCTCTCTGCTTTATGCTGATAAATAACCGTAGTACGAACGCTGGGCCTTCGGGCCTACAGCATTTCCATTGATTCTACGCTTGTTTATTGCCTCTCCCTGTGTTTATTCGGCTGCAGCAGCACGCTTCCGCCGTTTATCTCCAGCGACGTCCGTTAGACTCGGAGGCTAACGGAGGCTAACGGAAGTATGGGGGCACTAACGGTGCGCTAACGGTGGTCATCTCGATCCAACAACCAATAGGGAAAGCTTAATCTAAATATATAGGGTAATAATAAGACCCTCGCTGCTTCTACATATCCAGTCCTGCATCGAGGTGGTCCCTTCTCCCTTATGTTTCCATGAAGATCTGGCACGATTCTAAAGAAGAGAAGGCTACGCAATGCTGCATGTAGATTCAGTGTCGCAATCCAAATCTCTCAGTTTATTCTGTACTCGCCATCCTTCATAGCAACCTCCCTCCCCCAGGTCCACCGTACGTGATTATCGATAACAAGATAACCCATGGCGTCTGCCTCTGCGAACCCTATGGATGAGAAGTTGGAAATACCTAACGAAGGGAATGCAGCAACTGTAAACCCTTCTCTTTCAACTCATCCTAAATATCATTATATATAATTTGTAGTTATTTACTTACAAAGTACTAATTGGTCATAGGCTGAGTTCGGTAACCTCGATGATCACGAGAACCCCAAAAAATGGCCAATGCTTCGAAAATGGAAAGCAATGCTCGGCATATCGTCTTTTGTTCTTATGAGCCCCCTTTCCTCAACGATTGTTGGGCCTAGTTTACCGAGTATTGCTAGGGACTTGTCAATTACCAGCCCTGCAGAGCAAGCATTGGTGCTTTCTATATTTGTGCTTCCTTATGCCTTTGGGCCCTTGCTTGCAAGCCCTTTATCAGAAATCTACGGACGGGTGCCAGTAATACAATCGTGGAATTTCCTATATCTTGTCTTCAACACTGCTTGTGGTGCTGCTCGATCAAAGTCAGCCATGTTTGCTTTTAGATTCCTTGCAGGGTTTTTTGGAAGCGCTACACTGGGCGTATGTTCCTTTTTGTTCTGACTTGATATCTTTTTGCGCGATATTGGCTAATTATCACTTATCAATAGATTGGTGGCGGAACTTTGGGTGACCTGTTTACCGCTGAGGAACGCGGTAAAGCAGTTGCGATATACAGTGTTATCCCCCTGCTTTCCCCAATATTTGGGCCAATTCTCGGCGGACTAATTTCTCAGCACATATCATGGCGTTGGGCTTTCTATTAGATGCAGTTATTCAGATTCTGGGTCTCTATCTCCTCGAGGAGACTTATGCCCCTGTGCTTCTACGCAAGAAGCAGAGACGTTCAATACAGCTAGCCGCTCCGAATCAACAACTACGCTCTTCAACCAAAGATACATTGAAGGAATTGCCTATTCGGCTAAAGGCTAATCTTGGACGCGCAGTCATCCTTCTCACAACCCAACCAATTGTTCAGGTATTTGCCGTATATAATGCATTTTTGTATGGCATTATCTATATACTGTATACTACGTTCCCAGATCTATACACCAACATATATCATCAGACAGAAGGGATGGTTGGTTTGCATTATATTGCTATGGGAATTGGCATGGTTATTGCAGCTGAGGGCTTTACTCTTGTCAATGATCGGATATTCGCATTCCTTAAGGCGAAGAATAACGGAGTACCTCTGCCAGAGTTTCGCGTGCCATTTATGGCACCGGCGACCTTACTAATAGCTGGAGGTTTATTTTGGTATGGCTGGAGCGCCCAGCACAAGCTGCACTGGGTAATGCCTGATATTGGTAGTGGCCTTTTCTGCGCTGGAGCTGTTATATGCGGTGTCTCTGCAAATGCATACATGATTGACACGTATGGAAAGTTCTCCGCAAGCGCGCTGGCCGCAGTTGGGGCACTGAGAAGCCTGACGGCATTTGGGTTTCCACTCTTTGCTCCATATGTGTACGTTTTCCCTCTACATGCTGCGATATACATGCTGATAAATGCATAGGTTTGAAACGATAGGCTACGGATGGACCGGGAGCCTCCTTGGATTTTGTGCATTGGGCATTGGGCTCCCTGGTGTAGTCCTTATCTGGGTGTATGGCAAGCTATTACGTCGACGGAGCACACTTGCGGCTCCTGATACAAGATAACGGATGGAATTTGAACTAACTGTATATATATATCAAGCCACTGAGCTAAAAAGGAGATGGCCCTAATCCGGCCGCAGAGAGCCACGTTAAGATCTTTGGCGGTATATTAGATGGATAACTATGTCAGTCGCAGAGCGTTTTGGCTCGTTGACATTTTACGTAGAGTTCAGTTGACCATGCAAAAATTGAATCACATAACTAGTTAACTAGTCAAGCCTACCACCACAGGCATCGCTCTGTGGACTGCAGGGGCTGAAGACCAGGTTGTAACCAGATTTTCCCCTGAGAGGAAGATAACTAGTAGCTAATAATAGATCAGTCAGCTAGTCAACTAGTTGCAGCGAGGCTCGTATTAACTCCTAACTACGATGCCCATCCCCATACTTGGTTAAAACTCTCGACACTCACGAACCAGCGCCTCCGTATTATTATGAAGACTAAGATCAACATACGGAAACCTTCTTAACTAACGAAACCGCCTCTAAACTTAACTTTAGTTATAGCAAGAGGCAGGGCAACTTCATACCCCATATTTGGCGATGGAAAATCATGACTCCAGAAAGCGTAGTGCCTGTGATCGCTGCCGCGGCCAAAAGCTACGGTGCGTGAGGATCATGAGCGTAGTGGTGGAAGGCTCCATACCGAATAGCAGTGCAGCCAAACACACTCCCTGTGAAAGATGCAACAAAGCAAATGTGCCTTGCTACACCACTATACATTCGCGAAGCCAAGGGACTCTTGAACTATCTTACGAGCCAGTATGCTCACCCAGGATGTGGTTGGATTTCGATATTGCGGACTTGCTCGCTACGGAGACAACTTTTCAATACGTCGCGCATGACGATGCCCCAGAGCAGTCTCCTCATCTCGGTAGTAGCAGCGGCGTAACACAGGTGCCGAATGCGCCTATTAGCCAGCAGGATATCAACTTCGTGCTCAACAGAACTGCCCAAGCACCGCCAGCCTATTCGACGCCCACAGCCCAGGTCTACGGTTCCAGTGACGGATGCAACAACACCTTCGCCCAGAGACGGGACCGCACGCTTAACCCATCTGATGAACTCCATGGTAGCAGCGCGCAAGGGGCTTATCCTTTCGCTGAATTAGACTTGGTAGGGAGCTGTACGATGCAGCTTTCAGAGCTTAATGCGCGCCTCATAAGAGACTTGACTATGAACAAGCTTCAGTCCGGGCCTCCGCTCGAATTACCAGAAAGCCCACCCCCGTCTGCCCTTTCGAAGTTCATTGGTAGCATCTTAGGCAACTGTCAAGAATTTCTAGACATATTACAACGTCTCAAATCAGCTCATATGGATCATACGAAATTATCTCATACCTCCATGACTGAGCTGCTGGAACAACAGAGCTCCCAGAATGCCTCTCGATTCTATAGCGAGTCAGATAGCGACATATCCATACGTCAGCCATCTACTCCAAATACCCACAGGCACACTAGAGGGTTCTCAGGACAAAGATTAAATGGCCCGTCTCTATTTAGTTTTTCAGCTCATCTCTTGGTCCTTTCCTGCTACACGTGCATCCTTGAAGGCTTCGATTCGATATTTACAGTGATTCTTGGAATGCTTACGGAGGGTTCATACAGCCTTGACCTGAACTTAACGGGCATTCTCCCCGAATTCTCACTAGGAGGATTCCGCCTGCATGGCCATAATGACCTGCAAATCAAGTGTCTTCTTCAAGTTAGCTCCATGGTTCTGGTGAAGATTGAGAATATCATCGGTATTGGTGCAACAGAAGTGGGCACACATAACTCAAGGAACGGGCTCTTAAACAACAGGGATTTGGGAGGCCTCCTTGACGCTTTATATTGCCAGAAACAATTTGATCACACTGGGGGTGGTGGATCGCGAGTAGCCCGTGTAAAAGTGACGATGAAAAGGATAGAGAAGATATTAGATTCAGCCTAGTAGACTTATTTTATAGTTTTTAAACAATATGGTTGGTCTTGATATTGGGGGATGGAAGTTGATTGGCTAGCTAAGTTAGTTTATATGAATTTAATTAATTGACCAATAAAAAGTGAATTATATCCTTTTATCCTTCGCAGGCTCGTTAGCGGGTCAGAGCTGCAGGGCTAAGATGGCCTTGGGCTTTACGTCGACGCACTACAGAGACTGAGGTCTTGCGCAAGGATATAAATATATGAAGCACGGAGTACAAATCCATCGAATTTTTAGGAACTGCTTGATCATCCTGAAAATGCCCTTTGGTCCCTATTATAGTTACACAGTAGGCTTCATGTGACGGGTTTGGGGATGAGCTCGTCACGTCCGTTTCCCGCTCCAACACAGTCTCCCGCAATGCCTGACCTTTGTCCACCAACACTGCCTTCATCCATCATCGTGATGGGAGGGTTCCTCAGACATCTTCGTGTTGCATTTGGTCTCGTATCTACTTCCACCGACGATCTTGCTGACATTTTCTGGTTAGTTACCGGGGCCACAGCAAGAGGCTGTGACTTCTCCACAGGTGTCTGAGTCGCGGAGGAAGATCGTCGTGACAAAGCTGAGATTATAGCCAGCTATGCAGCAAATGTAATCCTTCCAAGTGGGTTACTACCCAATGGGTATCATGATGTTTGTCGACCACTGCTACTCTTCTCCATAACGATCTCACTTGGTTTGAATATTCTGCGACTTCATCCTCAGGCTGATACACGGGGTACCGGAATTCAAAGCAACAGTACTTATGGAGGCTGGCATCCTTCGAGAACTGCGCCCCGTGCGGTTGCATCATTTGGCAGCTATTGTTTACCTACGTACCATGGAATTCGAACCTCCCACTCTCTAACCGATGGTTTCCTGGCTGGATTAATGGCGTGTAACGACTCTGACTTCTGTCCCAAAATCGACCTGCGTCGAGACTCAATGACATATTTCTACCTGACCGGATTCTGTCGACGTACAAGCTACTGTAACATCATTTGACCGTATTTTGAAGATACCCGGAGCTCATCAACAAGTCAAATCGGCTCTCTGTGCTCGAGAAGTAGCGGGGATGTCATTTACTTGGCACGGCTGAGATCCATTGAGGCATTGATGTCGGATCTTCCATCATGAAGGATTTCAGCCCAGTCAAGTGGTTAGTATGGGGATAAGGCCATGTTAACCGGTGAATTGAGGCGGTAATGATGGGAAGCAAAAAGGTATAAAGGCAGCCTCCCAACCCCAAAGCCAGAAGAACAGAATCAGAACAAACCAAAGAAACTACACCAAAGAGACCTTAGAACGCGATCAATCAATCAAACCCAAACTATTTCCCCTTTACTTATTTACTCTTGACCAATTCCTTCCTCAATTCAAAATGAAGGTCTTTGCATACATCGCCCTTGCCACCGTCGTTGCTGGCGCAAACATCAGAAACCACTTCGGAGATAACTGCAAGGGTGGCTATCTCGATTACCCCAACATTGCCCAACGAATTTGCGCTAGCGCCCTCCATGACAAGATTAAGGGTGCAGTCACTGTTGCCTTCTCCCAGTTGCCCCAACACTCTTATATGAACGGTTATCAAAACACTCGTGACGGCGGTATCTGCGGTTCGCGCCAGAAGCAGCAGAATGTCGGAAATACGGACCACAAGTGTCTGCCTAAGCTGGCCGGTGGCGCCGAATATGCTGGCAGCAGCTGGACTGCTCCTGGGTTCAAGGCTGCGAGTGAGAAGGATATGGAATGCACCAGCGAGATGGCACCTCACGCCCTTGTCCTGAACGACGGACACAAGTATGCCCTCGGTGGTATGGAGAAGGACATGATCAATACGCTCTATAGCATGGCAATCGAAGGAAAGGGCTTCCAGGAGTTGCCAACCGAGTTTGGAGCATTTGAAATCGAGAAGGAAGGTGCCCAGCAGCGCGCTCAGGAGATCAAGGCTTAGAGAGCGGATATCTTCCTGGACTCATCAATGACCTGGATGTGGATATACTGTGATCTGACGATATGATAAGCCGTATTAGAGAATGGGGACCTGTGATTGAGATAATTTTTTCTTTTTCTTTTTTTTTTTTTTCGTGTGCTGGGTTTATGTCATGCCATACATTTGGCATAGAGGCTTACTTATAGTCAGTCATTACAACTAGCAAAGTCTCTCATTAAAAATTTGAAATTTTTCATTGAGCCCTCGATCGAAGTTGAACGAGTAATACAATTCGCAAAATTGAGTGTGTACCCTCTAGATGGAGTAGATAGCTAACGGCTTAAGTTTCACGACTTCACTTCCTGCGCTAATCTTCTGATATTGGTCCATCTTCTATAAACTGATAGGCTCTGTGTAAAACAGTAAACGATGCATAACGATACTTGACGTATGCGGTTGACAACTACCAGTAAGTTAGCTGATATATGGTCGACGTTGGTATGCTCCCAAGCCTTCAGCATAAGGTTAACTTTAGTTAGGGTTTCCTCCGTCGTTAACGAGATCGCGCTAATCTCATAATTAGCTCGTTTAGCCCGTTGCTAAGATTGGTTAAAGTTATCTTGGCGCCAAGTCTCTATCAAATCCCTTTGTCGTCTTTGGCACTTTGCGCTTGCTCTCTTCTCTTGCTGTAGCTAACTAACTGACATACTCACTGTTCGACTTGCGGCAGACGGCACGACGATATCCAAGGGTGCGCATAGAACCGTGTAAAACTCTCGGATGGAACGATGTGTCATTTTGCATGACCTAGGGAGACTCCTTGGAAGTAAACTGAATCCAAGGACGTGACTACCATGGCCGCCGGCTTGGATGTTCGACGAGGGACGAAAGGACAGCTCGACCTTCTCTTCCGCACAGACTACCTGTAATTGCACCCAGAAAAGTCTTCTAGCCGTTTTCGTCGACAAGGAACTGACTGCCTGGCTGATTACTGACTACTTTATCTCGCACGCTACACCGAGGCTGCCTGTGATTTCCACGGTACGTAAACTGCTGGTGATCGAGTGGAATGCAAGGTCATGCGCGGTCCAGGGGTGACCTGCCACCGCCAGGCTATCACCACTCTCGCCTCCCTGCACGCCCAGGCCATCTGGATGGCGGTCCAGGGAGTTAGTTAGCTAGCTGCACATGCTATATACAGCTACATGCTTAGGAATCCATCCGGCTACCTCATGGCTGGGTAAACTACCGATATATCCCGGCCTCGCTGGTGATGGTGACGTGCTGGTTATCCCATCAATTTGACTATTCTCTGGCCAACTAAGTCAGTCAGTTGCGCTGATATCCCGGCCTCCTTGTTCCTCTACACCATCTCAGTCGACGTTAGTTGACCAGGTCATCTGGGTGCTTCACCCAGGCCTCTCACTATGTTCCCCCTACCAACTCTTCTCTCATGCAAGTTATTTGAGGCGGGAGTCGGCGATACCCGGCAGCTTAGGCATGTCGCTGTGGTATGATAGGATGTTGCCGGTGCGCTGTTTGCTACTACATTTTACGATGCGAATAAACCCTTACACTGGTCATTACTGAGGACATAACTACGTCAGTCAAGGCAAGAAATAAAGTCATGATATCTGCTATCTATAAATGGTCCTTTTTTTATTTCGTTGCCCATGCTAAGCGTGCGTCATATTAACCTTTCACCAAGTCTGTAGCTCGAGTTTGCGAAAGGTAAATTTTCGTTTTTGGGTTCTCAGTTCATTAAAGTCATGTTTGACGCGAGTATAAACAGGTTCCATGATTCTTTTTTTGCTATATGCAAAAACCAAGGGTCGAGGGGAAAGTAAGCTGTAGGTAGGGTCCAGAAGGTAGTTGAGTTGATATCGAATACAGCAAGTGCATACATGGTATATATCTATGGCTCAGTCCAATCAACTTGATCCACGCTGGGGTTTCCGCCATTTTTAGCGTAGCTTATTCTTAGACGCAGTCGAAGCTTTGGGGGAAGAGACTAAGGGTGATGTATGTTAATGAAACGTAATGGTACAGTAGACCAAAGAGAAAAACGGGGTTCACTTACGCCAGACGCAGCAGCAATTCTCATTGCCTGTGTGCCCTCGTCACCCCCATCAAGTTCCGATTTGTTGATAGCGCTCAGCTGGAGCTTCTGAGTCTTGGGTACGGCGGCTTGTAGACCAACTCCCGAAAAGCTGTCCAGCGCAGAAGTGTTACGGAATTTAGCAAGTATCTGACATGTTCCAGCACTATTCCTTTGCACCTGAAGAGTTACTTGAAGGTCGTTCTTGTTAAAGACCTCGTGCGCGGAAGGGGATGGGGTGGCGGGAGCGGAAGCTAGAGTTGGCCGTCCCGGTTGGCCGGAAGTAGCCTGCTGTTGGGAAGCCCCATTGGAACCAAATAGATCCATAATGTCATTAACGTTTGAAGCCTTGGTAGAAGTGGGTTGTGGCTGTGGTGCTGGCTCTGAGGTACCTCCGCCGAGAATGTCAGCGAGAAGGTCAGCGGTATTTTGGCTGCCGTTAGTTTTGCCTGATGTGCTTTCGGTTGGGGGTTCGGAGCCGCCGCCCATGAGATCGAGGAGCATATCTTGTTCAGTGGGCTTAGATGGCTTCTTGGATTTGTCCTTTAGCAACCTGCTCTGACGTTTATTGGTCGCTTCACCAAGCACTCGCTGCTCCTCACGTATTTGTGGCGGTGGCATCCTCTCGAGGACTCCCTGCCTTATCTGCTCATATCCAAACAAATTGCTATACTCCACGGCACGTTGCTGGATCTCCTCGCTCAGATCTGCGGTCTTGGTCTTTAGGAACTTGCGGATTCTCTCGATCTGGGCAGGGTCCGAAATCCTGACTGAGAGTTTCATGGCAGCTGTAGTAATGTATTCGGTCACTATTGGTGTAGCGTATGTGCTGTTAAGGATGTTCATGAAAAGGTCAATAATGTCGCTCTCCTTCACCTCCTTCACAAGCTCCTCCTCCTCATACTGGCCTCCATTGAGGAGAGCGTCTCCAAATTCACCAATAACCCAAGATGCGGCTATGGTAAGACCTTCCTGGGAGATATCTTCCTTCAGCGCTGCATACAGCTTTTGTACGGAATAAGTTTGAAGGTCGGGCGTGGTAGCAATGAGGCGGACGAAAGATGATATGATCTGCTCCTTCACATAGTTTCCGGCAAGTTTCAAAGCTCGGAGCATGGTGTCCACATGCCATCTTGGGTTGGGAGCAAATTTGTTGGCGGCGATGCCGATTTGGGTTGTCATGGCGGGCTTGAATTCATTATCAGCGACCTCGAGGAAAGCCAGGAGCTCACGAACAAGTACTCTGACGTTTCCTTCATTGATCAAAGTGAAACTGAGGTCCAGTGCTCGCCGTCGTATGCTGATATCCGGATCTCGTAAGCATTCTAGAATTGTGTTCCTATGTCTCTGAACCGCATTTGGTTCTACAGCAACCACTTTGACTAGGGTATTGAGAGCAACATATCGAATGTTGTTATCCTTGTTTGACAAGAATTTGCCCAAGATGTTGACACCTAGCACGCGGAGACCAGAGTCGGCTTCGATATCCAGAATGGTCAAAACAGCCTCATACAGGATAGAGTTGCCAACGTTTTTGCTTGATTCAGTGTTCGTAGCCACTTGAGCAAGAATATCGTTTATTAGTTCGCTGGTAGCCACGTCTCCTCTTCCGAGAACTCTCAGGAACCTCAGAATTTTGACCTGCAAGAATGGGTCTGTTATACCCGACACGTCATGTTCAGGGGCATAGCCAGAGGATGTTAAACCCTTCAGCGTCCGCACCAGTCCGGCTGCCATTGGACGGAATTTTTCCACGATTTCTCCGGTGCCCTCAATTTCGTCATATTCACAGAATTCGATCGCGAGAGTGAGGCCACTCAGCAAAACTCCGTGGTTTCTGTCCACCAAGAGGTTCTTCGCCTTGTCAACGAAATGTTCCAGCAAGTCGGGTACCTTGCGGCAAATTCGCATGGCGCAGAGAGCTGCCTTTCGACGAATGTAAGGGTTTGCAGTCGATATAAGGGATTCTATCTCGGGGAACAGATCTCGGGACATTTCGACAGACGCAATATTTCCGAGTGTGCATAGTGCAAGGCCAACGACGTATTGATTCGAGTGGTTGAGGTCACTATCGGATAAAAGTTAGCACTCTGCAGCGACCAGATTGGAGGTAGAGCATCTCCCACTTCTTTAAAGAGTTGGTAACTAGAGTCAGAACTTCCTGGTTCTCGTCTAGCAGCAGCATAGTCCCTAGATAGCCCAGCCGTTTGTCGGCGAAGCGTGGTGAGGCAAGCAGTTTCAGGCATTCTATCTGCCCAAAATGTGTTCTTTCTCCTAATGTAAACAGATATAGTAACTTGGCAACGTTGTTTCTCCTATTCCGCTTGTCAGTATCGTGTCAATAGGCCCTAGTCATCCAGGAGCTAAGGAAGGTGGAAGCAAGGAGGTATGGAACAGCTGCCTCGTACCGAATGCCAGAGTCAGTGCTGTCCTCTCGGAAGCTTGCCCGGATAGCAGCACTCTCTTTCTGGATAACCGCGCGTTCATCGGCAATGGTTTTAGATGCGCGAACATTGCGGATGAATTGCTTGACTAGAACCTTGATATCAGCGTTTGCAAATGCACGCAAGGGGTTTTGCGGGGCGCCGTACGAGAGGTCATGGTGACGGCGTGGACCCCTAACGGGGAGCAAGCTGGGTCAGGGCAGGTCGAGGGGAGGCTAGGGGCTGTTCAGCATGGAACAGGGCATACAAGTGAGGCCGTCTGCTGCTCCGAATTGATGCTGAATGCTGTTACGGAGGTATCAGCGGCCGTTCTTCGCTGCTCCGTTATCAACGGTCCCGTCTATGTGGTCGAGTTGGGCCAACATTTGGCTGACTCAGCCTTGCCGGATATATATTCACCCTTTTCCGTAAATTAGTAGTCAGCTCTTAGTCAGCTCTCTGACGTCAGCGGAGGGTAAAAAAAAAAACAAACAACGGTGATTTGCAACCTCCTGGCCGATCGAATCGCAATGGACAACTCAACCGCAAGGCCGTGGCCTGTAACTATACCTCGAATCCTCCGTGTTGGATATTTATATTAAGCCTCTTACTCCGCCCCAAAACCTGGCAATGGCTGTGTCCTAGGCTCTGTATGCTATTGAACAGCTGATACCTATATATATTCATCTTTATCGTGCCTTTCTGCGGCATTTTATATACTTCATGCCATTGCGACAACATCTGTTCCTCAGATATGGCGCCGACTTCCAATGATTCAGAGGAATCAGGCGTTCTTCGGCCTCGAGCGATGCGCGGTGCAATTGATCCTTTTATAGACCGACCGCATTTGGCCCTGGATAGGACACCATCAAGTCTTTCAAGGTAAATAGTCGTCCGGTAATTTTCGATTTCGTTTGTTGTCGCATTTCGTCCACGAAGACACCTTGAGGTACAGTTGTTCTGACTTGAAGTCTCATAGTGGTCGCTCAACTCCGGTAGCAGAAGATGCACCTCCTTCCGTTCACTCAATATCGAATGTTCGGAAGCAGGTACGTGCTCAGGTGAAGCAGCGGATGTTCTACAATATCGATTATCAGCCGCGACTATCACATTTCGATCCCAATAGTGACCATCGAGACTTTCATGGCTTTTTCGTACTATTTTGGATTAGCTTGGTGATTATGGTGATCACCACCGTACTGAGAAACATCAAAGATACTGGATATCCACTGAGAGTCCATGTTTGGTCTCTCCTATCAGCGAACGTGATCGAACTTGCGTTTGTCGACCTAGCCATGGTGGCCAGTACCGCGGTGACAGTGCCACTCCACAAAGCAATCAGGCGCAGCAAGGGTTTACTTAGATGGGGAATGGGAGGCATAATTGTGCAGAGCTTATATCAATTTGCGTGGCTTTCATTCTGGGTCATGTAGGTATACACACTCTCTCCAGCAGTTCGGCTTGCTGGTTAACTCAAGAAACACGAATAACTGACCGAACCAGACTACCATTCAAGCTCTACTGGACATGGACGTCTCAAGTGTTCTTGACCCTCCATAGCCTAGTGTTTTTGATGAAGATGCATTCATATGCATTTTACAATGGACATCTAAGTGAAACTGAGCGTCGATTATCAGCCCTGGATAAGCCACAGGCCCAAGCTTACCCAGCTGCAGTCCATTACCCGAGATCTCCATCTGTAGCTGATGGCGCAAACCCAGCGAATGGCGATGCAGATTCGCCTGATTCTGAACCTGACACTAAACGGGATGTCGGGAAATTGAGAGCCGACCTAGCTATGGAACTAACCTCTCCACTTGGCCGTGTCACTTATCCTCAGAACCTCACTTGGAAGAACTATATTGAGTTCATTTTCTTTCCAACTCTTTGTTACGAATTGGAATATCCACGAACTAAGGATAGAAGCTGGATCGAAGTGCTCATCAAAGCTGCGGCAGTGTTTGGCTGTATCTTCCTATTAACCCTAACCAGTGAGGAATTTATCGTGCCTGTTCTGAGCGATTCCGCATTTAGACTTCGCACAATTCCATCACATTTCGAAAGGGGCTTGATTCTTGCCGAAACAATCAGCATGCTCCTCTTCCCGTTTATGGTGACGTTCCTACTGGTTTTCCTTGTGATATTTGAGTACGTATTGGGGGCATTTGCCGAAATCACACGGTTCGCAGATAGGCGGTTCTACTCTGATTGGTGGAATTCTTGTGACTGGTATGTAATATCTTTAAACCTCTGACGTATCTATAGAGGTATTTCGTTATATTATGCTGATACTAAGTATTGTGCTATAGGCTGGAATTTTCGAGGAAATGGAATCTCCCAGTCCATCATTTTCTTCGGCGCCATGTCTACTTTTCTTCACTAACACGCTTCTCAGCTCCGGGTGCAATGGCCATTACATTTCTCGTTAGCTCAATTGCACATGAGCTGGTGTTGGTATGCATCACTAAAAAGTGGCGTGGATACGGCTTTTTTGCAATGATGATGCAACTACCTATTGTGGCGGTCCAGAGATCGAAGTTCGTGAAGGGACGAAAGACTTTTAACGTAAGTCGTTACTCTGTGCGATTAAAAGGATTATTAGCTAATTCTTCATGGAAATGTAGAATATTTGTTTCTGGACATCTATGATCCTTGGGTTATCGTTGGTAAGTACATCACTTCATGGTAGGATGACTACTTCTAGATCCAGTATACTAATGAAAATAACAGATTTGCGCACTTTATGTTCTTATATAACGGTTTTCATTTATATATACCCACTATACCTCCCATGCGAGGTAGATGGCTCTAGGAGGTGGAGAATTTCAATCTATCCAAACATATATTAAGCTGATTATTTATCTCGTTCTCTTTCTGGTTTTCCTTTTTTACCCAGTATAATGCTTATCTTTGGGTGGTATATATTCGGACTCTCGGTCTATTAGAATTTCTATTTCAGATTGACATAAAACTGGTGGAATCTTGATAATAACTTATAGGAAACAGAATACAGGCTGTTGAGACAGCAGAATGTAGTTAAATAGAAAAATTTAGAGAAACTAGGAGAGAAATAACCGTATTGGGAAATTGCCTAAATGCTATGATGCGACGATGCAATGAATCCAGGATAGAAAAGTTACATGTCAATTTCCAGCTGTAGACAGAGAAATGAAAGCAAGGTATGGACTAAACCCGAAATCCCAAGATAACGACAGTGAATATGTTAAAATAAAAGACCAAAAAAAAAATAAAATAAAAAATAAAATTACTCGCCTTCCAAAAGTCGCACTGAACGCCCATTGATGAGCCCAACAAAAATACGCAATATATTCACATTGGCGTATAACCATATCCGGAAGTCTAGGTTTATATATGTTCGATTGGCTCTTCGGGGAGAAGTGGCTCGCGGGTCTCTTCATCACGAGAAGGTAGACAAGCCTTTAATGGTGGTGTAATGATATCGTTGAAAAGGAAAGTTCCATAGACAAGCATGGCAAAACCAAGGACCTGTAGCCACTTGAAAGTCTCCCAGCCGAGACCGAGGGACACAAGCCAGATGAAAAGAGTTCTGGATGTGTCGATAGTGCTTCGTGAAGTTGCAGATAGGGAACGTGTGACACTGAGACCGAAGAAGTTGAAGCCCCTGCAAACAGTGAGTTAGTAAATGCGAGGCCATTAGCCCAGGCAAAGATGGATGACATACCCGATGCTGATCATAATGAGGATGCTGGTTATAGCAACAGTCTTGTTGCCAGTCATGCTCCTCCACCCCTCGACAGCGTCAAAGTATCCAAGCCTGCCACTCTCAGTAACACCAACGGTAAAGTGCAAAATGACCATTGCCAAAGCAGTAACCAGGAATCCAAAGATTCCTTCCCAGCCAACAACCTTCAATGGGTCCATGGCATATTTCTCAAGGATCCATTCCTCCAACACGAACTGCGAGGCAGTAAATATTTGAGCAAAAGCAATCAAGAAAACGCCTAAAACGACCCGGAGAGGGTCGACGTGCTTTTCAGCCGATGTAATAATTTCACTGGCCCGTCTGATCAAAGCTGCAACTGCGTCAGCGTCGCCGGGCACGATGTCCACCGGGGGTTTATGATGGTCAGGGAAAATGGCACCAGCCAGGCCAACTAGAGCCACACCAAGAACGACGCAGACCAGTGCGAACCATTGGTAGAAATATAGTCTTCGTTTGAGGAAGACGACGCTGAACAAGCCGACGAACAACACGAGGGCACCACGAGTCATCTGGTAGATACTAGCAACGACGAATAGAAGACCGACATTCATCAGGGTGGTGCCGGTGATGTCACAGCAAGCTGGTAGAGCAAGAAGCAAGACCTTCGTTCCACTCAGTTGTGTTCTGGTATCTTCCTCAGCTTTATGTATGTCACCAGGCTCGTCATCGGCCTCGTCGGCGTTATCGATGGACTGGTATCCGTCTGTAAATAGTGGTGCGGCGGAGGAGAATCGAGGTGCGATGAAGCCCTTCCAGATGTCGATGCAGAAAAGGACAAGCCAGCATCCCATTTCTCCCACGAACATCTGCAGTCTGTTCTCATAGTCAGTCATGAACGGAGCGTCCTCGACAAAGTCATCGTAGGTATAGCAAGGGAAGAGCGTACGTCTGGAGAACCGGCTGCTCAAAGGCAACCCGTTTGCTGGGATCCGGTGAGTCACAGTTCCTCACACATTGCATATCCTATCATTTCTATCAGTTATAGTTCTATTCAGCTATTCAGATCCGGGCAGGAGACCTACCTGATACTTGGTGAGGAGGGTATTGCAAACCCCCGTCACCAACATCATAGTGACGAGGAAAGGAACAAGAGCCTTGGGGACCATGGTGGCCAGTCCTCCTCTGCTCCTCTAGCAAGACTTTAGTAAAATATAATAGTGGCCTGTGTTCTTCTTCTTCTTCTCCTGGCTGGCTAGTACAGCCAAAAGAGAGCAAAGAGGCGGTGGTGAGAGTGTGCTTGTCGAGGTTGCTGTCTTTGTTACCCGCCAGAGCTGGAGAAAGCTGGGGGTTGCGCCGAGCCTCGATCTTTCGGCACGCGACGACATGCAAAGTGACGAAACTCTATTTGGGACGCAAAGGGCTGTATCACGTGATATGAGATAAGGTGATCAGCTGACCTGGGCGAGTGGATGCGCCAAGGAAGTTTAAATGGATCACGTCAACAAAGTTATCACGTGTGAGGTATATTACGTAATATATAATCAATGCCTTCACAAAGACAAGGGAAAGAAAGGATCGTTTTGGGGTATCAAAAACAATTGATTCTTCGAGGCTAGTATACAAAACGAACAAGCGTACATCTCCGGTACATGGCAGATATTAGAAAGGGGCGGTTAACAGAATATCTTATTAGTCAGTGTAATGGCCGTGTATAGCTCACCTGCCGGTATTAGCTCGTCTGCTTAACGAACCCAAGTAAACAAAAACCAGAACGCGGGCAGCATGATTAGTTAAACAATGTCCAGGTGAAGAAGTTTGTAGTGTCAAAACCGGGGGAATGCAAGCAAGATATTACTTATCGTAGTTAAAGCAGTAATGATAGAGCTTGGAGGTATCAAAGAAAAAAAAAGCACCCTAGACCAGAAACGCCTTGCTGTAATGAAGAATAAAAAACAGAGGATTAGGGGAAGCCGAATGGAGGCTTGCAGAAGCCATTCAAACCGGGCACGATATTGCAAAAAACGTAAAAATGAAACGAAACCAGGAGGGAAATTAGAAGCACCCATCCTAACCAACGAAAGGAAATATATATTTTTTTGAATTTGCCAATCCCATTCCTCCGTTCCTGTACCACCAATAATCCCAGGGTATTATTTCAACGAAATCCAATTAACCGGTTCCTTTGAATAGCAATATAGTCTTTTATGCGGCGGTCAACACCAAAGCAAACGATGAAAAAAGGGGGGAGGGTAGAAAGAGCAAGGGGTGAAGAGCAAAAAGTAGAAAAGTGGATTGACGCCAAGTTCTGCGGCCAGATTTAGATGGAGTAGATGGGCCGCTCAGGTCGTAGCTTGGAGGAGCTATCAGTAAGGTTGTCGTTTAGCTCCATTGCGTCCCAGTTGACGCTTTGCCATCCATCGTTGGTGAGCATATCATCGTCTAGATGACCCGGGAGATTGTTCCAATCGAGCGGCATCCAATTATCCGTGTCGGTACCCATTTCTTCGTCCTTGATTTCACCATCTCGCGGAGTTTGCATCATTGCAGACGAGGCGGATGCTGGGGTATCGTCTGGTGGCTGGTGGCGTGGACCAGAGGAGGATTCTTGGGCAGGTGCGATCTCAAAGAGTTCATCTGTAAGAGCTTGGACTCTTTCTGCAATAACATCGTCCACGGGGTCGGTGACGAGGCCGCAAGAGGTTTCATCGCCTATGTCGGTGAAAGCGGTGCGGATCATCTCCCGGGATATAGGGCTATCGGACCAGGCATCCTTAGTGGTGGCAGATGCCTCGAGAGACGTGGTAGGTGCGCTAGCTTCCTTCTTATCTTTGCTTGCGCTAGCGGAGCTCTTAATGATAGACGATTTCTCCTGCTGAGATGGTGAAGGCTTCATTTCTACTGAGCTTGGGCCAGTGATAGCAGGCACGGCCCTCGTATCGGCTCCATTATGCTGGTTCTCGGTCTTGCTGACACCGAGACCCATCTTGATGCTTTCAAGCAGGTAGTCAAGAGGATTGTCGATAGGTTCTTCAGCCGAATGCGTCTCCTGAACATGCTGGTCCAATGCTGCTTGGGATGGGAAGCCTCTGAAGCGCTGTGAACAGTCGCTGACTTTACATCTAAACACTTGTGTTGGGGGAGTTGCGGTCTTGGTAGTGGCCACCGGTGTAGTCGCAGGGGGAGTGGCCTTGAGCTGCTGGTTCTTGCTGGCAGGAGACTTGTTGGTTTTAACCGGCGACTCGTTGGCAGGCCGCTTCATCTTGCGTTTCTTCGTCTCCGGGATCACAAGGTTATCTTTGGTTACCTGGTGGGGACCGTAAGCGCGCGGGATGCCTTGTGGAGATGTGGCGCCGATCTGATATGGCGGCTGTCGGGTAGTGGGGGCGGTTGGTGGGATGGAGCTTTGAGATTGTCCTCGCCTGGCGCGCTCTTGTTGCTCAAGCTGCTGAAGATTCACTGCGTTCAGCGGTACGTTGGGTGTCTGTGGGCTAGCAGTGCCTCTTCCAGCATTAGCGGCTGAAGGTGCTTGCTGCGTCTGTAGGAGCTGAGCCTGTGCCTGCTGGGCTTGCGCTTGCTGCATCTGCATCTGGATTTGTTGCTGCTGTTGTTGCTGTGTCTGTTGCTGTTGCTGTTGCTGCTGTTGCTGTTGACCTTGCTGAGGTTGTTGCATTCCCTGCTGGTTCGGTGGATTTTGTCGACGGGAATACATGACGGCGTAACAGCGTTGCATGAAATTAATAGCATAGTTAACGAAATCAAGCTTGCAAGTAAGCTGGTCTGCGACGGTCCAGTCATTCGGCTTGAATTGCTTCATTAACTTCACCCTCTAGTGAATAGTTAGTAATTGCATCATCTCAAAAGAAACCGGGGTGGAGGGAACATATAAAGAAATATAGGACGTACCATTTGCAACAGCATTCTCACGGAGCGATCCTGCTCCCTGAATTTGGCAAACCAAATGATCAATGCATCCAAGTTAGCAATCATACCAACTGCGTCTCTAAGCTTTTGAGATGCAGTGGCGTAATCGTCAGGAGTCATGGGTACGGGAGCAAATTCGGTATCATTCCGAACTTCGTCTTCATAGGCTCGCTTAATGGGCTCGGGAAGCCGAGACCAAGCTTCGGCAGTTGCCTCTCTCGTGCGTCGATGGGGTAAGTTGGGCATTTGAGGCTGGCCTTGAGCTGCCAGTTGCGCTTGGCGGCGAAGATGCGCTTCAACCTGAGCTCGTTGTTGAGGGTTCATGGCTGCAAGGTTCATAGGATTAAACTGTGACATGGGGATAGGCATAGGCCTAGCGTTGGAGTTCATTTGAGAGTTAGAGTCCATTGCGCCAAGTCGGGCTTCTGTATCAGACGGGTTGGGCCGTTTCAAGCCCTGAGGCGGAGCGGGGACAGCAGCGGGGACAGGGGCTGGCTTTGTAGTTGGAACGGGTCGCTGCTTAGCTGATGGAGGAACAGTCGTAGGAGCTGCTGTGGGCTTGACCATGGGTTGGGTTGAGTTTGGTTGAGAGATGCCAGGTTGCATTGGGCTAGAGGAGATGGGTGGTTGCATGTTTTGCAGTTGTGACTGTTGCTGTTGCTGCTGCTGCTGCTGCTGAGAAGTTGGAGGATATTCGGGAAGGACTCCTAGGCCAACGTTTTGCATAGGACCAGCCTGTGATTGCTGCTGTTGCTGCTGCATTGGTTGCTGCTGCTGCTGTCCCTGAGGCATGAACCCCTGAGCCTGTTGCAGCTGAGCCTGATTTTGAGGTTGGCCCGGTGGGATGCCGCGGGCCTTGAGTATCTGTTTCTGTCGGTTTCTTTCTAGAATGATTCTCAACGCTTCATCACTAAGCTTCTGCGCTCGTGCACCTAGCTGTTGCCGTGCTATCTGTACGTCGTTCATGGTGACAGGCCGCAAAATTCCCGGTGGCAGTTGCACCGGCTGGCCTGGTTGACCGGGTTGCTGTGCAAGCTGTCCCATTTGCCCCGGTTGTTGCCCTGGTTGGGCAGTTCTGGGCTGTGGTTGGAAACCCTGCTGGTTGAAGCCTGGAGCCGGTTGCTGAGCATTTGCATTCTGCTGTGGTTGAGTTTGTTGCTGGGGCTGCTGTTGCGGCTGTTGGGGTTGTCCTGGTTGCTGGAAAGGTGACTGGAGCTGCTGAGACATGAAGTTCTGTCCATGTCCCTGCGCAGCTAGTTGTGCCTGTGCCTGTGCCTGTGCCTGCGCCTGCGCCTGCGCCTGAGCCTGAGCCTGAGCTTGAGCCTGAGCTTGAGCCTGGGCCTGGGCCTGGGCCTGAGCCTGAGCCTGAGCCTGGGCCTGAGCCTGGACCTGAGCTTGGGCTTGAGCTTGGGCCTGGAATCGAGTAGCGAACTCCTTCTGCAAGCCATGGAAATGCATTTTCTGGTAAGCAAGCAGTTTCGGCAGTGTAAGCTGGCCCATGGCCTGAGGATTCTGGCTAGCCCACTGTTTGAGTTGACCCCATGATTTGAGGGCTTTGGGGACGGGGGGAGGATTTGGCATCCCTGCCATACCAGCGGATATGACACTTGGAGGGAAAGGAACACGGTCCATATCACGAATTTGATCCTCGGAAAGCTCCCGGGCGGCTTGCTGCATATATTGCTGACGGGAGAGGTCTGCCTGAGACTGAGTTTGGACCTGGGGTTGAAACGGTGATGATTTAGCGTGCTGGATGGATTGTTGAGATTGTGGCATGCCTGGTTGTGGCTGCTGCTGTGGCTGTTGTGATGTTTGTGGATGGATGGGTACTCCACCGGGGCCCATGAGATGTTGTTGCATGCCCATAGCATTGTTGCGCATGTTCGGGTCCGCGCCGAATTGCAGGCCTTGATTGAGATTCTGAGGAGGTTGATTTGGGTCAACGGGCTGTTGCTGGGGTGGTTGACCTGGCTGAGGGACCTGGTTCTGCCCGGCCACGCCTAGTTGGTTCGCACGGTTCTCATTGGCCGCCTGTTGGAGTCGTATTTGTTTGGAATAATTCCCGAGAAAAACATTTGCGTCCTGCGGAGACATTTGTGACATCTGGTCGCGGATAGCTTGGGGTATATTAGAATGATTTGTAGGACGGGCTGCTCCGCCGGGCTGGGGTGGTTGTTGCTGCGGAGGTTGACCGGTGGGATTAGCGCCCATAGGCATGGTAGGAGTTGCTCCTTGAGGCGGTAGCTGCTGTGCTATCTGAGATGGCTGGTTTGGCTGTGAAGACATGGCTAACTGGTTGTTCATGCCAGCTTGGTTCCGTGTCTGGTCAGGCTGCAGCTGGAACTGAGGACCTTTGCTCATTGCGTTTTGTCGCTGTTGCTGTTGCTGCTGTGCAAGAAGCGCTGGATTCATAGTAGGCCTACTGCCTGGTTGTTGTTGTTGTTGTTGTTGTTGTTGTTGTTGTTGTTGCTGCTGCTGCTGCTGCTGCTGTTTTTGGAAGCGCTGCTGAGCCTGAGCAGCGGCAAACTGGGGGTTAAGCATAGTAGCATTTGGTGGGTTGGCAGTCGCAGGCACCACAAGCTGACCTGCCTCTTGCGAACGCAGACCATCTTCCTGTTGCCCCTGGATCTGGTCGACACTGCCGTTAAAAGCAAGATCTGGCTGGCTGATGGGGATGTTGTGCTGCTGCATTCCCATCATGGGCTGGCCAGCCATCTGGGCCATCATCGCGGCCTGCTGTGCGGGATCCATACCACCACCTGGCTGCTGACCATGGCCAACCAAGCCCATGCGTTCCAGCCGCCGTCTCCTGAGCTGGGCGAGGGCCTGTGATCTGAAGACGTGGGCAAGCGGGTCTATTCTCTTTTGGGCGAATATCTCCTTTTGCTCTTGAGGCATGTTCTGCAGGCTCATCTTGATCTTTTCGAGGTTTTCGGCAGAGGTGCTGCGGGCTATCTGGTCTGCCAGAGCGTTGACATCTTGGAGTTCATTAGGCGCGAGACTCCCCAAGTCCTGGAGCATACCGAGTCCCTGGCGAGGCTGTTGCTGTTGCTGCTGTTGTTGCCGGGCAAGCTGCTGCTGGATGAATGGCGAGGCCTGTGTCTGCTGTGGCTGCATCTGTTGGAGGTTCATACGCCCGTTTGGCACCTGACCGGGGAGTGGTGAGCCCTGCATTGGCTGCTGCGCCTGAGACTGTTGTTGTTGTTGTTGTTGTTGCTGCTGCTGCTGCTGCTGCTGCTGACGTTGTTGCATTGCAGCAAGCAGGTTCATCTGCGAAGGGGGAATTTGCATGCCTCCATTCTGTTGCTGTTGCTGCTGTTGATGTTGCTGTTGTTGTTGCTGCTGCTGCTGGTTTGCATGCTGCATCATGCCATTCTGCATCATCATGGCCTGCTTCAGTCGAGACTGATGGATTGTGTTGTGTTTCTCATTCACTAAGCGTTCATAATCGGCCTATAGAGGCGTTAATTTCTCACCGTTACCATGAAAGAGGAGAAAGAAGAAGAGGAAGAAGACTGGTGTACCTGCTCATTGGCCTCCCGAAAGGTTTGTTCTTCGAATCTGAGGCCTGCAGAGATGGTCTTGCCAACTTCGCAGAGTGGCTTTGCTAGACGGAGGGCGGATATGCTGCAGTCGCGGAGAGAAGGAAGTGTGAGCCTTTTTGGAGTTTTGACGAGCGAGAGCGAGAAGAGAGAGAGAGAGAGAGAGAGAGAGAGAGAGAGAGTGGGAAGAGGACCGAACCACGGTACCGCGCACCAAACACCCGGCCAGTCATGTCGTCATCCACCACCCATGAGAGAGCAGATGAATAATAATAGCAGTCAAACACAAGAGAGACGACGGAGACTGGCCGGGTCGTAGGGCGTTGCGGACAGGCTGGTAGGCAGCGAAAAAGGGGAGAAGCACGCACATAGTCATGGCCTTGAGGGCGCGTTCTCGCACGGGGAAGGCCTCTCGCCAGCCGGTAAAGGGGCCCTGGGGCTGCAGCGCCTGCACCACGAGCTTGAAGAGGGCCTGGTTGTCCGGTTTCTGGACGGGCTGCGGCTTCGCGCCGGCCGCGGGCGAGGACAGCTGGTGGAAGGAGTTCATGGTGAGACGGGCCGCAGGAGGAGGCGGTGGAGGAGGCGGTGGAGGAGGAGGAAGAGGAGGAGGAGACGGTGGTGAGACCGGGCGATGCGAGCGGGTGCCAGCTGCATGGACAAGAGAGGCCGTCGAGGTCAGGTCAGGGCGGGCTGGGTCGAGCTGGGTTGAGCTGGCCTGGCGCTGGCGATGTTGAAGTCGTAGAGGGCGAGGAGGATGTGTGGATGGAAGATGCAAGTAGATGTAGAGAGGTTGAGGTGGTCGAGGCGGACGGGGATGGGCGCAGGTGAAACGGGGCTTGCTTGGGCTGGGCGTTTTGAGGCGTCTCTGTCAGCGCCTGACCAGTCAGTAACAGATGATGATGATGATGATAGTAATAGAAGAAGATGATAATGATAGTTAAAAGAAGAGAAGAAGACAATGATGACATTAATAAAGAAGGAGATATATAGCTTGACTACGGCGTGAATACTGGATGGACTCTTTCATCTGCCCTCAGTCACGCTGCGGTGGTGGACTCTCCCTGCTTTCACTCTCTCTCACTCGTTACTGCTATTATTCACTCTCTCTGCTGTCTCTCTGTCTCTCTGTCTCTCTGTCTCTCTCTTATGCTCACTGCTACTCCTCATAATCACTGTTTCATCTGCAGCCTCAGCTCTTCCTGCGCCGTCTTGCTCCCCCTTATTAATCCTGACTCTGCCGCTGCCTCCCTGGCCGCTGCTTCTCCTAAGCCGACTCCTTTTCTCCTCCTCTCCTCCTCTCCTCCTCTCCTCCTCTCTTCCTTTTCTCCAGCGACTCTCGACTAACACGTTATCCTCCTTGGCTAAATCGACTAAATTAATCTATTTTAACTAATAATTCCTTATTTTTCTTCGATAAAAAGCAAAAAAGCGACTCCAGAAATTCGATGTCACGTGATGGAGATGGGCTTCAGGTTTTCCCTTTTAGGAAATATAGATCTCCTTTCTTCGACTTCAACTTCAACTTCAACTTCTACGACTCCTACGACTTCTACGACTCCTACAACTCCTACAACGACCCCTACAACTTCTCGAATTCTTGACTTCTTCTATTGAAAGTCCTAATAAATGGACTGATGGCGACGCCGGCCAGCTCGAGCGTGTTCGTGGCGCTCTCGCTCGCGGCCATCAGCCTGCTCGTGCTCGCCCTGCTGCGGCGCTTCCTGCCCCTGCGCGCGACTCCGGCCTTTGTCGTGCTGCCCGTCTTCCTCGCCCTCGCCCTGCCCGCCAGCACCGTCCTGCTCGTGCCCATCGACCTCGCCTCCAGCCCGCCAGACGGCCGCGCGCCCGCAGGGATATGGCTCTCCTCCCGCCTCATGCTCGTCTTCTGGCGCATCGCCTACTGGCTCACCTTCGTCCTCACCTGGTACAGCTTCCTCGCATAGACCTAATAGCGGGTGTTCTTAATACCGACTGTACTGACTAACTGACTGCTACAGGGTTATTCTACCCTTCCTAGGGGAGTATCTCGACTCCGGCCACAGGTCACCCCGGGAACGCATGCTCTACTCCCTCCGCTCCAACGCCCGGTACCAGCTCATCGTGCTCTGCTCCGGCCTGCTGGGCTTGATATACCTTGCTCTCACCCATGAGTTGCGTTTCTCCTCTCTCCGGGGACTGGTCATGGCCCTCGCCTACGCCTGGGGCCTGGTGCTGGCCATCTACCTGCTCGGCCACGGTCTGGTCGCCCTGCCTCGCAAGATGTGGCGGGCGGCCTGGACGGGCCACAGGCTGCGCAGGCTGCAGCAGCGGGCGGTCCGGGTGCACGATGCGCTTGTCGAGGCCGGCGGGAAGCTCGAGGAGCTCAGGAGCCTGGTCTCTCTGCTGCGGCGGAAGCGTGGGCTCAGCCTCGAGATGCAGGAGTGGGTGGACGAGCTGGTTGACGTCGTTGCTGCTGCTGGCCAGGGTCAGGATGTGCGACGAGGCGGGCCTGCTGCCGTTCAGAGTCTGCAGAGTGAAGGGAGAGCTTCAGTGCCGCATGTCATTACTGACCGGTACATGGCGGGCCTGACCAGAGACCTCTACCGGGCCAGACACAAGCACGCCAGATACGCGGATGCCTGGTCCCGTCTCGTCCGCGAAGCTCTCGACTGCCAGACCATACTTGACGCAGCAGCATCAAAGCAGCTGGTCTTTGACTCTCGCTCGTCGTTGTCACCGTCATCTTCTGGCTCTGGTCCTCTGTTGACTCCGTATCTTCGATACCTGATGTATACCCACCTGCTACCGGCCGTCTACATCTGCCTGGCTGGAGTCTTCGCCTGTCTGTCCGTGTGCATCCTCTGGTCAGAGCTTGTCCGCACATTCTTCCCCTTTCTCTCCATCGTTGCTCTCACGACACCTTCGTCCGAGCCTGTGGGCTTCCCTTCCCAGCTGCTCACCTCAGTCTGGCTTCTCTACCTCTGTGCTGCCGCTGGGACGGGCATCTCAGACGCTCAGGTATGGGGTAACCGGGCCCTTGTTCCACGCAACACCTACCACGAGTCCGCCTGCTGGTACGCCGGCCAGGTCGCCCGACTCACCGTTCCTCTGGCCTACAACTTCCTCACTCTCTTGCCCACAGACCTCCAACTAAGGACGACCTTCTACGACTTCCTGGGCAAGGGAATCAACCTGACCCTGATCGGAGAAGGCTTCGACCTGTTCTTCCCGCTGTTCATCCTCTTACCCGTTGCTGCCACGGCGTTCAACCTCTACGGCAAAGTCAAGAGACTGGTGGGCTTGGGAGACATGGAGATCTACGACGACGACGAGGAAGACAACCCGTCAGGCTTCGGAACTGGTGGGTGGCGGGAGGGCCGCTCCCTCATCGAAACCGAGTTGAATGGACCAGGGTACCTTGGCCTGTCCAGCACCAGCAGAACCCCCAGGAGCAGCACCACCACCAGCAGGACGGCCGCTCACCGAGCCAACCTGCCCGACACCCTGCCACGCTACAGAGACGCACCACCACCAGCAACACCCAATAGCAGAGGTACCGCTGCTGCAGCAGCACCTGCACCTGCACACACTTCTGCCTCTACTTCTGCTCCACGGCCGGCAGGCGGAGAGGAGGACGAGGAGGACGAGGGATTCTTCCAGTCGTTTGCCCACCGCGTCCGCAACACCATCGACACCGCCAGCACGCCCAAGTGGCTGCAGGACGTCGACGCAGGCTTCAAGCGGCCGCGGTGGATGGGCGGCACCGACGACGGGGATGCTCCTGGTCCCTCCTCGTCCTCGCCATCCACCGACTCGTCCGCCTTTGCCAGATGGTTCGGCGGCGGCGGTGGTTCTGGTGGAGTGCGGCTCTAAGCTGGCTTCCCCTGCTAGTGATACGAAGGGCCTCCTTTTTTTTTTTAACTCTTTCCTTTCCAGCGATCATCTATCGTATACTCACAAACACTCTTGCATTGCACGGCGTCTTCTCTTGTTCCTCTTCCTTTTGCTACTCTTGTTAATATATATATTATATACATATATACACATCTGCATATATCTTCTTCCTGTTGATAGAAACTCGCCAGGCGGGCGCCACCGCAGAGCCGCATGTGTTATTCGTAGACTCTTCCTCGCCTGCTGGGCATGCATGCAACGCCTCATACGTGTCTCGCCGCTACTTGACTGTCGATAATTGAATTCACGCAGCCGTCGCCGGCCTTGTCCTCTTTCTTTGCTTCTTCTCTGTCATCTGCTTCGTCTTCTCCGTCTTTCCTGCGAGCAAACCGCGAGATCGCCGCGAGCTACTCTGGGTCCCCGCCGTCGCCTTCATTGGCAAGCATCTCGCTCGCCTGCATGGCCAGCAGCTAACTAGCGTCCCTCCATCTTCTTCTTCTTCTGCTTCTTTTTCTCTTCTTCTCTCTCTTCTTTCTCTTCTTCTTCTTCTTCATCGCCGTCGTCTTCTTCGCCGCTGTCTTCCCTGCCCCAGGCAGTCATCATGGCCTCCCGCCGCGGCCACCGGCGAAGCGGCCTCTGGGACCTCCCCCTCGACCACCACGACCTCTATGCCTCCTCCTCCCCTTACTACTCCTCGCCCGCGCCCTCCTCCCCCTACGACCCCTACGGCTACGCTGCTCACTTCGACCCTTACGGCCCCGGCACCCCCAGCCAGCAGCAGCAGCAGCAGCAGCAGCAACAGAAACAACTACTACCTGACGACCCCGCGGGTCTACAGCAACGGCGACATCAGCCAGGCCGAAGCCCGCATGCGCGCACAACAGCTGGCTGCGCCCTCTCCAGAGGACGGCGAGCTGCCAGACATCCTCATCTTCAAGTACCAGAACGAGTCCTGGAGCTTCGAGTTCCCTGCCTTCTCCATCGACGACGACCGGCTGTGCGTCAGCGACATCCGACGGCTGGCCGGCCAGACCCTCAACATCGCCGACATCAGCAGGATAAAGCTCATGTACAAGGGCCGCCTGATGACCGACGACGCCGCCAGTGCAAAGTCGCAGGGCCTGAAGCAGTTTTCCGAGGTCGTCGCGATCGTCATGCCGGGCTACACGGAGGGTGTCTACGGTGGGAGCAGCGGCTTGATCGACGGATGGCGCGAGGCTCAATTGATTCCCGTCTCTGACAGCGAGGAGGACGACGAGCAGCCGTCCCTGCGACCACCACCGCCGCCACCACGGCAGAAGTCACAGCAGCAGTCATCGTCGTTGTCATCGTCGTTGACATCGTCGTCGTTGTCGTCTGCTTCACGGCCACGGCGGCCGCCGAAGGTCAAGATTGAGGTCAGAGACGACGATGAATCGGAGGACGAGAGGTACTACTACAAGCCGTCGCCCGTTCGTCGAGGCCGGTCACCACCCAAGTATGTCCCCCAGGAACGAAGGAAGTCTGTCCGCCGCGAGCGCAAACCAAGAGACCCGTCGCCCGTCTCCCCTGATCGAAAGCCCCGGCGGCGGCCAGTACAGCAACAGCAGCAGCAGCAACAACAACAGCAACAGCAACAGCAACCTCCTGTGCAGCCAGTCCAGCCAGTGAGAGCGCCCATGTCGGCTAAGGAACCCATATCTCCCCGGGAAAAGATCTACGCTCGCCAGGCCCGGCCGCCATCACCTCCAAAATCTAAATACCAATACCCAGCTGTCCCTCCGTATCCATCCCCGCCTCCAGCCGCATATGACCCGCTGCCAAACATCTGTCGGGAACCACGGCCATACGCAACCTCTCATCCTTCGCCGTCCGTCAGCAGCACCGTCAGCTCATCGACCTACACCTCAGACTCGGCCTCTACGGCTGCCTCGACAGCGGCGTCTGTTTCTCCCACCGTGCCCACATCCATACCTGCTTCTACTAAACCAAAGCCAAAACCAAAGACCAACAAGACATACTCTGTGCCTAACCGGCCGCCTACCCCCTGTCCTCCCTTCCTAGCATCCCACTCCACATCTGACAAGCTCACCATCTTCGAGAAATATGTAACCGACAAGCTGATACCGCTTTGCACTCGGTTCATCATGCACCCACCTGCAGATGTACGAGCGCAGAACAAGGAGCAGCGCAGGTTAAGTGAGGCAATGGAGCGGGTTCTCGCCAGGGCAGATGAGATTACCGTTGGTTCGTCGCGGCCCCTGAGAGATCGCAGGAAGGCTGCCGTGCAGATGGTCCAGCGCTTCCAGACCAGGATCGACGCCATGATCGTCCCTGAGTAAGGTTCAGCAGCAAGAAGAGGTGGATTTATAGGGTAATTTGATATTAATATGCTGGAGTTGGGTTGGCAGTTTAATCCAGGGGTGCATTTGATAGATAGATGGCATGGCATGGCATACCATATGATATGATATGGCATGACATGGTACGAAGTTACGAATCCTCCCCCGCAAAAAGAAAAATGAAAAAGACATTTACACGACGTGATGACTATCTACTTTTAACTACTCTTCTCCTCTCCTTTCTTGTCTCCTTACCGTCTTTACTTGCTTCATCATGTTCTATCATATCTCCTACGTCGAAGTCTCACAAGGGGGAAAGGGGAAAGGGGAAAAAAAAAGGAATATCCAAGCCAACTTTGCATCAACTGATATGACTGATATTCATTCGTCTTCGAATTCTCTAAGCAATACATGCTTCAACCAAGACATTCTCTACTTCTGGCCTTGCTGGCTTTCCTGCTTCTGATGACCACTCTGACTCTGCCCTTTGTCTGTTGCATTCGCATTTTTGTCGTCCTTGGGTTGCTTCTGCGAGTTCGTGTCTTCTCCTCCAGGCTTAAGAGACTCTTGTTAGCCATTCTCACACTTTCAATACATTTTTTGAATGCTGATATCGAGATATTTTTTGATAAAAGCCGTCCTTACCTTGGAAGACGTAATGCGCGAGATATCCTCCTCGCTCACTGGGATGACGGGCATGCTGCTTTGGTTATGGCAAGACTATCTCTTCAGCAAATATTGTCTGCATCTAACGATCAATTTGTCCTTTTGTAGGGTGCCTTTCCTTTTGGTGCCGTCTGAACGGCTGTTATACAAGCTGCCATCTTGGTGGCAAATATGACGTACGTAGATTGGCAGCTTTTCAGGCAGGCGTGAACATGCAGCAATAATGTCAACAAACAGACGGCCATACAGGCGATCCTTCTGTGTCTATCTAAGCTCCCAGTGTTGGCTGGATTGTTGTTAAGCAGCGTATTATAATTGTAGTAATAGTGTTGTCGAGTCTTCTCTTCCTGTATATCATCTACCGTCAGCCAGATTCATCTCTACCATTCATAATTCAACTAGCTAGCTGCTATCAGCTAATTGAAAATATGAATCATTATTACCTCTCACGCGAACTTGGCCGGGGGCAGAAACTCCTGTACGTCGCACCTCGACGTCAGGAAATACACGGATCCCCGAAAAGGGGGTTTGCTATGCTCTACTCCAAAGGCGCCCCTGGAATCTTTCTGCTACTCGCAAAACCCAACTTCACCACTCGCCCCAGCGTCATTATGCGTGACCGGGACCCAGACACTGAAGCAAGGGTATCAGAAGCATTCCTACAGAGTCCCAGTAATATATTCAGGTTAATGCCTGTCAGCCTTATGCAAATGATCATCGAGAATTTACACATAATCGATGCACTCCATTTCGGGCTTACTTGCACCGACGCTTGGTGCGCAGTATGGCCTACCCTCAAGAAGTTCAGCCTCAGTTCTCTGGGTACCTGGGCGGGTACACCCATATTCTGCGGTGCAGAGGGAACAATGGAGTTGGAGAGCATTGAACCGCCTGAGCTGCCTACGGGAGACCGGTACGTGCGGAGAGTAAACAGACTGCTTGAAGGTCGGTCAGTCGATAGGATTCGTCTGAGAAGGCGATCCGCACTCGCACAGATGAACGGCCAGCGAGATGGGATCCCAGACCGACCAACAATGAATCCAAGCCAACCGGCTGGCCTTGCGGGTGGCTTTGGGGTATTGGATGCCGTATTTAACACGTCATCGCGTAACCGGCAGAATGTCATATCGAATCGCGTACCAAATGGCCAACGGAATGGCCTATCGAATGGCCAACCGAATGGGACCAGCCCAGAAGGGCCGTCACAGCCGGTCATGGGCCATATGAACGCCGATATGCCGGGTCGGACAAATGGACATAGTATTCATCATGGGCAGCCGAACACAGCTCCTAGGTCGAGATCTTCGGAACGTGCTCAACAGCGAGTCAATGTGAGCTACTCAGACCTGTTTAGTACATTTGATGGGAATAATCCATTTGGCAATCATCCAAGCCAGCCGCATGGGGTTGCCCATCTTCATCCGAACGGTATCCCTTCGAACCATAGAGTCCGTGCAGATGGTGTTGTTTCAGCCCGACAGAATTATAGGGATGAACTTCGACGAGATCAAAGGACCCGCCAAATTTTGCTTGAATTAAGGAATATGTCCAATGGAGCGAACAGGACAAACGAGACAAACGGGACAAACGAGGTAAACGGGACGAACGGGGTGAATGGAGTGGACAGAGTAAATGGGAATGTTCCAGTACACCCATCGGGCTCTGGCGCACACCGGACATTGACGAGAATAGAATCACTTCCAATCTTCGTTCATCAGGCCTGGGCCTTTTTCAACCAGACCAGAGATGTAATCAATGACTGCTTACCTACCGATCTCCTTATGCCAGCCAATGCATATATCAGGACTGGCGCCTACTACCCAGTTGACCTGTTGACTATCATTAACCCTTGTCCAGCGAGCCTCTACCGCACCGAGCCCGGTGACGAATGGGTCCTTAGAAGCCTGACGGCGCGCCAGTACGTTCGCTCAACCACCATTGCTTTGCATCCTGGATACATCAAAGGACCGTTCATCATGGGCATCGGCTTTGGCGAAGTCGTCTTCGCCATGACCGTGTGGACTCATACGAGCAGGGGCCGCTGGGCTGGTCATAGCCTAGATATCATTCTTCTAAGCCAACTAGAAGAAGAAGATGGCGGAAATTGGGAGGACGTAGGAGACTATGTCAGGCGGTTCATTCACGAGTCCTTCCGGGTGCATTATGGGGAGGACTGGGAGGAAGAGGCTGTGAAGCTTGCGTGGTAAACCATGGGTTGTCTAGATGCTAGATCCCTCTTTGTATATGATAAGATGATATTGTTATCCTGACTCTTCGTAGCTGGGTATAATAAGATGGAAGATTCGAGGCAGCTTGAGAGGTTCGTTTTGTAGCTGTAGACGCAGGTGAAGTCGAAATATTCCTAATCGGGACGGATGAAGATTTTGCCGCCAGACGCGATTAGCGAAGAAACAGCCTGAGGCCGCGACGACGAAGAATCAGAAAGACAGCGAAGGAGAAAGGCGAAACGAAGGCAAAGCGAAGATCTACTGCGAGAGAGAAATACCCAGCAGCAGGCGAACCCGCTGGAAGCTAACTACGTTGAACGCTCCATCCACCGACCGGCTTGCCGCCAGTTGTGCTGCAGATGCATCGCCAGCAGCTTCGACACTGAAACAGCGCGCGACTTCTTCCCCGCCGCCCAAGAGAAGACGAAGTTCGAAGCGGAGACAAAGACGGCGAGAAGAAGGCGACAAGATGCCGGAGTCGAGTGCGCTGGGCGAGCTGTTTATCGAAGGGCCGTCAGACCCTGATGCGCAAGCTACCGTCACGGACTTCATCGACTACACAGAATACCTCCCCTCAGACCTAGTCCGCTCGCTGACCCTGATTCGTGGCCTCGATGAACGGTATGTGAACGCGACAGCGTCTGTCCATGAGCTTACAAAGGTCTATGGCCAGCTCCCAAACCTCCCCGCAGAGTCTCGTCCCCAGCCGCATATACTACGCAAGCAGATATCAGAGCAGCTACGGCGCGCGGTCAACGCCCGCGAATCGGCCTATGCAGAGTCCTGCCGTCTCTACGATCTTGTGGACCACTATGTTGATCGCTTGGGGAGTATAAAGTCTAAGCTATGCACGATACTGGCGAATCTAGGCTCAGTGAAGGACGAAGAGATTGCTACCGAGAAGAGACCAGGAACCGCAGAAGGAGCTGGTACAGCACCCAGGATCACCCTTCGTGTGGATGGCCAGAAGACTTCGGGAGCTGCTCGTCGCCAGGATACGGCAGCACAGAAAAAGTCAAGGAGCCAGAAACCTGCCGCCCTCAAGACTGGTGCTGCGCTGCCGGAAAGTCCAGCAGTAGGCGGCCCATCCCTTAATCTGTCTCTAGATCAAGCCTTGGAAAGAACAAAAAAGGAAAAGCAGCCCAAGAAACAAAAGCCAGCACAGTCTACGAATAGATCAGCTGCCGATGCAGCTAGGACAGCGCCAATTCTGGAACCACCTCCCGAGGATGCTGTGATTGGTGGTGAGTATCGGCCGTGGCTACGATTAACAGAATGGGAAATGGCACGACTACGGAAGAAGATGAAGAAAAATATAGTCTGGCAGCCCAGTGATGTTATGATACAGCGAGAACTGGCCCTGGGATCTCGTGGCTGGGAAGGATATCTAGCTGCCAAACAAAAGGCCGAGGAAGAAGGCACCGAGTTTGTGGATTGCGATGATATCATGAACACCTATTCCCCAAGTGTACCCGCCTTCAAAGGTGCTGGAATGCCGCCGCAGCTAAGGAATGAGGAAAATAAAACCGTTCTCAATCGAGGTATGAAACTCAACGAAGCCAAGAAGCAGAAGCGTGAGAGTCTGGCTCGGGAACAAGCCGCTGCCCTGGCCGCTGCGGAAGCGGAAATGGCAGCCAAACGTCTTGGAAATATTGGATCTACCTTCAAGAATCTGTTCTCGAGTCCTGTGCAACCGTCACAGACCCCGGCTCCCACACTACCAGCTCCATCTGTGCCACCTGTTGCTGCTGCTGATAGTGTCCAAAGCACTGGACCTTTAAGCAATAATGCCAACAGCAACAATAATAGTAATAATGCCTCTTTAGCTAATGATTCAACAGCTACGCCTAGGCTAAAGATAAAACCGAGCACGTCCAAGAAGAGGAAACATGATGAATTAGTTGATGCTGTACCTTCTGGACAAGAAAAGGGCGGTTCAAGGCCTACATCCGCTGGAGCCGGCCCATCGACCAAACCTCCCCAAAAAAGGCTACAGCTCACAATGCCCACTTCTGAGAACCAACCTCCTACCACTGGGGCGAAGAAGACTGCTAAGCCTACACTATCACTAAAACTTTCCGTCCTTCCACCCAGGCCAGGCTCCAAACTATCTTCCCCCATGACTTCCCCTGCCGAGCCAAAATCGGCTGTTGAATCCTCAACCCGCCGGCGTTTATCTGGTGTCTCCAAGGTCGTACGCAGCGCTACTCCTCCCGCGGTAGCTAGGACATCATCCCGTCGCCGCTCAATTACATCCGGATCGGTTGATTCTACAACCCGTGATCGCCTCCGACGTAAGAGCACAACTCCAGCCATCAAGGACCTCTCTACTAACCAAACAGCCGCCACGACCGCTGCAGGGACAGCAGCCGCACCCGCAGTAACGGCAGCCGGACGGCGCAGCAAACGGCCTGCCCCTGGTCCTGTGACTGCCGGGGAGGACGGAGGCTCGGCAGTCAGCATAGGCAAACGAAAAGCCAAGCCGGCAGTCAAGAAGAAACGAGACCAAAAGGACAGCAATATATCGTCCAAAGCTGAGGACATCCGTATTGATGAGGACGGCGTGGTTGAAGAGATTGATCCTAACGAGCCACGGTACTGTCTCTGCGGAGACGTGAGCTTCGGAACTATGATATGCTGTGAAGACGATGATGTGAGTGACGTCGAACGAAGTGTTGTTGCTTGTTTGCTAAGTGTGTCGTTTTTCGCTCCTGTCACCTGTTTCCTCTTTACTTCAGCATTCCTCTCCCCGGCGTATCTTTTTGTTTGACAAAAGCTTCTTCTATTTGTCCTTCTGTTGAGATTCTTATGGAAGGGGACATGCTAACGCGGCGTTTCCATCTAGTGCGAGACGGAGTGGTTTCACCTTGACTGCGTTGGCTTGCCCGAAGTCCCTAGCCGTCTGGCCAAATGGTACTGTCCTGAATGCCGCAAGAAGCTAGACAAGATACCCCCAGATGGCATTGTGCGTAACGGTGGCCGGCGGTAAACAGGCGAATTGGCCACAATAATCACAACATAACATAGTCGATTCTTTATATTCCATTTCTTTTTAATTTTCGTTTCATTCTCGGTTTCCTGGTATGGGGTTAAAGAGGAGGCGAGTCATGGTTCTTTAGCATATTGCTCTTGGGGAGTTGGCGTGTTCATTTATTATGAATTATGGGAGACATGATGAGCTCGGAGTCTTTACTTTTTCAGTGCTTTCCTTTCGTCTCTTTTTTGATTACTCTCTTTTCCTGTGGCTGATCACTGCCGCCTTGTCTTGTATCAATTTTGCAGATTAACCTATACTTCACTATTTACCACACTTGACTACCCTCACTTTCTTCACAATATTAAACCTTCAGACACTTTTATTATGTTGCTAATATCATTTGACATTTTATGGGTGTGAACATGTGTAATGACCTTTGAAAGGCCGTTTGTGCTGATTAGTTTTCGAGAGCTGCCTCATCTGTAGACATAACATGAGCCTATCCCGTACGACAGTATGATAGCTACTGGAGAAAAAAGCTAATAACTCCATCGTCTTCTTTCGCACTATTCATAGAGTTGTTTAGCACTGGGTCCCTCTCAAGATCGTCACTGGGGCTCTTCGTTCCGCAACCTTGTTTTTAATTACTCAAACTGTTCTGGAAGAATTGGTGGAGGTAGATGTACGTCGTTCAATTGATCCGGAATATATAATAGACATCATCGTTCCTATAGATGGGTCTGTAAAGTATGCGTTGAATTGACGGATGAAGAATCCAACTTGATAGTTAGATCTCAGCCAAAAAAACGGGGGGGAAACAGGGGAGAAAATGGAGGAAGCAGGAAGCCAGTGCCGCCCTAGAGTTCCAAGTAAACGTCAAGGGCATACCAGTGGATGAATTTAACCAAACGGTGTAGAGGGGATCATGAAGAAGTGCGGCCGTGATAATGGGATAAGGATGGTATAAAGGGTAGCTGTAGTGGTAGATGGGGGGTGGGAATATAAAGTACTAGAACGCCGCATGGGTAAAACTAAAAAAATAAGTAAAATGGATAAAGCAGATCAGTCGTATAAATCCTTATCGCATTCCGCTTCTCCCGCGAGAAGTCAAACTCCTAAGAGGCTTGTTGGTTGATAGGCTGATGTGTTTGTGATCTTTCGTATATATATGTAAAGTAGCAAGCAACTATGACAATTGGCAGAGGAAAGAAAGGGAAAATACGAAGACTCAAAAAGCAAAAAAAAGAAGAAAAAATAGCATAGAGATGATGGGAAAAAATGTGTTCAGTATCCAAGGGGCTTCCGTTCGTTTCGTTTCCGAGGTAAAAAAAAAAAAAAAAAATAAGTCATTCCATTCCTCCGACTAAGTAGTAAAGAAAATGGATTGTTTTTTTTTTTTCTTTGATCCAAAATAATATGGTAATAGAAGAAAGAGGTAGAAAGGGTTTAAGACAAGAAAAATATAGGAGAATGGCAGTTGAGTCGGGTAATCTCACTCTTCCATATGGCCGAAGACGCCATCGTCATCGTCATCCATGTGTACGACGGAAGATGGCGAGCCGCGGTCTGACTCATCATCTAGAGAGCGTGAGTGCTGGGGATTAGCCGGACTGGTGCTGTCGTTCCTTAGGTTGGAATGCTGGGTGATGGTGTCGGGCTTTATGTCAGCCATCTTGACGTCTCGTTCATCTGAGACACGGTATGATATATGCGCATGTGTGGCCATGGGAAGGGCGTCAAAGATGTTTGGTGTGGATGCGGCTAAGTTTCCGGTTATAGTCGCCCCTGAGACACTGCTGCCGCTGTTATGTGAGAAATTCATGCTGCTAGACTGGCCAGAGACGGTGCTGTTGTCTCCAAAGAAGCCATTGGAATGGCTGTTGGCCATTGCCATTGTGCTGCCGACGCTCTGGCCCAGGAACCGGGCGGGAAGAGGTGGGACTGGGGGAACATCCTCGAGAATGGCCATGGGCCCTGATCTGGGGGTACCAAAATTGCAGAGTTCGATTGCGGCGGCTAGACCGGCAGCATCGTCGTCGAGGACACCGTTGGTGTCTGCAGTCGACGGTCTGGTATCTGTGCTGGAATGGCGGAAGTGGGAGTGTGCAGGCGAGTAAGAAGGGACGCTGCTTGCGCTGGCAAAGGAGGCAGAAGGGATGGATTGGAGGGACTGGGAGAAGGAGTGATTATGATTATGATTATAGCTGCTATGGCTGCTGGGGTAGCGGTAAGGGTCGTTGGATGATTTGGACAAGGCGCCGTCATCACCGGTAGGGGGAGGCGTGGTCTCGGTCGAGCTGAGGCCGTCACGGAGCTCTGATATGCCAGAGACAGTCGGAGAGGTTGACGAACGGTCCGAGTCACCGCTCCCGCTGGCAGCAGCAGCAGCAGCAGCAGCAGCACGGGCAGCGGCCTGCTCCTCTGAGACGGGTTCGTTGAGCGTGACGAGGACGCTGGCGGCTTCGAGCAGCTGGACCTGCTGGTGTTTTGATATGAGGAGCTTTGATGTCACTGCCCATGCCGGATCGTGTTCCCACCTATGGCCCCAGATATGTCAATTATCGACGCAAGCAAGATAAAAATAAAAATAAAAACGGATTAATTTGACGCATGTATTAACCCATTGGCAGCATATATTATGTAGTAGATAAGGGGGGAAGAACGGGGTATACGCACATATGCTTGGTCAAGCAGCTGCTATGCTTATACCCCTTCCCACAGCGGTCACACTTGAGCTCGACGAGCGATCTCTTCCCTTCCCCCTTCATGAGATGCGAGCCCTCGCTGGCCCGCCTGCTCCTGTGCTTGATACTGATCGGCCTGCCAGCAGCCCCCGTCCCGGCGGGGAGCTCTTCAGAGACCGCACTGCTGCTGTTGAGGGAACCCGGCCCTGGCTTGCGATCGACTGCAGCCATGCCGTTCCTGGCAGCATGAGAGGAGGGCCCGAACGGGGACGAGGAGCCAGCAGAGGTCGACTCGAGGCCGGCCGCCCGCCGCAGCGAGAGCCCACGGCGGTGGTGGGAGGTGTGTATGGGCGCTCCGGCGCTGGCGCCAGACTCGCTGATGACGGCGGCCGCGGCGGCAGCGGCAGCATTGTTGTTGGTGTTGTTGGCTGCGGAGGAGGTCATGCTCTTCCGCCGGGTAACGCGGTGGTTGTAGTTGAGGGCGCCCAGGGAGACGGAGTGCGAGTGCGTCCGGCCGTTGCTGGCCTGGCGAGGGTTCGGGATGGCCTGGGGCAGCGGCCGCGAAGAAGAAGAGTCCTGCTGCTGCTCGAGAGCGAGGGAGTCGTTAGTGAAGAGTTGCTCGCCACGCTGGAGGAAGGAGATCGATCTCTCTCTCTCTCTCTCTCTCTGGGCCCCCCAGCACACACGCCCGCAAACCGCGGCCCCGGACGGTGCATTGGGGCATCCCGAGGCCGCTGCAGGCTGTCTCTGCCGATGTACGCACCTTGAACGAGGCCATCTTGGGCTGGTGAAGCGGGAGGAGGGAGGGTGGTCGGCCTGGAGTGTTGGTTGTTGTCGGTGGTTAATTATTTTTTTTTTTTCTTTCCTTTTTTTTTTTTTTTTTGACGAAGAGCCCGGCGCCAGGGGCAAAAGCTAAGATCCTCAGCAGGCAGGGCGACGGACGACAGGGACGAGAGCAGGACTAGACAGGCATTGCCGCAGGGAGAGAGGCAGGCAGCGGTCGAGGGAGGGCGTTCGGTGGTGAAGATGGAGGAAGGACGAAGTAGCCAGGAAGAAGTAAAAAAAAAAGGCGACGCGGTGGATCTCGGGGGTTATTTTTGGCTGTAGATCAAAGTCAGGAATACGACAGAGATTCAGATCGAGCGGGCGAGGCAGTCGACGGCGGATACGAGGCGTTTGCTGCAGCAGCGAAGATGCACTGTGGAAGTCGAGATGTTGAAGTTGAAGTCGGAGTCGGAAGTCTTAAAACTACATTTTGAGAGCAACAACGCCGCCAGCGACCAAAGTAACTAGTTAACAACTAACCAGCCAGCCTGCAGAAACGAGAAACGATACCACGGCCGCGATAACTGACCAGTCCCGTCCCCTGCTGCTACTGCTACGACCGTCCGGCTCGATGTTTCTCTCACGCTTCAGGAGCGACGACGACGAGGAGGCCGAAGACCTCCTGGCCAGCTTCCTGCCCGTCCTCTTCCCGGACTCGACGACCACCTGCGTCGGCCAGCCGGGCCAGCAGCTCGTCTACTCGTCGCCGGCCTTTGGCGAGCTCGCCCTGACGATCCCAGTCCATCCGCGGGACCAGGGAAAGGGAAAGACAGAGGCAGCAGAGGCGGCGGCGGACGGGCAAGACGGGCAGCAGAGGGCGCCGCGGGGGGAGGGAGTCGACCGGGCCTGCATGCTGTTTGCGCACTTCCTCTGGGGCTCGAGCGTGCTGGTGACCGACGGCATCGAGAGGGCCTCTTCTTCTTCTTCTTCTTCTTCTTCTACTTCTTCTACTTCTACTGCTATTAATTCCCCCTTTGAAGCTGCGGCTGACGGCTCAGTATGGAGCGTGAAGGGCCATGATATCCTCGAACTTGGTGCAGGCGAGTAGCGACTTATACAACTACATATAACAACACGGCTCCATGCCATCTGCATCCTTCTGCGTGTGCCGGCAGTGTTGCAGAGACAGCCGCTATCATCTCGTTAACAGGAGAAAGTTATGCATATATAGGTGCCGCCCTGTCTTCCATCGTCAGCGTGCTTGCCGGCGCAGAGTCTGTCACCGTCACCGACCACCCCCTCGCCCCGGGCCTGTACGGCTCGATACAGGCCAACATCGACCGGAATATACCCAAGCACCTCGCCCACCGCATCTCCGTCCAGCCGTACCAGTGGGGGGTCCTCGGCCAGGGCGGCAGCGTCGACGAGGAGGAGCTCGAGACCGCGTATCTCGACCAGATGGCGGGCTTTGCGGCCGCCAACCGAGCACGGTTTAGCCGCATCATCTGTGCAGACTGTCTGTGGATGCCCTCCCAGCACGAGAACCTGATCCAGACCCTGCTCTGGTTCCTCGCTCCTTCGTCAGGTTCGCCTGCAGGCATCGCATGGGTCGTGGCAGGTTTACACACCGGCCGACATATCGTAGCCTCCTTCTTTCAAAAGGCCGTCTCTGCCGGTCTGAAGATCGAGAAGATATGGGAGCGAGACATGAATTCTACCGAGGGAGAGACGACGAGGGAGTGGAAGCCCGTTCGAGAGGACGAAGGGCCGGAGAACAGAGCTCGATGGTGCATCGTGGGCTTGCTCAGCAGGTAGTTGGTTTACCTCCCCCTTACATAGCAGCTACTTCATATATAAATAGAAAAGCAAACTCCCCTTTTCATCTATTCCTCTGGAAGCATATAGTACATACTCCCTGGCCCTCCCGGCCGCCAAACCGGAACTTGGGATATTCAACCTGGTCGTACACCGTGAAGCCATGACCATCACCATCGCCATCACCGTGGTCTTTGGCAGTGAACCATGAGACCAGCTCACTCTCTGTCCAGTTGCAGCTGGTGATGATCAAGAACCCTCCCTTCCTGACCAGCCCGAGTGCAACGCCAGGATACTTCTCGCATATCCGCCTGCTCCCTCCCTCGGCAGACAGCGAGACGGCATCGAACGTCCCCTTGTCAAGCACGATATCAAACCCGCCTTGCTCGAACGGGAACCAGTCCACCTCCTTGCCAAACACACCGCTGCGTATGTCCGCTTCGTGTCTCGGGTCTAGAATGTCCCATACCTCGAACCGTATCCCCTCGTAGCCTTTGCCTTGACTTTGACCTTGACCTTGACCTTGACCGTCGTCGCCTTGACCCGCCAGCTGTCTGGCCAGCTCGATGCTCTTGACCGAATAGTCCACGCCCACCATGGGACCGCTAAACCCCCCTTCTTCACGCAGCAGAGTCAGCATGCTCCCATTGCCCGTCCCCAGGTCGAGTATGCTAGACTCCCGGCCGGCCTGCGAGTAGTCCGGCGCAAGCGGGAACTTCTCTGAGGTCACAAAGTCCAGCACCTTCTGCGGCGCATTGTGCTCGCTGAACCACGATGTCCCGATGTCCGAGTCGTCGTCCTCTCCCTGGCCATCGTCATCGTCCCCTCCGTCTATCTGCTGCTCGTCCCGGCGTCTCCGTCCGTCTCGCTTGGAGGACAGAAAGTGGGCGAGCGAGCTGTCGTAGTATCTTTCCCAGCTGCAGATGCCACAGTCAGCCCCACGATCATGGCTATATATATATATATATCATAAAGTAGTCGACTCACTTACTATTCTTTTGTCCCCAGCTCGCTGGGCTCGAGATGCTGGGGATGTGATCCTCCTTGCTCCTCCTCCAGGGGCATCTTTTGCTCTCTTCCTGGTGCTTGTTCGTGGTCAGTCGTTTTTCAAGGAGTTAACTCATGGATTCTCTCGCTTGTTGACCCGCCAAATTTCAACATCACCAAAGCCCAGCAGGAGAAGAATCACCGCAAGTCTTGGATCTGCATCCATCGGCCATCCTGACTCTCTCTGGCCTGCTATTAGTCGAGTATTAGGGAGTCTGGCTGTTCTCTCTACTCTAGCCCACCGTTCTCTCGTCCCACCAGTGTCGATGCCGGCAGAGCGAGAAAGGGAGACAAAAGTCATCTCAGGCTATGCTCCCGAGTTTTCATCTTTATTACTCTTTATTTAATTACTGTTATAAAGGAGAATTTGACGCTTGAATTCCTATTCAAATAGTTAAGTAGAAGACCCGACATTAACAGTAACATCCAATTTGATAACTAGACCATAAAGCTGAACCAGTGGAGATTGTTCAATTTGGCCAGAAAAGAAGAAAAAGAAGAAAAAGAAGAAGAGGAGAGAAAGAGAAAGGAAACCCCTATAATTACTCCCTTGATATCCTGCCTAGACTGAGAGATCATGGCACTGGAGACACAGCTCACGAAGGACTGGATGCTGGAAGACATCCCTCACGGTGAACTCAAGACCCCTTTGCCGGCCCAATGCCACAATCTTCATCGCTGCAATCGAGTCCCCCCCGAGACGGAAGAAGCTGTCACTTGCGCTGATACAGTCTCGATCTTCAATCTTCAGCACTTCCGCCCAGAGACCTTGCATCACAAACTCCTGCTCCGTCTGGGGTGGTGCCCGTTCGTTGGCCGGGCCCTCACTCAGTGCTTCGATCTCCCGCGTTGAGAGGGATGCTGCCATACGACGTAGCTCTCGCCGGTCTGCTTTGCCCGTGGCTGCAATGGGGATGCGTTTGACGGGTATATATGTCGATGGGAGCATGTACCGGGGCAGCACTTCTTCAATCTGCTTTCTGACACTGCTTATCATCTGCTGGACCAAGCGGTTGTACGACTGTCCGTTAACTTCTTCGTTCTTCTCGGAAGAGCTGTTGCTGCTACCGTCCACAGCTATAAAGGCCGCAAGAGTCTTGTCTGAGATGCCAGAAAGCTCGACCAACTCAGCCACCACCTGCACATTCCCATTCTCCCCCAGGGCGCCAGAATCTTGCATAAACTTAACAGCCAGAGAGCCGATGTGATGTTCAAGATCCCCCAACTCGACCCGTTGACCCCTGATCTTGACCTGTGTGTCTCGGCGAGAGAGAAAGAGAAGTGAGCCGTCTTCCTGGTATTGGACCAGATCCCCAGTACGATAGAGCCGCCCTCGACGGCCTGGATGTCTTCCATCGGGAGAGCCGCGTTGAAGCCATATGGGGTCCTCGACAAAGGCTTCTGCAGTCCTTTTAGGGTCGTTGAGATACCCTTCGCCAACAAGTGGGCCTTCAATCCAAAGTTCACCTACAGCTCCAACAGCAGCCAGTGCATCCGGATTTTTAAGGTCGACAACCCATGTGCACACCCCAACTCCCCGACCAATCTCCCCTCCTTCCAAGCAATTGGGGCCATATAGAATAGTGCTGGTGGGCGTGCATTCGGCTGGGCCGTAGGCCAATACTAGCTGCGTCTCATCCCCAGCTAGGCCTAGATCACTTGGTAGAATCGCTTCACCACCCAGAACCAGCGTTGATAGTCGGGAAAAGGCGCTTCTTGGTTCGACAATGCGTGCTACTGACGGCGTCAGATCAGCAACAGTTGCTTGGTACTTTTCCAGACAGCCACCAAGATCGTTCTCAAATTCCTCCTGGGAAGGGATACAGAGGGACCCGCCCGTAGCCAGGGCCCTCAATAGATTAAGCCAGAACACATCAAAGGCATAAGATGTGAAATCTAAGATCCTTGGATTACCACCAAATCCGAGAAATTCTCCCTGGTAAGCAATAGCACTGATAAAGTTCTGGTGGGTAATCACCACTCCTTTTGCATCCCCTGTTGTCCCGGAAGTAAACACGATATAAAATGCATCGGATGGATGCACGACTGGCCATTCAGGGGTAGCGATCGTGGAGCCAATAGGCAGATGTAGATCGTCTCCTACCTTATAGACTACACCCTGACCTAGGCTCTCAAAGAAGGGTTGATTCGAGACAGAAGACAGTATAACCGTCGTCTTTGAGCTGGTAAAGACCTGGCCTATAATTGAACGAAGCCTTTGTTCTGGAAATGAGATGTTGATAGCAGCAGCAGCAGCTCCAGTCTTCATGACCGCCAGCGCTGCAACTGGCATCCACTTGGACTTTTCGAAACAAAGAGGGACAATGCTTCCTCTACCAACACCTTCAGCAAGGAGATGGTGTGCAAGCTTGGATGATAATTCATGCAGTTCACCATACGTTAAATCCCCATCCCAAGCGTTAACAGCAGGAAAATGTGGCTGCTGAATGACCGTCTTAATAATCAAATCGGGTATAACACCTTCAACTGGAACTGGTAACTCGGCATTCCAGGCCCAAATGTTGTTCAAATCTCGGTGGCTGGCGACACTCACACTACATAGCTTGTCTTCCTGTCGATTTGTACCGAGTAATTGCCGGATCGTGTGTTCGAGTTCGTGGGTGAGCCTGATAGCACGATCCATACTGACAATGCCGGAGTCAAAGCCCATTGCAATTTCCACATCGTGGCTTTCTCCTTCACTAACTTTGATCACGATTGCATGATTGTCTCCCTTAAAGACACTTCCCTTCGTATCACCGTTGGTGATAATGGGGTTCTCATAACGTTCGATCCCTTCTGTTCTTGAGGAGCCAATTACGAGCAAAGTTTGGAAATTACAGGCAAATTCGGCTTCGTCTGACAAGCAAGAAATTTGCTCCAAACGCATACGCTGGAAGGGCTCCATGCTGCGTATTTGCTGCTCGATTTCTGAGAGGAATTGTAGAATGGTGTTGTTCCAGTTAAGCACAGTGCGAGTAGGCAGCATTTTTTGACTTCCTTCACCATTTAGGTGGCATACTCCAAACAGGCTTTCATCGGAATTAGAGAAGTGAGCCGTCAAGATAGCCCACGCAGCTCCAACTACAACTTCCGCGGGGAAGCTTCCTGGGCTAAAATCAATGCTTTTCAAAGTCAGATGTATTTTTTCGCAACGTTCAATTCCGGTGGTCACCATCTGCTTGACTTCAGGAAAGTGTACACCGCAAGTGTTAGAAAACTGGTCTTTCCAAAAGCTGTCGGCAATGGACCTTTCAACGCCGTATTTTTGTAGAAATATCTGATCAAAGAGAGATGTTGACTTGGCCGATTGATCATTGTTTATGATGGTGATTCCCTCTCGAAGATCATCACCTCCAGTGTTACTGTCAATATCGATGGTTAGCAGATAGTCAATTGCCTGGTTGAGCGCTTCATAGACCTCTTCAGCTATATGCTGGGTAATATATGGTTTTCTATATTCTAGCAAAAGATCGGTATGGCCATGACGATTTAGTGAGACGTTTAGACTCAAGTCGTACTAAGTACAATCAATCCACAGTTAGTTTCATATCATACTCTCACTATATCCATAGAATCTTTGTCTTACTTCATGGCCATCCTCATCATCCAATGTTTGGAACTTAATGCTGTATTTCTGAACTTCTTCCTTGTCATAAGAGCGAATTGAGAGGGATGTATTGAAGAGCCGTTGGCCAGACAGTCCAAGCCGGTGAAGGACCTCCCCAATAAACACATGCTGTATGGCCATGTTCTGTTCTGACTTCTTGGATGTGGCCCGGAGGACCTCTTTTACTGGTACCTCCATGTCAACTCGGCTGATAAGGAGATTAGCTAAAGGACCAACCATTTTCTCTACCCTCTCAATTGGAGCGTCACGCCCTGACGTGAGATAACTAAAGCAGACCTCCTTCATCCCTGTATAATGGGATAGGGTTATTGCCCAGGCCACCTGCAGAAAGGCAGAAAATAGGATATTCGTCTTTTTGCAGTAATCCATGATGTGAGTTTTAGAGTGCGGAGTGGAGCTAGACACCTCACCAAGCGTCTCGGGTATCATTCCTCGTGAGGATGGTAATAATGTGGGAAAATTGCAAGGCTTGATTCCATCTAAAATAGTCGCCCATTTAGCAGCAGTCTTTTCTTTGGGTGTCTGGCCAATGTAGCTAATCATATCACTGAACCTGGGGGCAGCTGAAAGTTCAAAGCCATCATATGTAGCTGCAAGCTCTTCTAGGAGCACTGCCATTGATTGAGCATCGTTCATGGTATGATTCATGTCGAGCCGAAATGATACTGCATTTGCAGCTTTCGATCGGCATATAGTTAACGAATGCTGCGGCTCATTCAGGAAAAAAGATGGGGGTTCTTTTTGGTTCAAAACCGCGATCGGATTATTGTCGTCAGTTTCCATCTGAATTACCCTTACTGGTGGCTTGTCTAGCACCATTTGGATAAAACCATTACCCTCGGGGTGAAGGGTAAAGAGAGAAGAGAGAACCATGTGCCTGCTCGCCACTACTTTCCAAGCCGCCTCCAAACGTAAGGGGCAAACAGGCTCACCAAAGGAGTCACAGCGGCAGATTGTGCGAGTGTGGTAAGAAGCAACCCCCTTAGCTGTACTTATGAGCATGCCCTCCTGCAAAGGCGAACAAGGATAGATAGCTTGGATTTGTTCTGGTTTGACCCCCATACGAGGCACTTCTTGCTCAAGAAGGATATCCAAGCCTTTGTATGAAAGGGGAAGGAGAGGAAAGTCACTCAACGTGAATCCGGATGGAGCCTGGGCAAAGTTGTGGGAGAGAAACTCTAGATCCTGTGAGAAGTTTTGAATCCACTTTTGAAGACGGTCACTCTGCATCATCTTATGAAAGATAAATTCAACCTTTAATTCGCCGTCGGATACAGCAGCCTCTATATCAATCATTGACTGTCGCCGGGCCGATTTTGAGACTTCGGTTATCGCCAGAAGGGAATCACTGGACTCGGAAGGAGAAGACGGATTGAATAGCCCATCT